CCCAGTTCCTGACACCTCCTGGGAGTTAAAGGATCTGGAAGACGTTCCTAACTTCCATCGACTTCCTGACACTTGATAACCACACATGGCTTTTCGTTCTTTGGTGGAAAGGGCAAATAATTTTTCTTCCTGCTGACAGTCAGTTGGTCCACTATGGGGGGGGGGCTCTTCACAGTAGGGATGGGAGAACATTTGACTGTACACAGCCAGGTACCCCTGAATAGAGGCCCCTTGGAGATGAATTGGCTCCCTGCTTCGCCAAAGCTTTGTCCCCCTATGCCCGCCCCCAGGAGCAGAGCTCCCTGAACTAACAGAGGAAAGTGTTAATGGGGAAACCATAAGGCAGGCAAGTGAGAAAGGCGATGACCTACCAGCCCTGGGGAAGCTGTTTATAAGCAGCTGTCAACACATGGCTGAGAAATGAGTGTGTCCACTCCGGGTGTGGGTCATGGCTGTCAAAGCTTTGAGATGGGCATGCCTGGAGTCAGGAAGCTGGCGCTCCCACGAAAGGAATGTTTTAAAAAAATTTAAATATATAGTCACTGGTTTAGTAAAAGCATTTCTCCCCCAGTGATTGGGTTTAAACATAGCATCACATGCTGGTAAAAAGGGGGGGGAGGGCAGTCACCACCCTCTCTCCATCAGATAGAATTAGAGCAATCAAAAATGACACCTGGTTGCGTTCCATTTAGAATCAAGGAAGGACACATCTAACCTGTAAAAACCATGCCTAGATACAGCCAAAGATCCAAATACAGTGGTACCTCGGGTTACATACGCTTCAGGTTACATACACTTCAGGTTACAGACTCCGCTAACCCAGAAATAGTACCTCGGGTTAAGAACTTTGCTTCAGGATGAGAACCAAAATCGTGCAGCAGCGGCGCAGCAGCAGGAGACCCCATTAGTGGTGCCTCAGGTTAAGAACAGTTTCAGGTTAAGAACGGACCTCCAGAACAAATTAAGTTCTTAACCCGAGGTACCACTGTACCAGGAAACAAGCCAGAGTCTGGCCTGCCGTGCCTTCTGAACCCAGGCTCCTGTACAAATTGGATGTGCCACTGGGCCACTGTGAGGCCTTGCGCATTTAGCCACATCTGCCTAACAAGGAATGGTACACTGCAAATGTGCTAAGGGCACTCAAAATAACAAAGATTGTTAATAATAATAATAATATTTTTTTAAATTGTATCTTGCCTTTCTTCCATAATGGAAACTGAAGCAGTGGTTCTCAGGTAGTTTCCACTCCAGGCACCTCCCAGACCCAGGGCTGCTTAGCTTCAAAGTGACTTTAGCCTCAGGTGACTTCAGATCATGCTCAATGGTGCATGCTAAGTGCCTAACATTTCAAAACAATGTTTTGTGTAAATGAAGAGGAGCAGCCTGAACAGCTTCAGTTAGCAACACTCATTACTGGGCATCTAATGTCATCTAGATGTTAATCCAATTTGCGGTTATAACTCTTCTTTGGCGATCCCTCGTGGCCGAGTAAGAGTACAGTTTTAAAAGTGAGTCCGTAAGTGACTGTGGAGGCCAATTCTGAATCCACACGTCCTTCCACAGTGGGGACATTGGTTTCCGGGCGGGAGTTGATCACGGTGAGGGTTTGCCAAGCGTGCCTTCCTCTTAGCACATTTCTCCCTTGCATCCTGAGTTCGAGTGTCTTCAAAGCCCAGGACACCTTTGGTCAAGGCTGTTCTCCAACTGGAGCGCTCGCAGGCCAGTGTTTCCCAGTTGTTGGTGTTTATACTACATTTTTTTAGATTTGCCTTCAGAGCGTCTTTAAACCTCTTTTGCTGACCACCAGCATTACGCTTTCCATTTTTAAGTTCGGAATAGAGTAGTTGCTTTGGAAGACAATCATCAGGCATCCGCACAACATGACCAGTCCAACGAAGTTGATGTTGAAGAATCATTGCTTCAACATTGCTTCATCCATCAACACAACAGCTGTTGCTTCGTCAAACACAAAGCGTCTTACACGTGCACACCTTTGAAGATGGCATAAACAGAACTGCATTGTTCAAAAATTTAATGGAAAATATACACTGAAACATTACCATTGGTTCATCTATTCTGTAAGGATGAAGCCAATGGCCTGTCTAGTCCAGCATCCTGTTCTCAGTGGCCAACCCAAAAAGGGGCATCTCCTTGCCCTACATACAGGTTGTGGGGCTTGATCCAGGCATTTGGCACGCAAAGGAGGTGTTCTCTATCAGTGACCCACCACAGCTCTTCCGCACAAATGGCTCAGCAACACCTTGCTGCTTGATTTCTAAAATAAGATGAGCTGGGTTCAAACAAGCCTGGATACTTGATCCGCAGAACTAGGAGCTGCCACCCTAATCTCAAATATGCTGGGGTTAGCTGCAAATACTCAGTATTGCAGAAAAAGTGCTTGACACACACTGAAAGGATGAGTTGCACATTTATCGCTTGATGCTGCAATGAGCCAAACTTTCGGATCAGTCAAGCACAGGACATTTCGGTGGAGTCAGTTCGCAAGTACAGCTTCAACTCAGCAAGCAACCTGCCTGCATGTGTGAGTCAGATCTCAGGGGAACATTTCTACCACTTTCGATTTTCCGGAACTGAACCATACCTCAAGTTAAGTAAGTCTGATTTCTGACAATGTTACCAAGGGCCAATCTTAATAAAGCTGATTTATTCAATAAATCTACATTCCCATGGCCCATCTTAATAGACACACACTTTGCATTCACCCAGAGAGACCCTGCGGATCATCCCAGCAGTGTCTCAACAATGAATCAAGTCATTCTATCACGAAGTTCCAAACTGAGGACAATTCTGTTCCCTGACAGATATAAATTGCTGCTTTCGATTCACTGCTCTCCCTGATATCCCTTGATGTCAGCCCTGTTTAGGGAAGTTTTTAAAGTCTGAAGTTTTATTCTGTTTTCAGTCCTCTGTTGGGAGCCGCCCAGAGTGGCTGGGGAAACCCAGCCAGATGGGTGGGGTATAAATAATAAAAATGATGATGATGATGATGTCCAGGCTTAGAAAGCCTATCTAGCTACATTTCAACAAAGCAAGACTACCACCAACCTGCTTCTAAAAACAGCAAGTTTCTAGATTTTATTGTTGCAAGATAGTATAGGCAGGTCTGTACAAAGAAGCCCAGAACAGAGAAGGTGGTCAAAACTGAAGGGGCATTCAAATGTCCTGAAGAAGCTGCCCTGCCAATGTCAAACCCTGTGGACTTCCAGGCGTTGCTGGACTACAAATCCCATCATCCCTGTCCATTGACTAGGGTGAAGAAAGCCAAGGTCCAACAACACTGGGAGGCCCCCCATTCCTAATCTGTTAGCTTTCTCTTGACACCAAACTAGCCAGCAAATAAATGAGGAGGTACAGAGCCCTAATCATAATTTGTTTCTTAGGAATAATTTGTACAGATTTGCATATCATTAAAATATTTCTATCCCACCTTTTGTGCCAAAGCACTTGAAGGCAACTTACGGCAGGGGATCACATTTAAAAAACAAACGAAAACCATTAAATCTGCAACATCAGTAAACAAGCATCATTTTGAAAATTAAGACACAGCCGGCAGCAAGAAACTACAAATGCCCTCTGATATAGTCTGCAACCAGAAAGCCTTTGGCAAAGGGGACACACACACACACACACACACACACACACACACACACCACCCCTGAAAGGAGCGCCATAGCCTGGGAGATACGGTGGGAGAGGGCAGTTGGGGTGGGGGCCCACATGGACAGGCCCCTCCAAAGCTGAAACGGAGAGGGGAGTCAGCCCTTCAAGTACACTAAGGACTTTATAAAGGCCAAAACTGGGGCCCTTAAACCAATTGGAAGCCAACAAAATGTTTCAGGATTCGGATCATAAGCCTTTCTGGCAACAGCGCCAAGTCGCATTTTCTAACATCGCGGTTTCCCAAAATCTTGAAAAAGAGCACTATAATGACCAAGGGTTGAGGTCTCTCCCTGCCTCCCCAATATTCTGCTGAAGAAGAGACCTTTGTAACTCAAAGACTTGCATGCAAGTTCTTCATCTGCAATCCCTCATAGCCGAGTAAGATTGTCTTCCATAAACACAATTTTAACAGTGAGTCCGTAAGTGACTGTGGAGGCCAATTCTGGATCCACACATCCTTCCACAGTGGGGACATAGGTTTCCGGGCGGGAGTTGATCCCGGTGAGGGTTTGCCAAGCATGCCTTCCTCTTAGCACATTTCTCCCTTGCGTCCTGAGTTCGAGTGTCTTCAAAGACCAGGACACCTTTGGTCAAGGCTGTTCTCCAACTGGAGCGCTCACAGGCCAGTGTTTCCCAATTGTTGGTGTTTATACTACACTTTTTAGATTTGCCTTGAGAGTGTCTTTAAACCTCTTTTGTTGATCACCAGTATTACGCTTTCCATTTTTAAGTTTGGAATAGAGTAGTTGCTTTGGAAGACGATCATCAGGCATCCGCACAACATGACCAGTCCAATGAAGTTAGCGTTGAAGAATCACCGTTTCAACACTGGTGATCTCCTTGATAAAGAGTTTTGTGAAACCCTAAAGTCTGCATTTGCCTACAACACTGGTGGTCTTTGCTTCTTCCAGTACACTGATATTAGTACGCCTGTCTTCCCAAGTGATGTGTAAGATTTTTCAGAGACCCCGTTGATGGAATCTTTTGAGGAGTTGGAGATGGCGTTTATAAGTGGTCCATATTTCACAGGCATACAGTAAGGTTGGTGGTACAGTAGCTTTGTAAACAAGCATTTTGGTTTCCCTGCGAATGTCCCGGTCCTCAAACACTCTGCACTTCAACCGGGAGAAAGCCGCACTCCCAGAGCTCAGGCGATGCTGGATTTCGGCATGTAACTTACAGCAACCACTTAGCATTGCCTGCCTCTCTCTTCTCCCTGCCTTTCCACCTTAAAACAACTCTTCCCGGCCCTTCCCAAGTCCCTCCTCCCCTTGCAGTGGATTAGCTGTCTGGCTTTGATAACAGCTGCTGGGAGTGTGTGTGTGTGTGTGACTCTCTGCTGAAGTTGGTAGGTGTCCCGATATTAATATAGATGCACACACAGAGAGAGAGGCACGCCCTGTAAACAGCTTTGGCTGCCCTGGAGGAGAGTCAGAACTGCTTCAAGATGGGAGGCCAAACTTCTCAGCTCTTCACCGTCCCTGAGCAGCAGGAGATCATGAAAGAAACTGGCTGTACGGAAAACTTTATAAGAGAGAACGGTTTGCTTTCCTTCTTTCCATGAATAGAGGGGGGAAATGGGGGAGGAGGGAGTTAGTAACAGAGCTCGGAATTGTTTTAAACCCCATTCCCCAAAATGAGAAGCCCACCTGCCTTGCGGTGCATTTGCTCTCGTCTTGCCAACCCCACAGACCAGCCTTAGATCTCTGGAGCTGTCCCAGGATGAGACTTGGCTTTGCTGGGAAGAGAGAGGCCCTGGCTGCTCCAGACTTTACGCAAGGGGTGGGAATCGTGGCCAGTGGGTTTGGGCAATCTCATAGGAGGGAAAGATGCAGGACTCGTGGAGAAGAGCCTGGTGACCAGAGAGGATCAGAATTGGGACTTCATAGCTGAAGCACTGCTCAGTTTGGGAGCTGGGAGGAAAGGGGTGTCGGGACCCAGAGATCCAGATCAAAGCACAGGGCAGGGAGCAATTTAAGGGGAGGTGAAATGGGTGCAGCGGCTGTGGCTCTCTGCAGCTGCCGTGATGCCAACGCACCCCTCTCACCTTGAGCCAGAGAGGGAGCAGGCACTGGAAGAAGAGGCTAATCCAGATTTTCGGGTTCCAGCTTTCTGGGCCTGTCCCGTTCCAGCCTCACCCCAACGGGGCCACCTGCCTCCTGTCCCCAGCTCAGGGCACAGAGCAGAGGTGAGGTGACTAACGGAGATCAGAGACCCACAAAGCCTGTTCCCAGCCAAGGAAATGGGAGGAAACGACAGCGCATCGTGCGAGTGCAGAACTTCTGGACAATTTGCAGCTGTGGAATAAATTGTTTTTTTCTTGTTCTGATGAGTCAGCCAAAAGCAGAGACTTGGGACACGGGAATCTTTCGTCTGGGGTGCGGTTAATTTGGGAGAGATCATCATGCTCCTGGGGTGGAATGTGATCCTCCCCCCTGCCCCTTTAAAGAGTTATTTTACCAAGTTTTGGATGAAAAATGAACTGTTGCTTTTGAGCTTGGCATGGTGCCCCACCCAAAGCCTTGCATCTTATCTGGCAGCTGGCTTCCTATTGTTTGCGAAATCTCCAGAGGAGGAAAGAGAGGGGAGGGGGCTGACTTTGAGATTTCCGTTCAACAAGTGGGGGGGTATTAAATCCCCTCAGTAGGGGGCAGAAGGTTTGAATGTTTGTGCTTTAAATCCAATGTTGTCTTTTATTATGCTGGGCTTGTCACTTTTCCCTGGAGAGAAGATGCAGCACATTTCAAAGCAACAAGTGCTGTGGCAGGAATAATAGTCACAGTGGCACCCTCCATTTCCCATCAGCCCCAGTTAGCATGGATAATGGGAGGTTGGCAGTAGGGGAAAAAGACACCAGACTGACAACCTTTGCTCTATACCTTTTCCCATTTTATCTGGTACTTGGAATTTTAGTTGCTGCTAAAAGTCATTTATAGGGATGCGGGTGGTGCTGCGGTCTAAACCACTAAGCCTAGGACTTGCCGATCAGAAGGTCGGCGGTTCGAATCCCCGCGACGGGGTGAGCTCCCGTTGCTCGGTCCCTGCTCCTGCCAACCTAGCAGTTCAGAAGCACGTCAAAGTGCAAGCAGATAAATAGGTACCGCTCCGGCGGGAAGGTAAACGGCGTTTCTGTGCACTGCTCTGGTTTTGCCCTCCCTCAGGCCTGCGACCTTCTTTCCCCCAGCAACCACGTTGCATGGTTCCCATGTGGACCAGGAGACTGCCCTGAATCTGGACAGTCTGTTCCCATTTCCTTGCAGTGCAGGCGTGCTCAAGTCTGCTCTCCAAGTTTCAAACAGTTCGCCTTTAGATTCAGGGGAATGTTAATTGCATCTGGCTTCTTCCTTTTTTAAAAATACATTCGTTTCAAGGTCATTATACCTGCTGCTCATGGCACTTTCTTGGCTAATCATTAAACCTCTCCTTTCCTCTTGTACCCAGTCTCAGAAGCTAATGTTGTGCGCCTTTACCAGCGGTTCCAGGCCTTGGACAAGGATGAAAAAGGCTTCCTCAGGTAAGGAAGAGGGAAGGGAAAGGAAGAGGATGGCAATCTGAGAACAAGGAAGGAACTCAGAGGCCTCCGTCTGTAGACATTGCCCCACAACCAACACCCCACTGACCTTTACACAATAGAGATCCAGGCAGCTGAGTTGAGGTTTGTGCTTTTCCTATCCTGCCATGTTCTATTCACACTTGTGGACATGATATAGCCATGGGAACAGGGAAGACACAATTCACGTGAGAAGTTTTTCGTTTTTAAATTAAAAATAAATAAATATGAACTAATGCTCTTCTTCAAGCGCTAGTTCTCCATTTTATTTTTCTGAGACTGGTAAAAGGTTTTAAAGCTTGATTCAAGAGCCGTCTACAAATACAGTACTAAATACGTCAGAGCAAACTGGTCAAAAATGATGACACATTAAAGGTGAGAGGAGTGGCAATAGGTTCACCTGTCCAATGTGACAGAGCACACGTCAGAAATATACTGCTCTAGAATTCTGTGATTCCAAGAGTCAGCAGAGCAGAATTAAGAACAATTCACACCTGCAGAGAACACCAGTTCTGCTCCGTTCGGGGGGTCTTTTTAAGTTAGTTTTTCTGCAGGCAGAAGACCCGCAAGAGGGGAAAACGCAGTGGAGACAGGGATTTTCATAACAATGTCACGCTGATGCCCCATAAAAAGTTAGTAAACGCAGCAAGGATATCCCACAGTAAATGCCTACAGAAGCCCCTTAGCCACTGCTTTTGACCACCAAATTCCTGCTCATTTGTCTACACCTGATGTATTTCAGTTTTACAGTGTTTCATCCAGCTGACATAGGAAGTTAGGGCGCCCTGGCAGAAACAACTACATTATCACCTCAGCTTTCTGCACAACATCTGGGCGACAGATTTAGGGATGCAGGAGTTGAGGCTGTAGCACGGCCCCTGAGCTCCCAGTACGTTTAGTAGGCTGGTCTCTGCTACTAACAGCAGCACAGAAACTTTTATGGTTGTCCACTTCTCAAGTACTTAGGTGGATTGTAGCAGGAAGAGAGGCAATGTGGATTCAAAATATTCGCTGCCCAGACACTGAGGTCCAGCTCCAAGGGCCTTCTGGCAGTTCCCTTGCTGCGAGAAGCCAAGTCACAGGGAACCAGGCAGAGGGCCTTCTCGGTAGTGGCGCCCGCCCTGTGGAACGCCCTCCCACCAGATGTCAAAGAGAAGAACAACTACCAGACTTTTAGAAGACATCTGAAGGCAGCCCTGTTTAGGGAAGCTTTTAATGTTTAATAGACTATTGTATTTTAATATTCTGTTGGAAGCCGCCCAGAGTGGCTGGGGAAACCCAGCCAGATAGGCAGGGTATAAATAATAAATTATTATTATTATTATTATTATTATTATCATCATCATCATCACTGCAGGCCAGTCAAAGGAGGCGGGTGTGGGGTTAACAATTACACAGACAGCGCCTGAGCCGAACGGAACGAGTCGCCATGTCTCACACCATTTTGCTTGTTCAACCTACCAAACAATTACACAGACTTCGCACCAGGAAGACAAAGAAACCTTGGGGGTTTTTCTGCCTATGACCAGAATTCCTTTTATGTGTTTCCCCCCTGCTCGTTTTGGTCATCAGCCACTTCAGATATTCACTGTGAACAGAAAAGTTGGATGGAATAAAATAAATGAAAACCTAACATAAGCCCCCTTTGAGTTGTGGGGGGTTGGGCTAGATACCCCTTGGGGATCCCTTCCAATTCTGTTGCTAAAACTTATACGTTTTGTTATAGCTACGTTTTCTCCCTCTGCAGCAAAGATGACTTCGAAGGGATCGGAGAACTAGCAGTGAACCCCATCGGCGATCGGATCATTGATGCCTTCTTCCCAGATGGGTGTGTGTGTGTGTGTGTGTGTGTGTGTTGTGTGTAGGGAAGTCTCTGGCCCTGCCCAGTGCCATAAAAAACAGAAACCGCCCTCACTTGCCCCTTGCCCTCACTTCAGCATCCTGTCCTCTTCCAACAATACAGGGAATCAGACCTTAGTGCACAAGAATGATTCTAGAGTCCATTCTATGATTCAGGGTACTGCAACAGCCAAGTGTGCCTGGAGGGCTCTTCCGCTGCCTGCCCTCTTCTTGATTCTAGTCTATTATGTTCTTCCACAGACGCATTTGCTCTTGGCGAACATCCACAAGGAACGTCTCCCAGCCGCAATTCCCAAGTCTCATGAAAGGGCTCATCCTGTGTCTGCCTGAGAGCCACACAGGGTTCCTGCGTTGTCGCTGAGACCCAGCCAGGCAGGAGTGGCCTCTTGCAGGCAGTTCCCCAAAGTCCACGCAAAGACAAATCCCAGGGCTGAGAGGTGTGAGGCAGACACTGGCCTTGTCTAATGTAATCAAGGCCTGCCTCTTTTGCAGCCCTGATACAAATGCATAATTAAGGAAAACCCCTCAGGCTGATCAGGCTTCCTCAAGCAATGGCATGCTAAAGACAGGAAAGGAAGTACTGTATTTTTCACTCCATAAGATGCACCTAGTTTTAGAGGAGGAAAACAAGAAAGAAAAAAATTCTGAACAAAACAGTGGATGTATGATTTTTGTGGTTCATGCTGTGGTCACAGACATACGATCTGATGGTGAATTTGGGGTGAGCCAATGCAAAACTCCTGAGGATCCATATGGATCCGTGCTTTGTAACCACATTTTTGCACCACTGCAGCCCCACGCAACAGAGGGTGCGTAATTTTTTGGGTGCAGGCTGTAGCCATGGACATGCTATGCGATCTGATGGTGAAATTGGGGTGACCCAATGTAAAAATCCTGAGGGTCCATGGGCTTTTACCTCCTCCCTCCCAGGCAGCTAGCGTCCCTTATCTCTCTTCCGATCCCACCAATCAGCTGTTTCCTTTCAACACTCCCTTCCCTCTTGTTTGCCTTAGTGCCTTTTCCTTAACTGGAGCAGTTTTTTGCTCCTCCTTTTCTCCTAATTTCTCTCCTCATTGCTTTAGTCTTCCTGTTTCCCCCCTTTGCAAGTTTGCTGTCTTTACCTTCCCCCCCCCCAGGCAGCCTCCTTTATTGATAGCGTCCCTTATCTCCCTCCTGATCACTTGCTGATCAGCGGCTTTGTTTCAACACCCACTTCCCTCTTTCAAAAAAAAGAGCATGATCTGCTTTTTGCCCCTGGGAAATTCGGCTCCAGGGACCAGACATTTGCTCCATAAGACGCACAGACATCTCCCCTTACTTTGTAGGAAGACAAAAGTGCGTCTTTGGAGCGAAAAATATGGTAGCTCAGGAGCAGAGCACCTGCTTTGCATGCAGAAGGTCTCAGATTCAAACTCCAAGCATCTCCAGTGAAGGCAATGCAGAGCTAGATGGGCCAGCAGATTCCCATGTTCCTTCCTAGTAGGTAAGATTCCACAAAGGGTCTTGTTTCTCCCTAGGAGAGAGACTACGGACTTCCGGACATTCACTCGTGTGCTGGCCCACTTCCGGCCAGTGGAAGGACCCGGAGGCTCGCAGAACGCTAACAGCCGGCTTAGCAAGCTGAAGTGTGAGTGGACATACAATGGGTGTTCCAGGGAAAACAACTACAGGAGGGCGCCAAGAAGTACCCCTTGTAGCTGTAAGGGCTAGACGCTTGGTTGATTTCATTTAAATGAAAACTGAAACACTCAGGATACAGAGTTCCGCAGTCACTGCCAAGTTCCCCAGTTGTGCGGTAACAAAAGCACAGCACGCACATGCAACCTGGGCGCTTACTGTCCCCCCTTAAGTTGGACAGATCTATGGGCCGGCAGCACAACGTGGTGTCTCGCCCTAAACCTTCCCCATTGCTAACCTTCCCCCCCCCCCTTGTTCTGGTTCCTGTTCAGTTGCTTTTCAGCTCTACGACCTAGACAAGGATGGGAAGATCTCCCGAGCAGAAATATTACAGGTAACTCTTGCCAACAACTGGGGAAAGCTGCAGGGGTGGGAAAGGGATGTGCGTAAGAAGAATTAAAATCAGGGAGGGGCAGTGCTTAAAGATGCTATCCAAAGGAAAATATATCCTGCCCCGTAAACCTCAATGGAGGAGGAGAGCTGGCGTCACCCTGACAAAAGGAATGTGCTCTCTACATGCGTAGAAGCACTTTTTAAAATTCACATGTACCAGGCTAGAAACGTCTTGAGCTCAAAGCTGACTGTTGGAAGAGTCAGGATGGATAAAAAAAAGAACTTATCCACACAGCGCACAGTTAAACTGCGGAACTCGCTGTGGCTGGAGACAGTGACGGCCACCTACCTGGATGGCTTTAAAAGAGGACAGGACAAATTCACAGAGTGCAAGGCTGTCATTGGCTACTATCTCCATGGTCAGAGGCCGTAATGCTTCTGAATACCAGTTGCTAGAGGGACGCGGGTGGCGCTGTGGGTTAAACCACGGAGCCTAGGGCTTGCCGATCAGAAGGTCAGCGGTTCGAATCCCCGCGACGGGGTGAGCTCCCATTGCTCGGTCCCTGCTCCTGCCAACCTAGCAGTTCAAAAGCACACTTGTGCAAGTAGATAAATAGGTACCACTCCGGCGGGAAGGTAAACAGTGTTTCCATGCGCTGCTCTGGTTCGCCAGAAGCGGCTTAGTCATGCCGGCCACATGACCCGGAAGCTGTACGCCGGCTCCCTTGGCCAGTAAAGCGAGATGAGCGCCGCAACCCCAGAGTCGGCCACGACTGGACTTAACGGTCAGGGGTCCCTTTACCTTTACCAGTTGCTAGGAATCACAGATGGGGAGAGCTGCTGCTTTCAGGTTTCGCACTGGGCATCTGGTTGGCCACTCTGAGAACAGGATGCTGGACTATCCAAGCCATCGGCCTGATCCAACAGGGTCTTCTTACATTGCGAAGGTCACAAGTGCTTATCGTGCCAGGAACCCCAGGAAATTTATCCAAGGACATTGTTGCAGAAGCACGCCCAAGTTTGTGCTCCAGCCATCAGCAGAGCAAAGCTTTAGTCCCTCATCTTGATGAAGGCGGAGGAATAGGGAGAAGCAGCGCCCTTAAGAACCCCTCATCTCTCTGGCTACCCCTCTTCCCCAACTCCCAGGTGCTGAGAATGATGATTGGAATCGAGGTGACGGATGAGCAACTCGAGAGCATCACAGACCGAACCATCCAAGAGGCTGATAAGGATGGAGACAACGCCATCTCCTTTGAGGAGTTCGCAAAGGTCTGGGATAGGGGAGGTTCTTCCACACTGGCCATTCCCAGCTTAGTGCCCTCCAGATGTTTGGGCCTCCAACTCCCATCAGCCCCCAGATGGGAGGAGAACAAAACATCTGGAGTGGGACAAGGTTGAGGAAGGCTGGTCTATACACTGCAGAGATATGGACCCTGAGGAACATAAGATTAATTTCCAGCAATTTTTTTAAAAAAGCCAAGTGGATCTGTGTCTTCAAGGCAGCCACAGCCCAGGTGTGGAGAACCTCAGGCCTGGGGGTTGAATGTATCCCTCCACACCCTTCTATCTGTCCCTCAGGACTCTACCCAGAACGCTCCATCCTCTCTCCCCAGGCTACACACACACGTGTCCTCTGAACTCTGCTTGCCTGGATGGCAGAGATGGTTGTGGGAATGTGTGCCATGTAGAAGCTGTCCCACAAAGGTAATATTTACATTTATTGCCGCACCCAACACATCATTTGATCCCAGAAGATTGCCCAGAAGGGGGCCATGACCCTTGGGCTGAAGGCGGGGAAGGGAGGGTATAAATTTATTTATTTATTTATTTATTTATTTATTATTATTATTGAGATCCCCCACCCCTACACTAACCCCTTGTGGACACTCGGCTCCTTAACCCGAGTGGTGCTTGGTCCTGGTTTCCCCACTCGGTTTGCTTTTTATTAAGAGATTTATAAACTGCTCTTCCTCCAAGACACCAGGGTGGTGAACAGCGATGAGGCACCTTCTCAGAGGCACACACTGAATTATCCTTCAGTCACATTTTCCAGGACTGAGGTTCTGGCCATGAAAAGCAGTTCTAGGTCTGAGAAAGGCTAAAAAGCCCCAGTAAAGCTTGCTCCTTTTTTTGGTAACGCCAATCTTCTCCACTTTGTTTTGCAGTCTGTGGAAAAGCTGAACATTGAACAAAAGATGAGCCTCCGGATCCTGAAGTGATCCATCAGGGACCAGAGAAACCCCTGACAACTTGGGAAATGAATAAGTCTGGCTCCTGGCAGCAAAGGCTGCAGTTGCAAAAACTCACCTCTGCTTCCGATGGGCTGAAAAGAAACTAAATTAGAGATCTCCATCTAACAAAGATCCCTCACTGACACCAAGATGGGATCAGGAGCTGCTGACCAACAGAGGCCTGCCATTCCGTCAGCCATGTCTAAGCAGACCTCCATGGCAAGCGAGCCCAAAGTCGTAATCTTGTAAAGAAACCGTGGAGCATCATGCAAAGATTTCAGAATGCAGTTGGGGCCTAAAATGATTACTTCTTTTGGAAAAGTCCTCAATAGCCTGGGGTGGGCAGGGTGGGGGTATGGGAAAGAGGAGTTCATACTTTTGTGACCTCCCCTCCTTTTACGAAAAGCTTCGCAAAGGCAGTAGAATTTAATGCTGCCAGACAGCAAACGAACGAGTCAGAATTCATTTCCGGGAGATTTGATTTCAAGGTTTCATCAAAAAGGTAATACAAACTGGAACTGTGGCACTGGTGCCTGAAAACCTCCTTGGGAGTTATCGTTCCTCGATCGCATTTTCATTCATTAAAAGATACGCAAATTGCATCCACACAAAGCTGGAAGTGGTTTTAAATTATCTGCCCTATTTTATTTCCATTCTCGCATTCTGCAGCTACGTAGTAAGAATGTAGGAAGCTGCCTTGTACCAGGTCAAGGTTCTTCTCTTCTCTGGCTAGCAGCAGCTCTCGGGGGACGGGGGGGGGGGGACGTGTCTCACGCAGAAAAGGTTCTTTCCCGTCACTTAGTACCCGATGCTTTGGGTTGAAGCAACTCCCCTAGGAGGAAAGGTTTCAGCTCTGGGACTTTTAGAGCCAAAGGAAGAGGTGATGTTACAGAGGTGTATAACATTATGAACAGCACGGCGAACGAGGATAGAAAGAAGTTTTTCCTCCCTCTCTTGTACAGTGGTACCTCGGGTTACAGACGCTTCAGGTTACAGACTCCACAAACCAGAAATAGTCCCACGGGTTAAGAACTTTGCTTCAGGATGAGAACAGAAATCGTGAAGCGGTGGCGCAGCAGCAGCAGGAGGCCCCATTAACTAAAGTGGTGCTTCAGGTTAAGAACAGTTTCAGGTAAAGAACAGACCTCCAGAACGAATTAAGTTTTTAACCCGAGGTACCACTGTAATCCTAAAAGCTCGTGGGCATCCATTGCAGCTGAATGTTGGAAGATACGGGACAGAAAAAAGAAAGGATTTCATTACACAGCAGACAGTTAAACTGCAGCAGGAGGAACGGGTAGCCAACAATCTACATGGCTTTAAGAAAGGATTTGATAATTTCACGGAGAATAAGACTATCAATGGCTGCTAGCTGTGATGGCTATTCTCTGCCTCCACAGTTATGCCTCTGAATACCAGTTTCTGGAAAGGGAAGGGTGTTCTTGTGACCGCATCCTGCTTGCAGGTTTCCCACAGTCAACGGGTTGGCTTTTATTAGAACTGGGTGCTGGACTAAATGGGCCACTGGCCGGATCCAGCAGGCTCTTCTCATCCGTAAGAAAAGGGATGTCCTGCCAGCTGGGGACCTTCTGCATGCACAACAAGGGTGGCTCTGCCACTCAGCTAGACGTCTCCCTCTCTCCTTTATGTTTCCTACATCTTTGATGCTCTTGGTCTGTTGTTGTTGATGTTTGGTGGTTTAGTCGTTTCCGACTCTTCGTGACCCCCTGGACCAGAGCACGCCAGGCCCTCCTGTCTTCCACTGCCTCCCGCAGTTTGGTCAAACTCATGCTGGTAGCTTCGAGAACACTGTCCCACCATCTCGTCCTCTGTCGTCCCCTTCTCCTTGTGCCCTCCATCTTTCACAACATCAGGGTCTTTTCCAGGGAGTCTTCTCTTCTCATGAGGTAGCCAAAGTCTTGGAGCCTCAGCTTTAGGATCTGTCCTTCCAGTGAGCACTCAGGGCTGATTTCCTTCAGAATGAAGAGGTTTGATCTTCTTGCAGTCCATGGGACTCTCAAGAGTCTCCTCCAGCACCAGAATTCCAAAGAATCGATTCTTCAGCGATCAGCCTTCTTTATGGTCCAGCTCTCACTTCCATACATCACTGCTGGGAAAACCATGGCTTTTACCATACGGACCTTTGTTGGCAAGGTGATGTCTCTGCTTTTTAAGATGCTGTCTAGGTTTGTCACTGCCTTTCTCCCAAGAAGCAGGCGTCTCAGTCTGCTCACTGCATTTATACACTTTCTCCTTTCCGGATCAGCATACCGATCTTAGGATCAGGCCCAGCTCAGGCATTGTAAAAAAAGGAGCAAGACAATTGAGAAGTATGCACAGACGCAATTAGAGCCCCTTCTTCATATGCTTTGCTGAGCTACAGAAAAATAGGTGGTGTGGGGTTTTTTGGGGGGGGGCTTGCAGTTGAGAATCTTGTGCAGGGAGAAGGAAGGTATCCTGACAGACAGAAAAAGGGGTCCCATCAACCAAATGATACTAGGGGCAGCATGTTAAAGATAACACAAACCTCTTTTATCTGGTACTAACTGTTGCCGGAGCAAATACTTTTATATGCAAAGAGCTCTACGTGTCAGCTGCTGGTCAGGAGACGTGGGATGAACAGCAACTATACAAAGTATTCATGGTATGCTCTGGTACAAATCATGCAAAAATTTGCTGGGGCATACATTTCCCCGAGAGAGTTCCTCGTGTCAGGCAAGAACTCAGATCTTTGTCTCATTAAGAGACCAAAACATCTCCCCTCCCTGAACTGTTGCAGCCTTTCTGGAAAGCTGGGCACAGAATTATAAATTTTTGATGACACCATTAGCAGAGGTCCATCTTTTGTTCTCCGTTAGCAAATCTGCAGCCAAATCCAACTCGGGAGACAAAACTTGAGAAAGCCTGCATCGTCCAAGCAATGGCCCAACTGTCCTGCAGGCAAGAATTGCACCTCTCACCCCAAAGCACACTAATGTGTGCGTGTGTGCAGCACACACACACACACACACACACACACCCTTTACGTCACTGTAACATTTGAGAAATACCTCAATACAAGATCGTACCTCTGTACTCCATGTTAATGAATGTGGGTGGTCTATCACTCCCTGTTTTTCTGTATGGAGTCATTAAATGCAGATCATAAACATGCCCTGAAGCTCCACCCTGCGAGTGACCATGACAGAATGTTAAGCCCTATAAAGCCATATTCATGGCACGCCAGTATTTGCCCCGTATTTCCCCTTCAAGCCCACAGGCGCCCAGCCCACCCACCCCTGCCCTGCTACCCCCACCATTTCTCCTGCAGGGACCCCTCCTCCCTCTTTGCAGATCCAGCCCTCCCCCTGCAAGATTAAAGATACCAGCAGGCCAGTCCTCCCTGCATCATCAGATGATGTCATCTCCAACAGCTGGCCAATAGGGGAGCCCCCAGCTGGGAGCATCTCTGCTGCAAGACAGGAGGGCTGGGGAGGGAGCAAAAGCAGCTGCTGGGGGAAACTGGGGGGGCAGGGAGGGTCGGGTGGGGAGCTCCTTTGTTTCTCTTCCCTTTGAGGCTGCTCAATCCCGCTGCTCTGTAAATCCAACCTGGACTCTCCTCCTCGGGCGGCTGGCTTTGACATTGCAGGTCCTAACATATCCACCTGCGGCAGGAGCTCATTCATCGCTCTCCAGCAGCGGATACTTCAGCAAAGGACTGGTCTCCCTCCGATTCTTTAAAAGGAGACACTTTGCCTCTGCAGAGCAACTGGACTGCACCTGCTTCAGCTAGGAAAACACAGAAGCCAAGGCCACAGGGAAGGTACATTTCCTCTCATCAACCTTCGTATCAGCATCATATTACCTTTATTCCAGGGCAGGGAGATAAATGAGGGTGGGGGTGGGGAGGGGAGAGAAGAAGGAGGGAACGGAAACCCCTCTTTCTCAAGCAGGGTGGGTTTCCATTAAGGAGCATGCAGAAGAAACTGGGAGACATTTTACTGCATAGCTACCAGCTTGCGAGGTATAAGCCAGCCAAAGGTTTCCAGCGGGCAGATTAAGGGAATGGAGTGTGTTTCTGTGAATGTGAATGGATATGCCAGCAATGTTGCTGGCCTTCTTTCAAGAGACGTCATTTTTTAATTAGATTTGGGACTCACTTTTATTGTGGGGGGCAGGGAGGCAGTGTCAGAAATAAATCTTTTTGCAGATCCATATCCAGCGGTGCCCACTATGAATCGCAAACATCCGCTGAAACACTCCCCCAAGTTAACCAGGGATGGGGGTGGGTGGGTGAGTGTTCCCAGTTTTTGACAAATCTGAACATCTCTGTCAGATTTATGTCCCCCCAAACTGAAAAATCCCGGCCTGCTTCACATGTTTCTATCCCACCTCCCCTCTCCCTCCCCCCCCCAAAAGGTTTTGCCCTTAAAAGATTGTGGAGTCTCAGCGAACTGTCAACTTGCCATGATTTCTTTTCTTAGCTAAGGCAGAAGAATTAAGGCATCACCACCAATCCTACATTGTATTTCAGTAAACACTGGCTGTTTGCATGGATGTAAAACAAGGAGTAACTCAGGTTAAACACGGAAGAGCAGTCGGTGTCTTAACAGTGAAAACGACACAGCCCAGTAACAACTTTGTGCATATCTGAATCAAACTGATCTGATAGTTTTTTGCTCTTCCTAGGGAGGGTTCCCTGCGAACTGTAGTTCTGGGACAGGGGGTGGGACGGCTAGGGAACTCTGCCTGTCATTGCAGCGGACTACCATTCCCATAATCCTTTGAGGGAAGCCATGACAGTTAACACTGTTATAAAACTATTATGGTTTGTTGTTGTGCAGAGAGGCCCTTGGAGAGTAGCCATGTATTGTGGGGAGGACGTTTCGTAGGCATGAGCCGGCTTCCCCCATCCCATGCACAATGGGAATGGAAACAAGACCTAATTTGAGCCAGGGCTGAACCTGGAAGAAGCGAAGAAGCTTCTGTGCAGACTGCCTCTCCCTCGCCTGCACATCTGGAAGGCCCTGCACATCTGGAAGGAATTAAGAGGATGGGCTCATGACGCTAGTTGAGGAGTGGAACTGAGAAAGCCAAAGGCAGGTGAAAGCAGAGGCAGGTGAAGCCACACACGACAGGGCACATTAACCAGGGGTCAGCAAACTTTTTCAAGGGCCGGTCCACTGTCCTTCAGACCTTGGTGGGGGGCCGGACTATGGGGGGGGGGGGAAATGAACGAATTCCTATGCCCCACAAATAACCCAGAGATGCATTTTAAATAAAAGCACACATTCTACTCATATAAAAACACACTGATTCCCAGACCATCCGTGGGCTGGATTTAGAAGGCGATTGGGCCAGATCTGGCCCCCGGGCCTTAGGTTGCCTACCCATGACATTAACCAAGCGTAGAAGCAGGCAGAATGTGGCACAGCCATGACGCGCGCCAAATGCCAGAACATCAAATATATTGATGGTTTGACACCCAGCCAAAAAACAGCAAAACAATGTACTTTTAATGGCAAAGGCTACCTGGTACCTGTGACAAACATAATCAGAACCGAGAACTGAATTAGAAAAACACTACAAAGAAAAAACACTTGACAATTTCGTCTGAGGCACCTTGCACGCACAAATCCCAACTTCCTTCTCCAAACTCTTTGAATGCATTAAAAACAAACAAAAATGGAGACGTGCAGGTTCAAAAATTCTTTGCACAACTAATTTTTTTGTTTATCACACAGTAGACACAAGTTGGGGAACTGCAACCTTCCACACCTGCTTTCTGAGTGCTCAAAACAGTGGGACACACCTGGTTTTCTGCATGCCTGCCTGCCCGCCGACATGTCAACTATCAGTCCTGAATAGTGAGTATCTCGTGACTAAGGGAGAAGCCTTGTTGGTAAGAGGCTGTCTTCACAGCGAACAAGGAAGGTGGTGCCGGGTGAAAGGGCATTCTGAAATCATTCCAAATTGAGCACTGGGTTTTGGATGCTCACCCAGGGAGGGAACGAAACCACCAATCAGAGGCATCACAGACGCTGTGGATTAATTACTTTTTATTCATAATTAAAGCTTGCCCCTCTTCTCTTAAGAAGAAGGGGGGGGGAACCATGTATGTGGCTCCCTTCAACCCAAACCAATTTACAGTTGCTCACCAAAACGCCTTTCTCTTTTCTACCTTGTCAACAGTGACTACTTGTTTAAGCTGCTACTGATTGGCGATTCTGGAGTTGGGAAGTCATGCCTTCTGCTCCGTTTTGCGGTAAGGCTCTTTGGAAGGGGTGTTCCGGCACCTTGGCTAGCTTTTGCTGAAGTCTCAGAATTATTATTATTATTATTATTATTATTATTATTATTACCCCGCCCTCCCCGCCCAAAATCAGGCTCAGAGCAGCTAACATCAAATGCATAACACATTAACATAAAATAATAATAATTATTATTTTATAAAACGGAAAAGGCAAGCAGGACTCTCAGCTACATTTTCAACGTCAGGTCTTGCCCCAATATATAAAGAAGAAGATGCCTCCAAGCACACGCAAAGCATCTTAGAAATAAAGCTCCTATATTTGGCCAGTCAGACTATTGGGTCCTGTACTGTCTACTCGGGGCCTCAGCCAAGGGTCTTTCCTATCACTTGCTCCCAGGTGATAGGCCTTACTCTAGCCCGAGTCCAGCGCCCAACCATCAGACGTCCACCTGGTCAATGCAAACCACAGAAGTCACAAGCTGTGCCATAGAACAAACTTACAAACAGTTCCAGACCCAGGGAAAGGGTCACAAAAATGAAACACCAAGCTAATTTTGATGGGGGGTGGGGGGAATCTGCAACCCAGGCTGCCACCTGTTCTTCAACAGTGTGCTTGGCTTAACAGAGATAGGCTCCAGGTGAGCCTTTTCTAAGGGTGCTATCCCCACGTCAGAAAAAGGTTTCCTGGGTCACTTCCAGAAAGAAGCCTTATACTGTGTTCACAGGTCATAAAGATCTCGTTTTTCCTTATACATTAGCTCCCATGCACCCCTATTTTAGATAGCCAGTGCTATTTTTGTCCACATTAGTGAGTGGAGCTTAACAAGAATGGAGGTGTGCTGTGATTTGTTTTTTTAAAGAAATCCCTTCCCACCCTGAAATTCCAGACATGGATGGAGGGAAGTACTGGGCTGTGGAGGAGGGAGGTGAAGGGATTAATTGAAATTGTTGAAAAAGGGGGAGGACACAAAATACTGTGCACGTTGAACACTGGTAGAGCAATCATTTGGCGATAAAGCATTTCATAATCCAATACAGATTTATCTGCAGTCTCTTTGAGACATCAGCCATCTGCATGCATTGAGACAGACAAACAAGAAAGACTTACTTTTTCCAAGTTAAAATAAAATAAAATTCCAGACTTTGAATTCCCCAGATTTTTCATTTTAGCATTAGGATCACCATGAAGGTAGCCAAGGAAACTGAACTGGCAATCAAGAGGTATGGTGGTTCAAGTGCTGGACTAAGACCTGGAAAGTTAGGGTTCAAATCCCCACTCTGCCCTAAAACTCACTGGGTGACCTTGGGCCAGTCACTGCCTCTGAGCCTAACCTACCTCACTGGGCTGTTGCAGGAATTCAACGAGGGCGGAAACGTCTGCCACCTTAAGTTCCATGGAGGAAAAGGTGGGATACATATGCAGTCAATAACAGTGGGGTGGGTGTCAAGGCAAGAAGCTGCCTTGCAAAGAGACAGACCACTGGCCCATTTACCTTCACTGACAGGCAGGGCTCCCCAAGATCTGAGGCAGAGTTCCTTCTCAACTCTACCTGGAAAGAAGATGCTCTACCTCTTCAGTATCTTACGATTTCTTAACTTACAAACGATACCATACGATATGACGTCTTTATTGTCATTGTCCCACACAGAACAATGAAATTGAAAAATCTACATAAGACATTCAAAACCCCATAAAAACTCTGAAACCCCATTTTAAAATACAATATACTCCTATAGAGACTCCTTACACTGCGTTTAGAACCAAAATCGCATTTGGATAGAAACTGTTTCTCAGGCAGCTAGTCCTGGTCTTATTAACCCAGGACCTTCTTCCAGAAGGCAGAAGCTGAAAGAGATCATTTCCAGGGTGCGCACTGTCTTGCGCTATCTCTGCAGCTTTCTTACGACACCTGGAAGCGTAGATTTGATCCAAGGTTGGAAGAGTGCACCCAATTATTCTTTCTGCAGTCTTTACAATCCTGGACAGCATTGTTTTTCCCCTGACCGTGCAGCTCCCAAACTACACACACAGACCGTAAGTTAATACACTCTCAACAGTACAATGGTAAAATGCCATTAACAGGTCGTTTGAGAGATTGTTTATCGGGAGGATTCTCAGAAAATATAACCTCTGCTGTGCTCTCTTCACCAGGTCTTTGCTGTTTTCTCCTCAGGTTAGGTAATCTCTCAACTCCATTCCCAGAAATCGAAACACTGAGACCTGTTCCACACACTTCCCCTCAATAATAAGTGGCTGAATATTCAATTTACATTTCCTAAAGTCCACAATAATCTCTATTGCTCCCACTCAGACACAGCACATTATCTCAGCAGAATGCCACTACTCACATGCACACTTTCTTTTCTTCTTCTCTAGGATGACACCTACACAGACAGTTACATCAGTACCATCGGCGTGGACTTCAAAATCCGGACAATAGAGTTGGAGGGAAGGACTATTAAGCTGCAGATTGTAAGTATATCCACAGGGCTGTGGAAACAGGAGGCTGGAAATTGAGCCTCCTGGATTCTCTCCCTCTGGTGCAGGTTGCAATGGCTAAGAGCTCCTGTACCTTAAACAGCTGCACAGAATCTAGAATCACAGCAGGTGCAGCTTTTTCTTCTCCACCTTGACAAATTGTTCCACTCAGCCACTTGTAATTAAGGACCCTATAAAAACACCTTGAATGTTCTGTGAAATGATAACCTTCCAGTGGAAGTTTTGACATTCTTTAACAGCAGCCTTAGGAGCTGCTTCAAATTCTAGATTTGCTGACAGGTCCAAGGGATGAATCCAGCTAGAACAGTGTGCTGAAATATACAGTATGTGTATTTATGTAAATGTTGTGGCAACTGAATATACATGCAGACCTATGATAACTTCCCCTAGTTTCCCCTAGTATATAATTACATACATATACATATACATACACACACACACACACACACACACACACATATATTTATTTGCATGCAATTCACCTCGTATACAATGCAGTGGGAAACGAAGCCACTGTCTTGATTCAGACCTATATGAACAGAATCAAAATTTCTGTTAAGTTCCATTTTGGTTTCACTCATTTTCTCATACAGTGGTGCCTCGCAAGACGAAATTAATTCGTTCCGCGAGTTTTTTCGTCTAGCGAATTTTTCGTCTTGCGAAGCACGAAATCCCATAGGAATGCATTGAAATCCAATTAATGCGTTCCTATGGTCAAAAAAAGTCCAAACAAAGCCAAATTTGGTACAACAAGAGTTTATTAAGTGCTCTTTAAAGTCATACTGTAAAGAGCATTTCAAAAATTGAAGGAACAATAAATTAAGTTTCTAAACGTGACAGAAAAACATTTAAAAATCAACAAAGTGTACATTTTCTAAGACTCTGGGGGACAACTCGAAGAAGGTTCCTCTTCCACTCTTTGCTTCTTGCTGAAGAACCCCCTCCTCAACTGTTCCCCCAGCCACCCACCACACAGAAATTCAAATCCAGATTTTTTTAAAAAAACAGCAGAGTGGCCCAATGGTCACAGAAAATCATAAAAATTCAGGAAAAAAACCACACAAGCTTCCAGATTCTTGCAAACCCCTCCCCAACTGTTCCCCCAGCCACCCACCACACAGAAATTCAAATCCAGAATTTTTTTAAAAAAACAGCAGAGTGGCCCAATGGTCACAGAAAATCATAAAAATTCAGAAAAAAACCACACAAGCTTCCAGATTATTGCAAACCCCTCCCCAACTGTTCCCCCAGCCACCCACCACACAGAAATTCAAATCCAGAATTTTTTTTTAAAAAGCAGCAGAGTGGCCCAATGGTCACAGAAAATCATAAAAATGCAGAAAAAACACACAAGCTTCCAGATTCTTGCAAACCCCTCCCCAACACCAAGTCCTTGAATTCCAAACACCCCAACCCAAAATCCAAAAACCCCAAAAAAGTTTTAAAAGTTTAAAAGAAGTTTTGGAAAAGCTTCAAAAATCACCAAAGTCTTCAAAAACCTCAAAAAGGGCTACCACACCGCGTTCTATGAGTTGCTCCTCGAAGTCAAGTCGTAACTGTATTAACAGTGTTAAGAAAAAGGAAACAAACTTGCAAGACGTTTTCTTTTTTCGTCTTGCGAAGCAAGCCCATAGGGAAATTCATCTTGCGAAGCAGCTCAAAAAACGGAAAACCCTTTCGTCTAGCGAGTTTTCCGTCTTGCGAGGCATTCGTCTTGCGGGGCACCACTGTACTCTTATTACATTCTCTTGTTGAAAACCGAGTCACATTTCTAACACTGCCCACTAGAAGGCAGCACTGACCAGAACAAACACATCTCTTTGCCCCACAGTGGGATACTGCAGGGCAGGAGCGCTTCCGAACAATCACGTCCAGCTATTATCGAGGTGCGCATGGCATCATCATTGTATACGATGTGACAGACCAGGTAAGTTGGACAGAGAACAGCTTTTCATTCAAGAAAAGCAGAGGGGAGACACTAGACCTTAGGTAGGATGTTCCTTTGAGGGCAACTGTGACCATCACAGCGCAGAATCACAGAATTGCAGAGTTGGAAGGGACCCAAAAGTCAGCTAGCTCAACCCCTTGCAATGCAGGGTATCTTATCCCTTGCAGGGATTGTCAGTATGCCTTTCAACCAATGTCAGCGACTGGTTCTGCCCCGACTGGGCTAGGTGACTGGAGCACTTTCAGAGACCTTCCAATCCTGGAAAACAGGTCCCTGTGCATTGGACTCACAACTGTGCATTGTGAGCACCAGACTCATGAAGAGTATAAATAACGCGGAAGCTAGCTGTGAAGCATAACTCCTTTTATTTCTAATAGCTACTACAAACTAACGAAGTACTGGCTTGCATGAGTGTTACAGCTCCCACTCAGCCATCTAGTCACTACATAGATAACACACAGAGACAGGCAGTCAGTCAGGAGCGGAAGAGTAGAAGAGCAGTTTCCGCCCCCTCCTTTCTCAAAACATCAGATCAGGAGATTCTAGCAATGGGAGGGGGTGAAAATATCAACAGGGATATCCCTGCAAGGGATAAGATACTTGGCAGCAAGAAAAGCAGCTGCCCCATCCAGATACCTTGGGCCACCAGTAACGGAGGCAGACTCCCACAAAAATTCACTACCACAAGATGCAGCAATGTCCACTCCACTAAATTAGATAGGTTTAAAAGCGGATATGATAGATTCCCCTTTAAAAGACAGAAGGAGAGCTTTAGGAAACATTCCATAAACCTCCATGTTATGGCTCCTCTGTTCAGAGGCGAAATGATACTAAGCATCATTTGCTTGAAATCATCAGAGGAGGACAGTTATTGCCCAGTTTGTGGGCTTCCAAAGGGCATCTGGTTGGCCACTGTAAGGGAACAGGATGCTGGACTGATGAACCAGCAGGGCTCTTCTTATTGCCACCAGAAAGTTCTCTTGCCAAGCCCCATGTAATGAATGAGGGTAGAATTGCAAATGCATCCATATAATTTAATAGCACACATTTTTAACTAACCTTCCTGCTCCATCTATCTCAGTGTTACTGATGGGCAGCATAAGAGAGGCAAGGAATTAACTTTTGAAAAGCATCCCTATCTAATCACCTGGAAGGGATTCTTGCTCACCATAGGTGACTAGGCAAGCAGTTATTTAGAAGCTTGGTTGGTGAGAAGAAGCCAGGGACAGACAAATGAACAATATGGTTAGGGAAGAAGAGGAGTTTCAGCAAACATGAGGCCAGAGTAGCTCACTGCTGCTGCTACCCACATACTTAAACGAACCGCTTCTCTGAACTTTGTTCCTGCCCCTTTCCAGGATTCCTTCAACAACATGCATCTCTGGCTGGAGGAAATCAACCGCTATGCCAGTGAGAACGTCAACAAATTGATTGTGGGAAACAAGAGCGACCTCACGAGCAAGAAAGCAGTGGATTACACTACAGCCAAGGTGCATAAATAGGGGAAAGGGAAGGGCACGCATCAAACCAGCTTCTACCCTTAAATTGCTGAGAAAGCAATTTCACCTTCAGTGAAACTAGCTGCATTCGCACTCTTTCATTTTCATTCATTCTCTTTGTCGTCTCCCCGACTCCTGAAGGAGCTTTTAGATTGTAAATTTCTTGATACAAGAATTTAAGCAATAAACATATTGCTTATGTTATTTCATAAACTGCAGTGGTGCTAGATCAAAAAGCCAGCTTCTACCTTATGAAAAGCTGGGCAGCAGAGTCGCCTCCTGATAGTTCTCTTTCAGATCACCCCATACTATTCTATTTCTACTAATAATTTTATTATTTGTACCCTGCCCCATTTGACTGGGCTGCTAATAGCTGTCAGGGCCGCAACATTTGTTTAACAAGTTTATTTAGATATTTTAAAAATGTACAAACAAAGCTTTCTGTAAAAACAGATTCCAGGGCACTACAGAGAGAAATCTAAAATTACAGAAATGCATTATACAGAATAACATTTAATTGCTATAGAAAACAACAAAGAGTCTCTTGTGGCATGTTAAGGGATTCTTAGTTGCTTTTGCTGCAAAAGGCTTAGCACGGCTACCTGTCTGCAGATCATCGCTGAGTCTTCATTGTTGTTTTGTCTCGTCCTCCCTGCACGCAGGAATACGCAGACTCCCTTGGGGTGCCCTTCCTAGAGACCAGTGCGAAAAACGCCACCAATGTCGAACAGGCCTTCCTCACCATGGCGGCAGAGATCAAGAACCGGGTGAGCAGCGGCCCCACCCAGAACGACAGCCATAAGTCCAACCTCCACATCCAGAGCGGCCCCCTGAGGCAAGAAGGGCCTGGCCAGGGAGAAGATGGCGGAGGAGGCTGTTGCTAAGAGAGCAGCCACCCAACGAGCGAAGGAGTGGGAGGTTCGAGGAACGCACAAGGGGGAGGGAGCAGCGGTGAGCCTTGGGCCTGCAGAATGGCCAACGATGACGACGGGACCCCCTTTTTCTTCACAGCATCCCAACGGACTTGGAATGCACAACCAAACGTCTCCTGGCAAAACAGCCTTGGCCAGTCTGTGTTTGCTTCATCCCGTTTCCCTGACTTTGGAGCTGTCCTATCTTTTCCTGTTTAGCAACCACCTCCTGACCTGCTGTACCAACACACACACACACACACAGCCCAGTTTCTTTCTCTTAGCAAATCTCCTCCCAGCCCAATGGAACATGGGACCTACCAATTGTCTTGCTGCATAGAAAGAGGGAGTCGAGGGTAGCAAGGGGGCGGAGAGACCCTTACACCAGATTCATTCACCTAGAATTACCATCATTACCTGGTTCCGCTTCCACACACACCAAAATGGGTTTCGGAGCATGCAATCAAGATCCCTTGGCAGTGTCTAACAGCCACCACCTCCCCCTAAAGCCTTTCCTATTTTTTAAAAAATCAGTACTGTATTGCTGAAGGCTGTTCAACTGACAGAAAGGGTAGATTTCCACTCTTCTCTCGGCCACCCCTTCCCGCTACCGTCTCCCCAAAACTCCTGCCTGCTAGCTCTGGGAGCATAACTGCATTACAAACTTACATTAGTCCATGGATCCTGGGGGTTGTAGTTTGGCAAGGGTCAAGAGAAGTTTCTCTTCCATAGAGTTCCCCACCAAAGAACTACAGATCCCAGAATTAAGGGGAGAAACTGGAATAACTCTTTAACCTAACGTAAGCGTGTGATGCAGCCATAAACACAGTACATCCACGCCCAACGTTTCATGGATGAAAATACGGACACCGTTGCGCATGCGTAACATGCCTGTTCCGCCACTACAGATCACTGTCTTGGCTCTCCCCAAACCCAGCAATACACAGACATTGTTGAAGGTTTTCCTCCCCCAGTGCACCTTAAGGCTCATTCATTTATGTCCATGTAACTTAGATATCGGTGGGAAGGGCTGAAACTTGAGGAAATCCTAGTCTGCGCACATGTGCTAACTAGTTTAGAGAAGGGGAAAGGGCACTCCCCAAAGCCCAAGCAGGGATGATGTTTCACCTTGGGCAGCTACTAGGAAACAGGGACAGGCAACCCACCTGCCAGCGTATGGTGTGTGATTTGCAACCTCGTGGCGATGCAACTGTAACCCCATGCCTGCAACAGGTCAGAAGTCCAGGGTAACAGGATTTAACATTTCCACTTGCCTTTTGGATGGTTTGCAGGCCTTATGGTGCTCCTAACACCAACAGCATCAAGAAATGGTAGCAATCAACTCTTGTTGGCAGAGCACAATGTCTAACTCCTTTTTCTCATCTGTTTTTTCATTTTATTTTTTCACATTTTGCCCTCAAGGGTTGCAATGCTAATTTGCCCTTTCTTTAAATAAGTAGGTTGGCAAGTTTTCTATTCATCCAACATACACGTGTAGTATGTATGTTGGTACCCTACTGATTTATCTGTCACTCTGGAAAATACTGAAAAACTGAAAGGTGTTAAGAGAGAGCAAGCCTCTAGCCCTCATGGATGTGAAATATACAGGGCTTCTCTGTGGAAAGCTCCAAAAGGCAGGGGCCCCAGGGCTTAGGGGAAGGGAGCTGTGGTCCTATCTGATTCTCTGTTTCCCTTCTCCACATACCTATTTACCATGCAATCCTGATTTCAATACCCCTGCACTAATTTTGAGGCCATATTCCTCACCGCCACAGATGAACATCAACAGGAGGCAAGGACTTTCCCACTGTCAGTGGGAACTATTAAAATCAAACTGCCCAGCATATGAAACATCTGGTGGGACTGAGAAGAGGACCCTGAAGAACATCTGTCCCCATGAGCTCACTTTGCTGCTGTCGCCATATTTGGGGGGAGCACAGCCAGGAGTCACATGATACCATAGGCTCCTTCTTTTTAAGGGCAAAAGCATTTCCCTATAAATGTTTGTGTGTGTGTTTTGCTTTTTTTTTTTTGCCTTTTTTTTTAACCGTGAACTGCTTAGAGAACAAATATGGTTGAAAATATTTTGAAGTAAACTTCGCTTCTCTCCTTGCCCTGGGTCTCTCACCCAAAACGAAATTTCTCTTTTAACAGATTGGATTTGTCAGCCGGACTAAATGCAGAACCAAGCAAAGGCTCGCAACGTTTATAACTCTGGCAGTTTATTCGAACGGCAGAATTCAGCATGAACTCCTCCAGAACTTGGTTGGCGGGCAGGGGTATAAAACGAGGGCAAGGGTTTTGTGTGTTTCTGGACTGCGTCACAACATCTTGTGAAAACTGAAAACGTTGCTGGATGTAATTTGTCTGATTAAAAGCTTGACAGGGTGCAGATTAAAACAGAAAACAGCTCACTGATTAAGTGGAGTGATCCATCTGTACTCTCTTGGGACGCTGGGAAACAGAGGGCCTGATTTCTGGCCGCAGCCTCTGAGCTTAGCCCCAGTGAAGGTCACAGGTCTGTCAGCATAACAGATGAAGGACAAAAGTGCAGGGTTTCGGAGTTGCTGTATTTGATGTTTTGAACTGTACACTGCCCTGGGAGTCTTGCGCTGAAAGGCAGCCTAGAAACAGATCAATGCTGGCAAGGTCCTTTGCCAAACCCACTCAGTGATAGCAATGCAGGGAGAGGGGAATTCTCTACAGCCACACAGCCCCTTTTTCGGTGCTTCTTCTTCTTAATTTATGAATTATAAACTCACGAGCCTCAAGGTGATTTGTAAACATACCATTTTGACATTAAGCAGTATATAAATAAATGAACAAGCTGAAAGAGCTTTTTAAAAAACAAAACAGAAAGAAAAAAGGCTTCCATTGTTTCCAGTAAGTACAAAGAGCAGGTGTGGGTGCCTGTCAAACCTCAATGGGGATGCTGTTATGGCTGCCATTGTGACTCATGGCCATTGATAAATAAATGCGAGCAAGGGAAGAGAGAGGTCGGGGCATCTAAAAGCTCACCAGGCAATAGACAGAGATGTTTCAGGTATATACCTTTTCTTAAAAACAATTCCCAGTCTTTTAAATACTCTTTAGTGTATGATGGGATTTTAACTCATGCCTGGATTTCTTTTGATGTTGCCTTTTATCTGCTACGCTGTTTTATAATTTGCATTTTAAACCTTGCTATTGTTCACAGCTCCAGACATTTTTTTATTTTTAAAAAGATATTTGACATTAAATAAATCCACTGGAATTCCCCATGCTTGAGAATATAAGAAGCAGCCAGTTCCTTTTGTTCCTTTTGACTATTTTGCACAAGACACAGACTTCCTTTGTTTTCAAGGCCACATGCTCACCCCACAGCACAATGAGAAGAGAACCAGGAAGAGCCAGGAAGACAAGAGCTGCTCTGAAGTTGGGTCAGAACAAAGGCCCATCTAATCCAGCATTCTGCTCTCCCATTGGCCAGCCAGGTGCTCCAATGGAAAGCCCATAAGCAGGACACTGGCTCTGCCAAAAGCTCACTATATAATCTTACGCAAGTCAGTTACCTCCCCAGCTCATGATATCCATCCTCAAATACTTTCATTTACTGGAATACTTCTATGCTGCCTTTTGGTCAAGCAGACCAGGCAAGTTATCTAACAATACAATGGTACCTCTGGATGCAAACGAGATCCGTTCCGGAGCCCCATTCGCATCTAGAGCAGAACACAACCCGCGTCTGTACATCTGCACATGCGCGGGTCGCGATTCGCCGCTTCTGTGCATGCCATCATTTTGAGCGTCTGCGCATGCGCGAGTGGCGAAACCCAGAAGTAATGCGTTCTGTTACTTCCGGGTCACCGCGGAGCGCAACCTGAAAACGCTCAACCTGAAGCGACTTTAACCCGAGGTATGACTGTACAAAGAAGGGGAAAAGAAAACGCACACCAACTCCCAAACAGAACAGAACATCAAGCTCACACATACACTATATTCAGCATTCCAACTACCCAAGCTCAAAGTCTTGGGTAAAGAGCGTTGCCTTCACCACCCACTAGAAAGCAGGCAGCAAAGAAGCCAGGTGCCCCCCCGGGAAATTCACCAGCAAAAGACGGCAGAGCTGAGCCACCCGTCTTGATCCAATTGCACAGGCAGATTCATCTGGGAGGAGGTAGTCCTCAAGACATGGGGATAATAGTAAACTACTTGGCAAGGTTGTTGAAAGGATTGCTGCGACATGTGTTGGAAGCATTTTGAAGACTCTAAAGCAAGGGGTGGCCTAACTTAGGCCACCAGCAAATGTCCTGTCCCTCCACCCCGACTCCACCAGTTTTGACACTGGGGACAAAAAGAAAAATGATAATAGAGTGTGCTGCGATGGAGAGAGCCCAAGTTGCCTTGATAAGCAGAGATGGAGCACTAGCCCCCCTCCTTAGCTGATCTCCACATAGCAGGGGGGAGGGTTAGCAGGGGCGTTGGGGGGGGGATGTATGCAAGCATGCAAGAGCCTGTGTCCAAGAGTGTGGACTGGCCACGTCCACTGCTGGCATGCAGCTCCCAGAGGACTGGCAAAGGATGAATGTGGACCTCATCCTCAGGCCAAAAAACATTAGCCACCATCTGCTCTAAAGCACCATATAAATGTGCTTGTTGTTGTTACTACTGCTGCTTATTTCTTGCTTGTGAGATCACAAACTGCTGAGCCCCTGAAGCTCCAAATCATCATCTTATTATTTGTATACCATTTTTCCACAATGGTGCCCAAACCAGCGCATCAGTGTCTGAAATAAGGGCACCAGGACATCTCATTTAGATCAAGGCTTTCAGAGTTTGTACGGAAAGCCTGGCAATGCAGTTAACATGACACGCTAGGTACTATTTTAGAGTAAAGTTCACAGCTTTGCCTCGATTTGGACAAGCAGCCACACAAAAATTCTAAGGTTTGCAATTCTTTACTTCAGCAGTAATATCTGCAAAGACTGTTCTACAAAATTAGCAGCCAAAACAAGTGCATTTCCAAACAAACACAAAACGGCCGGCTCTCAAACCCCTTGTCATAAAAGACACCCAATTAAGTACAACCTGAATGTGTGACAATTTCTCATTTATTTCCACCATGAAACAGAACCAAAGTGTGACAAATTGTGGAGAGGAGCTGACAGAAACCAAACTGCGGTTTAAGTGAAAAATTGGCCTGGGATGCTCAACTGGATCCTGCCTTTAACTGTTAAAGTTTCAATTGCAAATAGCAAAATAAATAAATAAAAATCCCCAAAGCTAAGCCTTCAAATCCACAGTAATGAAATCTGAAGACGTTTGCTTACGTGTTCTCTGAGATTAGTGTGTGCATATTTAAAGATCAGGGAAATGTGCAGTCTTTATAAAGGTACAGAGAAGTTTGTCACACAGCCTCCTTCTCACATGGTTGCGCAAATCGTGCGTATTTCACATGTTACCCTGACCTTCCTGCAACACACTGAATTAAACAGAGACTGAATTAAAATGTAACAATAAACTATGGTTTAATAGCCCATTGTATATTATTCCAGGAATAAACTGCAGAGGGAGGCTGCCCACTGCCCACTCTCTTCCTCCAGCAGGGTTGAGAGATCAGAAGCTTCCACTTCCTTTTTTGATTAACCATACGTGCAAATCCTAAACCGAGGTTAATCTTAACTATGGTCTGTGTTGAAACAAGCCTGTTTCATTACCCATCCCAGAGGAGAGTCAGGGGAGTGGGACAGCTCAGGGCTTTCTGTGCCTCATTCCCAAAACAATCACCATAGTTTGTGGCTGTGTTTGGACACAGCCCCAAAGCAGGTACAAAGAAAAAGTAGAACTCTAAGTAAATGTCAAGTCAGAACTTTAAGCCTCAGTTACACACCCAACTTTCCTATTCCATCATAGGAAAGGACTGCTGTGAAAACGGCATCATGGCAAAACGATGTATTTAAACATTTATAGCCCCATCCATCCCCAAAGTACAGCAACGTTTAGAGCTCTCCATTTGCTAGGTGAAGATTTACCAGCCTTGCGCACACCCACCCAGCCAGCCATCCACCTTAAGCCTGAAATGTCTTCAGTATGCAAGCAGTAGCTTAGCCAGCAGTGCAGTCTAACTGGGGAAGATGTCCACCAACTGCTTTTGGGGCCACTTGCCAAAGTCTTGCGAGCTCAGCTGGGCATACACCTGGTGCTTGGCTGTCTGATAGACCTCAGCTTTGACCTAGTTGAGGGAAAGAAAGGAGGCGTCTAGAAGGGATGTTCGAGAGAAAGATTTGTGAGCCCACCAACACCCACCTTGAAATTCTCCTTATTTACTTATTTTCTTTATCATCTTTTTTCTCGTTATTAAATTTATATACTGCCCTTCATCCAAAGATCCCTGGGCGATTCATTCACAACATAAAATAGAAAATGAGAATACAAAATACTTAAAAAAACAAATACAACCCTCCTGGGGAGAGCATTCCATGAACAGGGAGCCACTGCATAAAAGGCCCCCTCTTATGTTGCCACCCTCTGGACTTCTCACTGAGACACATGGAAAAGGGCCTCAGGTAGCTGGGCTTACCCAGTCAGATGGGTGGCATATAAATATTATATTATTATTATTAGTTTTATTACAGAATCTGGGTCAGTTCATATGAGAGGCGGTCCTTGAGGTACTGTATTGCAGTCTTGAGCTGTTTAGGGCTTCATAAGTCAAAACCATCACTTTGAATTGGGCCCAGAAACTAATTGACAGACACTGCAGTCGGGCCAGGATTGGCATTGTATGCTCAAACTGTCTTGCCTCTGTGAGCAACATGTCCACCAAACTTTGCAGCAGCTGAAGTTTCAGAGGCAGCCCTATGTATAAAATGTTGCAGCAATCTAACCTAGTTATCTGAGCACAGACAACAAAAGTTAGACTATCCCTGTCTAGACAGGTGCACGGCTGGGCCACCAGCCGAAGCTGATGAAAAGGACTTTGCACCTGAGACTCAAGCAACTTCAATGGACCCAGAAGTACCCTCAAGCTACGTACCTGCTTCTTCAGACCCCATCAAGAACAGACCACCTCAATGAAAGGAAAACAAGGGAACCAAAACCCACCACACACTCTTTGGGGCAACTGAAAAGACTCACCTTGGCTTCATAATATGTGGGCAGCAGCATCAAGTCTTCTCTCTTCATCTCCTGAGCCACCTTCCTGAAGGATTTCAGCATGGCAGCCTTGCAGAGCCGACTTGGGCGGTACTGGTCAAATGGATTCGTCATGCTGGCAGAGGCAAGAGCGATCCATCAACAAGGGGTGTTACATGAATCAACAGCAACACCTCACAACGAAGCAGGACCTCAACAAAAGCCAGTGTGTCCCAGCACACAATTCAACCACAGTACCAAGAAAGGACATGAGTGAGAATGATCAGGTTCTGACTCAAGAATCCAAATTTGATAAAATGTGTGGAATTAACAGAATCTGAATTCAGCAATTACCACTATGCCTTCCTTTCTACATGACCCATGCAAGCTTGCATTTTGTGTGTGTGTGTGTGTGTGTGTGTGTGTGTACACACCCACACACACACACCCATTCTTCCTACATGCGATGTGGTTATTTGCAGGAGGAGTAAGTCCTCGTTTTAAGAAAAAACAAACTATAGTGTTCCACTGACATGCAGCCATTTTTAGCCTATCAGTAGTGACAAAGTAGCCTTTAGTACTGGATTTGAATTTCTTTATGGTTTTGTTGCCAACGTTTAGAGCTTAGAGGTAGGGAAAACTGCACTGGACTCCCAACAGCTGGAGGACCTTTTATTTCTCAGCCCCCTGCCTCCCAAAACACAGGCCTGAAGCAAAACTTGGCATCAAACAGTAGCTAACCCTCAGCTGTTTCCCATTTCAACCACCTGTAATGCAGTGAATTTTCAGATACCCAAACACATAGAGACATTGTCGGGCTTTACTTTTGACTGGCTGCCCCTGCTCCTGAACAACCCAAGTGACTTATTAGAACAAGGGGTGCCTGCATAAAGAGCATAATTTACAGAAACAGAGAAGCCACCGAATTCTGCTTGTCGAGTTTGGATCCTTTTATCAGTAGTAAAACCACAACTGATTCCACACACACACACACTCATAGGCCTACCCCATTCCCACACCCAAGCCCCCAGTGCCCCAAACTCACTCCTGTACTGCCTTCCCAACAGCTGCGTTCACTAGTTCCAGCATCTCGTCTCCCCCACACCAGTTGAAGCTCAAGGAGCGAAACTCTGCTGGCGTGTCAAGGGACGCGGCACAGGGACCCTTAAAAAGGTATATCTGTCTGTGGTTAAATGGCTTTGGCAAGCTATCCGAGGCTGCCAGGTTCAATCGCTCATTGATGACCTTATGGAGGGTGTCATGGTCTTGGTAAGGATCAGCTGAAACGTGAAATTAGGAGAGAGAGCAAGTTACTTGTGAGGAGAAGGTAACGAATTCCAAGGTTGTTGTAATCTGGGAGCTTAGTGCACAGCCAGCCCCACATCTGCAGGGGCTGCCAACTCTGCCCAGGACAATTGAGGCACTGATGTGATTTAAGCTGCAGTCAGAGAGAGGGGCAAGGCAGTAAATGGCTCAGCTGCCATTTAAGGAGCCCCGACCTGCCCCTGCACTTACTGTGCCATGGGGTATTACTATGACTATTTTATTTATTAAATCTGTATACCACCCTTCATCTATAGATCTCAGAGCAGTTCACAACACAGAGTTACAATATAAAAGCAAAAAATACAGAATTAAAATAACGAAAACAAACCAATAATCCGCCCCTCCTACAACACATTTAAAAGAGCATCCGATGTCAATCAGCCGAAGGCCTGGTTGAAGAGGAACATTTTCAACTGACATCTAAAAGGGTGTAATGAAGGCACCAGATTAATCTCCTTGGGGAGAGGATTCCACAAATGGGAGCCACTGCAGAAAAGGCCCTGTTCTTGTGTTGCCACCCTCTTGACCCCTTGTGGAGGAGGCACATGAAGAAGGGCCTCAGAGGATGATCTCCGGGTCCAGGTTGGTTCATATGGAGAGAGGTGGTACCCCTGAAGGGAGTGTCCCCCCCCCCAATTCTTTTAAATTTTTTTTCAATCCCCAGAGAGTTGGCTTTGGGTGCATCCCCTGCAAGAGGGTCCCCTCAGAGGCTCCTTAGGACCCTGTGTATTAGCATGCTGATAAAGTTCAAAATAGGGATGCGGGTGGCGCTGTGGTCTAAACCACTGAGCCTCTTGGGCTTGCTGATCAGAAGGTCGGCGGTTTGAATCCCCACGACAGGGTGAGCTCCCGTTGCTCGGTCCCAGGTCCTGCCCACCTAGCAGTTTGAAAACCTGTCAAAGGTAAACGGCGTTTCCGTGCGCTGCTCTGCTTTCACCAGAAGCAGCTTAGTCATGCTGGCCACATGACCTGGAAAAACTATCTGCAGAGCTGACAAAAGCCGGCTCCCTCTGCCTATAAAGCAAGATGAGCGCTACAACCCCAGAGTCGTTCGCAACTGGACTTAACTGTCAGGGGTCCTTTACCTTTAAAAAAAAAAAAAAAACCTAAAAGGATTTTTGTTCATTTAGTGCCTCAAGGCAAGGAAAGCCCAGTGTCCTGGGATGTACAAGCATGGAATGGAAACATTTCTGCAGTTTGGATGCTGCCAATACAGTTCATGGGCTCTTTATGCGAGTTCTGTAGTAACAAAAACATACGTCACCTAGGACAATGCTGGTGATGTACACAGGGTGGATGATGTGGCTGAGAAGGGCCCCCTGCACTCCCAAGGCACTCCAGCGGGTCAGCTTGTCGCTGCTGGAGACACAGTAGACGTAGGCAGACAGCGCGCTGGGGCGGCAGTACGAGATGGGCCTGAGGACCCCTTTAATGCTGATGTGGAGCCCAATGGATGGATTCGGCTGTGGAGACACAATCCTGCAGGCCACAGGAGGGGAAGGGGAAATTCTATCAACTCAGAGAGGGAAGTATGGGGAGGATTCAGGTACAGGAATTGGGACTGGAAGATCCCAGGGGGTGGTCTGAAGATACAGGGTGCTGACACTGCGCTGACGCTAAGCAGGTCTGCACCCTGCCAGCAACTGGATACAGAGACCACCAGGGAACCCTGCATGTGACCTGGAAAGCTACGATGGAAATAAGGCAGAATATAATAAATTAAAAGTATTATTCTTTTGTTGTTAATGCCAAAAGCAGCCTCTTGGATTAGAGGAAATGCAAAGATAGACAAAACTTCGCCTGATGCAAGCTTGGCTGCTGAGCAGCTATTTTGTCAATTGTCAAAAAACCATAGAAAGGGAGGATAAATAGTTTTTACAGGTTTTAGGGGGCTGCTTCAAAAACCTGTCCGACCAAACACAAGAGTGGGCCAGAAGTAAATAGTGAGCAACTTACAAATTGCGAATGCCTCTCTCAAAGCACTTGCAGTTCTCCTACAATCTATCGTCTTCCTGCAGCCTGAGTGGGGATCAAAACCCTTCTCCTGGGTTTCTTAGCTTTCTCCCAAATGGCCCTTTGGGGCCAGGAGGCCAGAGGGCAAGGAGGCCAACTGCTAAGTGGAGCCATAATGAACAACAGGCAGAACCAGCTCCTTCTAGTTCCACCCCCCTCCCTTCCACCTTCTGCAAGGGCAATGCTAAGACAAAAGGAGAAAGCTAAAAGGAAGTGCCAGTCCCCAGAACGGTTACAAGTAAGAAGGCAGGTGTGGCGGGGGCTGGCTGAGGGCAGGTGGAGGTTGGCAGGATAGTGCCTCATTTGCCCTAAGGGACCAGCCACCACTTGCCACCGAGATCCCCACCACAAAGACCAAACAGCCCATCTGACCTGCATGATCTCTCTCTCCTCTCGCCTGCTCTGTATCCTGCTCTGAGCCACAGGCAAACACTCACCGGGTGTTCTCTGAAGCTCCTTTGGGCCTCCGACTCAGGTAGAGATGCAGAAAGTAATTTGGTTTCAGAGTCAGGTGCACCCCGTCCTCTGCCAGGCGGAAGATGCACTTCTCAAGGGCGGTGGGGTCTTGGCAGCAGAACATCAGTAGCTGCTTGTATAAGTACCTGGGAATACCAAATGTTGTAGCTTGTAAAGGCTGTTGTGTCTTCGGGCCTTCAATCAGACCGCAGGGCAATCTCCTGCCACCCATCTCCAGGTACTCCCTTCTCTTCTGTTTTGTCTTTTTCTTCTTCTTCTTCCCACCCCCTTCTATGTATATCAATATAAGAGGTTGTAGTTTGCTTACTTTACCCTCTGTAATCATTGTTTCACATATCAGTTGATTGTTAAGAGTTTGTTTTGATTAATAAAAAAACTAAAACCATAAAATTCCAGATTTTGAAAGAGAGCTGTTTCAGTTTGCACACTGGATAGTGAACTGTGAATTCAGCAGCTTCTCATTAAAGTGCAAACAAAAATTGATTTTCTCCCCAATCCATGTAACTGAGACATGTATCTTTGAAACACGACACCAACCAAAGTAACTGGGCAATGCCTGAAGAAACCCCATTGCTCCTCAGTCTTGTTGCCAAACTCCTCTGCTCCTCTGTTTGAAGAACTCCCTTTCTCAGTGTGGGGGCTATAGCTAGCTACCAACTCCAGTCATGGGCTTTCTAGTGATAAGAGGGTTCATCTCTAGAATATGCAAGGCAGCGTTAGAGAAGAATACCTCTGAGCAGATACCAAGTGAGTTTCCCTGATCATTAGGTTATCCCAACCAGTCCCCAACACCTGGGATTAGAAATAAGAACCTCTTGCGATTTCCAGGCAAAATTGTTGTTGTTGTTTCGTCGTTTAGTCGTGTCCGACTCTTCGTGACCCCATGGACCAGAGCACGCCAGGCACTTCTGTCTTCCACTGCCTCCCGCAGTTTGGTCAGAAGGCAAAATTGATTCACTTGTAAAATCTCATCCTGCCTTCAACCTGTTGCTTCCCTCCTAAATTGCTCTTCTTTAACCTGGCCAATAAAACCAGCACTGCACATCAGCGCTGGGAAGAAGGGGTGCCTTACCTCAGAAGCGCTCTGCGGGCAACCACTAGCCCATGCATATCATGGATTCTCCTGCCTTTGAACTCCATCCAGCCCTCGTAGCATACATCTCCCGTTCCCAGGGCAACCAGCTCGTAGGTCTCCTTGTAGGAGCTCGGGCTGTTGGCAACCTCTGAAGGGACAGGAAAGGAAGTGTCAAAATGTTAATTGCGACTTCAAAGGCTGGCTCAAAACAGGGAGGGAATTTCCAGGGAGGCAACAACCATTCAGGAACAGCCCCTTGCCTAGCAAACATTTGGGCCAAATTAAACCTTACGCTGACTGCTCTGCTGAGTGGGGAACAGGCCAAAACTAGCCAAAACTGCTGCAACCTATTGCTTGGAGCTGGTAAAGGACCCCAACTAGATGGAGTTTCCATCCCTCCCACCTTTGGAACTACTTTGCATTTCCTTCCTCTGAAGAATGTAAGAAGAACTCTGATGGATCAGAGAAAGGATCCATCCAGACCAGTGGCTCCCAAAGTGCGCTGTACCGGTGGGATTACCCAGGGGGGCACTAAGAGGCAAAGGGTAAAAGGGGGCACTGAAAGCACAAATGATTATCAGTCTTTGTTGTTGTTTTTTAATATGCTTTACTGGTTGAAAACTTTGTAACAAAAATGTACAATAGATCTTATAGGCAAAACGAGAAATAAAAAATAAACAATTATTCATATTTGCTTTGTGTATAGTATACATTTGTGATTCAATTTTACAAGGCTTATCTTCCCCTTGCGTTCCCGAATTAAATTCCTTAAATACGTGCTTAGACTTTACTTTCTCCATGTTATTTCACTTACTATCAATTTTATTTTATAAAATTATCCTAATTGCACATCGAAGATTATCAGTCTTTGAAAAGCTGGTATCGATGGATCAAGCTCATCCATTTTATTAACTAATTAAACAGTTTTAACTCGATTTTGAATAAATATGCAATCAATTGTTACTGTTTTGAATTTTATTGTGTTATTATATTCCCCAGTGGGTCTTGGAAATTGCTATTCCGAATAATGTTTTTAATATGGTAAAGGTAAAGGTAAAGGACCCCTGGACGGTTAAGTCCAGTCAAAGGCGACTATGGGGTGCGGTGCTCCTCTCGCTTTCAGGCCAAGGGAGCTGGCGTTTGTCCACAGACAGCTTTCCAGATCATGTGGCCAGCAGGACTAAACTGCTTCTGGCACAACGGAACACCGTGACAAGTGCCAGAGCGCACAGAAACACCGTTTACCTCCCTGCTGCAGCAGTACCTATTTATCTACTTGTACTGGCGTGCTTTCGAACTGCTAGGTTGGCAGGAGCAGGGACAGAGCAACGGGAGCTCACCCCATTGCGGGGATTTGAACCGTCAACCTTCTGATCAGCAAGCCCAAGAGGCTCAGTGGTTTAGACCACAGCGCTACCCGTGTCCCTAAGGTAAAGGACCCCTGGATGGTTAAGTCCAGTCAAAGGCGACTATGGGGTTGTGGCACTCATCTCGCCTTCAGGCCGAGGGGGCCGGTGTTTGTCCGCATACAGCTTTCTGTGTCATGTGGCCAGCAGGACTAAGCTCTGATAATAATAATAATAATAATAATAATAATAATAATAATAATAATAATTTATTATTTATACCCCGCCCATCTGGCTGAGTTTCCCCAGCCACTCTGGGCGGCTCCCAATCGAGCCTGGCTTCAGCTGGGGAGGGTGGGATATAAATTTTATTTTTATTATTTTTATTAAACTCCTTCTGGCACAACAGAACACCATGGTGGAAACCAGAGCACACAGAAACGCTGTTTACCTTCCTGTCGCAGCGAGAAGGGGCACTGGAGATACATTATGGAACCAGAGGAACAGTGGACCAAAAAAGTTTGGCAATTCCTGCTCCAGACCAGCATCTCATTTCCCATCGTGGCCAACCAGTTGCCCCCAGAAAGCAATCCAGCAAGCCATGAAGTTTTTGTTGCTCCTCAGCAGCTGACACTCAGCGGTATTCTGCCTTTCCTCCTCGAGAGTCATTATAGCCGTCATGCCTAAAATCCAGGTAGGATTCCACCCCCACCAAAAAAGCAGCAACAACGCAAAGAAGACAGGCCGCAAGTGGCTCACCTCTCTCCAGTATGAATGCTGCCACACTGCTCATGCAGCCTTGGTACTGCACGTCTTCTCCAATCAGCATTTCACAAATATCACTGGTAATAGCGGCACAGCGTTGTGTGTGGGAAACTTCGATTTCTGGTGGAGAGAAAGGGGGCAGGTTCTTTTCCTTGGGGTAACTCTTTGGACGCCTCTGCTTATTCTGCAAACGTGACGAGATCTAATGTCATGTGGGGGGGTGGGCTCAGCCCCAGTACCATTTTTCAAATGCCAGAGACCTCATGAAAAGAGAGTGGACACTTGCTGACTGTTCCCTCCTCACAGGGCTGGAGACAGACGGCAGTTTTAAGCATGGGCAGGCAAATTATGCAAGCCTCAGGCTGAAAAAGGTTCCCCTTCCCTTGGCACTGATTGCCAGGGGCTTTCAAAGATCTCTGGAAGGCGTCTTTCCCAGCCCTAGTCGCCCTTGTGCAGAACCCCGTACCAAGTGCAGGTAAGGCAAAAGGCCACAGGCAGTTTGTCACTTGCATCTTAAAAAGCAGGAAGACTATTAAAAGGAATAAATGCATTCAACATTTGCTATGAACAACACATGAAAGTTATGGATATAGGACAAGGAATTAATGTTAAAGGAAAGCCATGTTTTTGAAGAATGTTATTCTTACCAGCAGGCCGAGGTTTTACAGAAGAAACTGGGAGAACAGGCAAGCCTACAAGACACAAAAGACAACTGAGGTGAAGAGATGTACTGAGAGACAGCCACCTTGTATTAAATCTGCCCGTTACAATTTGCGGTACAGTACATTGTGCCATTCCCATCATAACCTCCTTTCTACGTTTGTGTGTGAACCCACCCTCACAATTTAGGATTGGAAAGGAAATGTTCAGCCTCCACCAGTTTGGAGAGACAGCACTCAACTTCAGAAACGCCTCTCAGTGCATTGGGACATACAAGGCAACAAGAGCAGCTCTGAACATGTGCAGAGCACCTTCCTCTGGTAGTCGCAGAACCAGAGAACGCACCATGCTACACACCATCAGAAAACCATAGCTCATTCCTAGTCCTTATGAGAATGGGTGGGGAGGGTGACTCTCCAAGCTGTTTAGACCACTTCACTATTCAGAGGATCCATGGGAAGGGAGTGAGCGTTTACTAGGTAGAAACTGTACATTCAAAGTACACTGCTTGTTGAGAATTATGCTGGGAACTGTGGCTCTGTGAGGAACACACTGCCGTCTGTTCGGAGGATTTTTAAATCCACATGCTTTAAATCAGGCATAGGCAAACTCAGCCCTCCAGATGTTTTGAGACTACAGTTCCCATCATCCCTGACCACTAGTCCTGCCAGCTAGCGATGATGGGAGTTGTAGTCCCAAAAAATCTGGAGGGCTGAGTTTGCCTATGCCTGCTTTCAATATATGGTGTGGGTGTGACACACAAGACATACTTTCATTTTGCTTCTCCAGTTGTGCATCCGAAACATCATCGATTGGTTGATCCCATCCATCCAGGAGCGGCTCCTTAAAAGAAGCCGAGGGCAGAAGGTGTGCTGCAGAAAGAATATCAGTGGGGAAGTGAGGAGGGGTGCAAAGCAGAGAAACAAAACACAAGAGAGGGGCAGAAAGGAAAGCAGGAACCTCCCTGTTACCCTCAACACCCACAAAATATACTGACCTTCCAGCTCCCAATGTCTACGCATGAAGAGGAGGAAAACAAAGGGGTAGACCTGCAGCAATCATGCAGTTTTATTTACATTAATCCACAACTGATATAAATCTTACCACAAGGCAGGGCAAAAAGACCTACTTAAGGTAGAAACAGTTGGGGTGGGTGATGGTTACAAGACCCAGACTGCTTTGTGAGGTCACCCATACCTCCTGTATGGAAGAATGTGCTTTTAACCTTTACTAAGTTTAACAAAACAAAATAAAAAAATTCCTTCCAGTAGCACCTTAGAGACCAACTAAGTTTGTTATTGGTATGAGCTTTCATGTGCATGCACAAAACTCATACCAATAACAAACTTACGGTAGTTGGTCTCTAAGGTGCTACTGGAAGGATTTTTTTTATTTTGTTTCGACTACGGCAGACCAACATGGCTACCTACCTGTAACTAAGTTTAACAAATTCTCATTTTTTTCCATTGCAGAGTTGAGAAGTGTGCACATCCGGTTACCTTTTATCAGACATTCACCTCCAGTGCTTTGTAAAATATTTATTAAGAAGCATCTCACATACAGAAAGCTTGACAAAATAAATGGATCGTATGGTTAGAATTGTGATTACAGTGGTACCTCTGGTTAAGAACTTAATTCGTTCCAGAGGTCCGTTCTTAACCTGAAACTGTTCTTAACCTGAAGCACCACTTTAGCTAATGGGGCCTCTCGCTTCCGCCGCACCGCCGCCATGCGATTTCTGTTCTCATCCTGAAGCAAAGTTCTTAACCCAAGGTATTATTTCTGGGTTAGTGGAGTCTGTTACCTGAAGCAAATGTAACCTGAGGTACCACTGTACAAACGAAAATGTATAGCTGCTGCAGGTCTGCTACTTATTTTCAAACTCTTGAGATACGTAGACTTTTCTAGGAATCACTTTCTGCACTATTCATCATATATTGTAAGAATCTGCCCTTTGAGCTGACACGGCTCAAGCACAAAAAGAATCCTGTGGCAACTTTTAGCATACGCATTACAGCTTTAGCTTGGGGGGATGGGTGGGATCTAAATTTAATATAAATAAATAAAATAATAGGGCAATGAAGTGGTTGTTGGAATAAATTAAGCCTTTGGATCCCTACGAAGACTGGATTTTGCAGGAAAAGGCACCGCCAAAGAGGTCAAATTGCTAGTGTTAAGAGCATCAGAGGCCTGAAGCTGGATGGGACCAAAGACCCATATAGTCCAGCATCCTGTTTCCATGGCGGCCAACCAGATGTCCCTAAGGAAGTCCAGAAGCAGGACATGAATGCTACAACATTTGGCAGGTTTAACCTGGCAGATTCCCTTGCCCTCTTAGTGAAATGGTAAAAAGGTAAGTCCAGTCAAAGGCGACTCTGGGGTTGCGGCACTCATTTCACTTTCAAGCCAAGGGAGCCGGCATTTGTCCAGAGTTTTCCAGGTCATGTGGCTAGCAGGACTAAACCACTACTGGCGCACGGAGGGCCGTGACGTGTGTCAGAGCAGACGCGGGTAGCGCTGTGGAGGAAACCACTGAGCCTCTTGAGCTTGCTGATCAGAAGGTTGGCAGTTCGAATCCCCGCGACGGGGTGAGCTCCCGCTGCTCTGTCCCTGCTCCTGCCAATCTAGCAGTTCGAAAGCACGCAGTGCAAGTAGATAAATAGGTACCACTGCGGCGGAAAGGTAAACGGCGTTTCCGTGCGTTCTGGCACTCGTCACGGTCCTCCGTGCGCCAGTAGTGGTTTAGTCGTTTTCAAATCAGAACCAGTGAAGGTCCTATGTGAGTGTCTGGAGGCAATTAGAGGATGGATGGCGGCTAACAGATTGAGGTTGAATCCTGACAAGACAGAAGTACTGTTTTTGTGGGGCAGGAAGCAGGCAGGTGTGGAGGACTCCGTGGTCCTGAATGGGGCAACTGTGCCCCTGAAGGACCAGGTGCACAGCCTGGGAGTCATTCTGGACTCGCAGCTGTCCATGGAGGCGCAGGTTGATTCTGTGTCCAGGGCAGCTGTCTGCCAGCTCCATCTGGTACGCAGGATGAGACCCTATCTGCCTGCGGACTGTCTCGCCAGAGTGGTGCATGCTCTAGTTATCTCCCGCTTGGACTACTGCAATGCGCTCTATGTGGGGCTACCTTTCATAAATCATAGAGTTGGAAGAGACCACAAGGGCCATCGAGTCCAACCCCCTGCCAAGCAGGAAACACCATCAGAGCACTCCTGACATATGGTTGTCAAGCCTCTGCTTAAAGACCTCCAAAGAAGGAGACTCCACCACACTCCTTGGCAGCAAATTCCACTGTCGAACAGCTCTTACTGTCAGGAAGTTCTTCCTAATGTTTAGGTGGAATCTTCTTTCTTGTAGTTTGGATCCATTGCTCCGTGTCCGCTTCTCTGGAGCAGCAGAAAACAACCTTTCTCCCTCCTCTATGTGACATCCTTTTATATATTTGAACATGGCTATCATATCACCCCTTAACCTCCTCTTCTTCAGGCTAAACATACCCGGCTCCCTTAGCCGTTCCTCATAAGGCATCGTTTCCAGGCCTTTGACCATTTTGGTCGCCCTCCTCTGGACACGTTCCAGTTTGTCAGTGTCCTTCTTGAACTGTGGTGCCCAGAACTGGACACAGTACTCCAGGTGAGGTCTGACCAGAGCAGAATACAGTGGCACTATTACTTCCCTTGATCTAGATGCTATACTCCTATTGATGCAGCCCAGAATTGTATTGGCTTTTTTAGCTGCCGTGTCACACTGTTGGCTCATGTCAAGTTTGTGGTCAACCAAGACTCCTAGATCCTTTTCACAAGTACTGCTCTCAAGCCAGGTGTCACCCATCTTGTATTTGTGCCTCTCATTTTTTTGCCCAAGTGCAATACTTTACATTTCTCCCTGTTAAAATTCATCTTGTTTGTTTTGGCCCAGTTCTCTAATCTGCCAAGGTCGTTTTGAAGTGTGATCCTGTCCTCTGGGGTGTTAGCCACCCCTCCCAGTTTGGTGTCATCTGCAAATCTGATCAGGATGCCCTTGAGTCCATCATCCAAGTCGTTGATAAAGATGTTGAATAAGACCGGGCCCAAGACAGAACCCTGTGGCACCCCACTAGTCACTCTTCTCCAGGATGAAGAGGAACCATTGATGAGCACCCTTTGGGTTCGGTCAGTCAGCCAGTTACAAATCCACTGAGTGGTAGCATAGTCAAGACCGCATTTTACCAGCTTCTTTACAAGAATATCATGGGGCACCTTGTCAAATGCCTTGCTGAAATCAAGGTAGGCTACATCCACTGCATTCCCTTCATCTACCAGGCTTGTAATTCTGTCAAAAACGAGATCAGGTTAGTCTGACATGACTTATTTTTCAGAAATCCATGCTGACTATTGGTGATCACAGCATTCCTTTCTAGGTGCTCACAGACTGTTTGCTTAATGATCTGCTCCAGAATCTTCCCTGGTATTGATGTCAGACTGACTGGGCGGTAATTATTTGGGTCCTCTCTTTTCCCCTTTTTGAAAATAGGGACAACATTTGCCCTCCTCCAGTCTGCCGGGACTTCGCCTGCTCTCCAGGAATTCTCAAAGATGACTGCCAGTGGTTCTGAGATCACCTCTGCCAGTTCTTTTAATACTCTTGGATGCAGTTCATCTGGCCCTGGAGACTTGAATACATCTAAACTAGCCAAGTATTCTTGTACTATCTCCTTATTTATTCTGGGCTGTGTTTCCTCTGCTGAATCATTTGCTCCAAATTCTTCAGGTCGGGCATTGTTTTCTTTATGGGAGAAGACTGAGGCAAAGAAGGCATTGAGGATTTCAGCTCTTTCTGTGTCCCCTGTTTGCATTTCACCATCTTCTCCTCTGAGTGACCCCACTGTTTCTTTGTTCTTCCTTTTGCTACGAACATACCCATAAAAGCCTTTTTGTTGCTTTTAACCTCTCTAGCAAGCCTGAGTTCATTCTGTGCTTTAGCTTTTCTGACTTTGTGTCTACACGTGCTGGCTATTTGTTTGAATTCCTCTTTGGTGGTTTCCCCTTTTCCATTTTTGTACACATCCTTTTTTAATCTTAACTCAGTTAAAAGTTCTTTAGATAGCCACCCTGGCTTCTTTAGGAACCTTCCAAGTTTCCGTCTCATTGGTATTGCCTGACGTTGTGCTTTTACTATCTCCCTCTTAACAAACTCCCAGCCATCATGAACTCCCTTTCCTTTTAGTATTACTGTCCATGGGATCTCACCCAGCACTTCCCTAAGTTTTATGAAGTCGGCTTTCTTAAAGTCAAGAAATTGAGTCCTAGTATGCTTGGCTGCTCCTTTCCGCTGTATAGTAAACTTCAGAAGAGCATGATCACTCGCGCCTAATGATCCTTCCACTTCTACCCCACTAACCAGGTCATCAACATTGGTTAGGACCAGATCTAAAATGGCTGTTCCTCTTGTTGCTTCTCCCACTTTCTGGACAATGAAGTTGTCTGCAAGGCCATTGAGGAATCTGTTTGACCTTATGCTCTTGGCTGAGTTTGACATCCAACAAATATCCGGGTAATTGAAGTTCCCATTACTACTATCTCCCTTCCTTTTGCATGCTTGGCCATCTGTTCCAGGAAGGCATCATCTATGTCCTCCGTTTGGCTTGGGGATCTATAGTAAACTCCCACAATGAGGTCACTGTTATTCTTCTCTCCCTTAATTTTGACCCAAATGCTCTCACTTTGGCTTTGAGGTTCTAAATCTTGGATCTCTTCACAGGTATACACATCCCTGACACATAACGCCACTCCTCCTCCTTTCTTGTCTGGTCTGTTTCTCTGAAATAGATTGTATCCCTCCATTATTACATTCCAATCGTGGGACTTATCCCACCAGGTTTCAGTGATGCCTATTATGTCATATTTAGTTTGCTGTACCAAGAGCTCAAGCTCATCTTGTTTATTTCCCATGCTTTGCGCATTAGTGTACAGACATTGAAGTCCATTCATCATTCCCCCGTGTCTCTTATTTAAGGATTTTTTCCTCCCACCACTAGGTCTGCGTGCTGTTTGCTCCATTTGGTCTATGACATTTGGATGATCATCTTCATCAATTGATAGACTCCTACCTTCAGGAGCACTGTCTCCCTCCCCCACATTAGTCAGTTTAAAGCCCTCCTGATGAGGTTTCTGAGATTTTTGGCAAAAACATTCCTCCCAACCATTGTGAGGTGCAGCCCATCGCTTGCCAGAAGTCCATCTTCAAGAAACTTTGAAGGTCACCTGGAAACTACAACTAATCCAGAATGCGGCAGCTAGACTGGGGACTGGGAGTGGCCACCGAGACCATATAACACCAATCTTGAAAGACCTACATTGGCTCCCAGGACATTTCCGAGCACAATTCAAAGTGTTGGTGCTGACCTTGAAAGCCCTAAACAGCCTCGGTTCTGTATATCTGAAGGAGCATCTCCACCCCCATCATTCTGCCCGGACACTGAGGTCCAGCTCCGAGGGCCTTCTGGTGGTTCCCTCCCTGTGAGAAGCGAAGTTACAGGGAACCAGGCAGAGGGCCTTCTCGGTGGTGGCACCCTCCCTGTGGAACGCCCTCCCAGCAGATGTCAAAGAGAAAAATAACTACCAGACTTTTAGAAGACATCTGAAGGCAGCCTTCTTTAGGGAAGCTTTTAATGTTTAATAGGTTATTCTATTTTAGTCTTCTGTTGGAAGCTGCCCAGAGTGGCTGGGGAAACCCAGCCAGATGGGCGGGGTATAAATAATAAATTATTATTATTATTATTATTATTATTATTATTATATTAGTCCTGCTGGCCACATGACCCGGAAAGCTGTCTGTGGACAAATGCCGGCTCCCTCGGCCTGAAAGCGTGATGAGCGCCGCAACCCCATACGGTCCAGGGGTCCTTTACCTTTACCACAACAATGCTGCAACCACGGCGTTATTAATTCTCCTTTCAAGCCCAGTTCACCCTCTTCCGCATCTACCCTTTCCTTGTGTGGCACCGCTAGTGGATCCAGAGAGCTCTGGAGAAAGAAGAGGCTCCTCAGTGGTTTGAAGTTGTCCTTCCCTCCAAGGAGACTGGATCCGATCTTTCTGCAGAGACGCTGCAGCCTTTATTTTCTGGCAACCCTCTCCTGCCGCCTCTTCTTTGTCCGACATTTTTCTGGGAAGAAGGGAAACAGATAAAAATTTAAAACTTAAAATTTAAACTTAAAATTTAACATTTTTTTAAAAAAATTAAAAGAAGGGGTATTTACAATTACAACCTTTTTGCTTGAATGTCTAAGTTTTGTATCAGTTGCAGGGGCAATATAAGTTTTGTTATGTACCAAGGTTCCTGCATTGTTGAAAACCATCTGCCTCGAGATAATATTGTGCTATCATTATATTTGTGTATTTTCTGTGAACTGCTTTGAGGAAACTACTATACATATATATATATATATATATATATATATATATATATATATATATATATATAGCTTTTAAGTTGGGGGGGTCTGTCTGGATGCCCTTCCCAAACCTGTGATCTTGTGAGGGTAGAAGGTGTAAGACGAAGCTTGGGTATGAAAACAAGATAATTGCGAGGGGAAGCAGGACTAAGATGTGGAGATCTGCTCCAGAGATCCAGACCGTGGGGAGCCCCAAGAAATTAATAAATACAATTTGGACTATAATTTGATCTTTTTTATTTTAGGTTTTTATTTTTCTAATTGGAGTATTATGATTGGATATTTAATTGGATGTTTTTATTGGAAAATCAATAAAAACGATTAAAAAAAAACCAAACAAGATAATTGCTGGTGTTAAAACGGCAGTAATGAAATACAGTAGCATCAGCAGAGATTTATGAAAAGCCAAACCAGAAGAAAAGCCTTTCCAACAAGTCTTGGTAAAATAGGAAGGCTTGAACAACTAGCCCTTGGCCAAGGGAGAAAGGTATGGCTCTGGCAGGCTTCCCTTGGGAAGGGATTCCTCAAGGCCAGGGGCCACCACAGAAAAGGCCGTGTTTTTTGTGGCGGATGACAGTCTGCCATCCCTCAATGGTTATGTGAAACTTGATGGGGAGATTTTTAAGGGTCTGGATTTCCCCTCCCTAAATTGATTTTTGAATTCTGAATTTATCGCTATTCACGTTTTATGCTGTATTTTATGCTGTTTTTTTGTTGCATCAATTGTTTTAAATTTGTTGTTAGCCGCCCTAAGCCCGGTTTTCTGAACTGGGAAGGGCGGGGTAAAAATAAAAAATTATTATTTATTTAAATGGAAATGGATTGTTTTTTTTAGAGACTACCAGATTAAGGAAACATGAGTTTTAGACCGTTATTTGACCGGCCGTGAACCATTTTGACGGGGTCCTGTTTTGTTTCTGTTTTGCAATTAAGTCGTCATGAACAAAATGATTAAATCTGTCTAAACTGGTACATGTGAAAAGCACTATAGATCAATCTTTTGTGTGCTTTTTTTTCCTAAAAAAACTTCATTTTCAGGGGACGATAGCACACCCGCTTTGTCCCTCAGGAGAGGCCGCCTTCTTCCCCACTTTGGTCCCAAACAGGGAGAAAAGGCCTCTTCCAAGATGGCGCCCGAGGCGCTAAACCAAAAACTGTGGCCCCCGTATCCAAATTCAAAATCTGTTGCCCGGCCAACCGATCAAACGGTTCATCCACAAATCACCGGTTTTTTCCGTGTATAAGACTAGGTTTTTTCACTCTAAATAATGTTCAAAATCGTGGCGCATCTTATACACGGAGCCATCTCCCCCCCCCCCCCATTTTCTTAAATTGGAGTCCCCAAAAATACTTATACATGGGGGCGTCTTAATAGATGGGAAGCCGCTTAAATTTTGTTAAACCAGAATAAACCAAACGCCGCAATGGCCGCTATTCCCCCCTCCCAGAGCTTTTTCCGCTCGCAAAATGGCCTCCGCTCACCCCAAGTCGCCCCTCAGTTTCCCCAAAGCTCTGAGGAGGACCCCCCCCCAAAAAAATGGCCTCCCCCCCCCCAAAAAAAACCTGGAGGGAATCCCCGCTAGAAAAATGGCCCCAAATTGGCCTCAGTGAGGAGGATTTCATGGAGAAGGGGGGCTGACTTTTAGTATTTCTTCGCCCCCCAAAAAAGCCCCACATTCCTTCTCACTGCCCCCCTCACAGGAGATACCCCCTGAAAAACCTCCACATAAGGGCCCCCCAATAATTTAATCCAATAATTTAGCCCCTTTGCCCCAAAGCTCAATAACCCCCCCAATAAATCAAAAATCGCTCTCCCAAAAGATCGAACGTCCCACCCAAATCTCCCTCCCTGAAATGTGAAGGAGACCCACCCCGCCTATCCCATAATAATAATAATAATAATAAATTTTATTTATACCCCGCCCTCCCCGGCCAGGGGGCGAACACCAATAAAATCACAGTAAAAACATAAGGGGGGGCCAATTTAAAATTCAGGTTAAAATGCCATTTAAAATGCAGCTTCCACAGCCCCCCCAAAAGGTGTTTCCACACAAGCCCCTTTCTTGCCTCCCCCGTTAATTCGGATTAATTGGGGAGGCGCAGAGGAGGAGATGGGGCTTTGGAGTGTCCCAAAGCCAGCTGGGGGGGAAAGGAAGTGGAGGGGGGGTATCCTATGAAAAGCAGGAAATGTGCAAGGAAGGAAAGCATTAACTCTGGCAGTTTGGGGGGGGTTGCAGAAAAATGGGGTGCATGGAAGAAAAAGGGGGCGCTGAAGGCAATCACAAAAAAATTGCCTTGGTGCTAAGAGGTGGGAGGGTGCAAAGCGGCGCCTGCTGCAAATTAAGAGGGGGGGATGAAGCAGGTTCAATGCACCCCTTAGGGTGCAAAGGAGGGTTGCATTTTGGGGGGGTGTTATTTGGGGGGGAACCTGCTTGCAAACACAGCGAGCTAGAAAGCTAAATGGGCGAGGGTGCAAAATGGATGCAACAGGGAGAAGAGGCGGTGGGGGGGCAAAGGGGCGCCTGCTGCAAATTAAGAGGGGGAGATGGAGCAGATTCAATGCACCCCTTGGGGTTAAAAGTAGGGGTGCAATTTTTCTGTGAGGGGGGAACCTACTTGCAAACACAGAAAGTTAAATGGGCGAGGGTGCAAAATGCATGCAACAGGGAAAAGAGGTGGGCGGGCAAGAGGGTTTGCAATACCATGGGGGTAATTCATGGGGGGTTCCTTGCACCCCACGTTGCAAGGGAAGACCACGCTTTGAGTGGTTTATTTCTTTTATATATTTATTTGAGTGGTTTATTTATTTTTTTATTGCTCTCCCACCATCTAGGAACCCCGCCTCCAATTTCCCCTACCAGGTTGCAAATAAATTAAAACCCAGCTGCTTCTCCACGTGTTTGAGTGAGGATCCACTTGGAAGCTAATGGGGGGCGGGGCGAGGAAGAAATCTGCAACGGCCGGTAAAAGAAAAGTCAGTTAATCGTCAGTTTTATTGCACATAGCCAAAGGCTGCCGCAATGTACACAGAATCAAAAATTAAAAGAAAATATACTGGATTAATGCAAAAAACTTAAAACGTTTATGTTTTCAAGACGTTACCTACTCTAAACAGAGCTATAAAAGTACCTTAATATACAAATTAAGACATTAAACAATAATATGTATAAGCTAAAATGATCACATGGCCACTAATGTATTAAAAAATGGTGTTAATTAATACAGTGGTAAAAGAAAAGGAGGGAGATCTCACAGGCTCCTCCCACCCCGCTTGGGGATCCATTGCAACGCCTTTAAGGATCGCAGCCCGAGGAATGGGTGTCTTTTAATAACTTGGGAGGGAGTAAAAAGCAGGATTAAGATTTGTGCTGCAGATTTGGAAGGGAAATTCACCATCCTCACCCCGGGGGGAAAATCTACTTGCTTTCTCAGGTTAAGCCAGGTGGTTTGGGTTTATTTGTTTATTTTATTTTATTTTGCACGTGCAATTTGCACGCCCCAGTTACTCCAGAGGGCGCTTTGCATACGGATCCCGTGCATATGGATTCAGAAGCAGTTGCTCGCCGTCTAATCCTTGTTGCGCGTGAGGTTGTTTTACCTGCTAAAAGATGTCGGTGCCTTGCGTGGGCTCACAGCGGTCTCTGCAAAATGCAGTGAAACGGTTTTGAAACGTAAACACGGGACTTTAAACAGCTGCAAGGAGGAAATGGCTCCACTTTGGAGCTCGCAAGTTGCGCCTCTAGGTGGCGTATCCTAAGCATGTGATCACTGCAAACCGGAGTTTAAAGGGGTGGCGGCAGGTGACCTATTAATTGCAACACCATCATGTAACATTCAGGTTTGCAAACCTTGGCAATTGCTGCCTTGAGAGCGCTTGCATTAAACAGAGATTTTAAAAGAATGGAAAGAAAGTGTCTGCTTGCTTAAATAAATTACGGTAATACTTCTGAGAATAGTAATAATAATAATAATAATAATAATTAATTTGTACCCTCCCATATGGCTAGGTCTCCCCAGCCACTCTGGGCGGCTTCCAACAAAGATTAAAAATACATTAAAATACATTAATATATATATGACTTTCAAGTTCCAGCGTGGCAGTTCCCAGTGTGGTCAGTTTTTGCTTTCATTGGGGGAGGGGGGAAAGTTTATTTCACTGAGAAAAGTGGAAATCCCACCAGGAGGTGCGAAAGGTGATCTCAAACCTTCCTCTGTGTTTCCAGAAACTGGTATAGTGGAAGATTTATTTCATTTATATCATACTTCTCCTTCAAGTAGGCTTAACATGGTTCTTTCCCCCACCCTCTGCATTTTACCCTCACTTTATGCTCACAACCCTGCAAAGGAGGTTAGGCTGAGTGAGAGTCTGGCTGACTCTCTCGCCCATGAATTTGTCTAATTTTCTCTTAAAGCCGTCTAGGTTGGTGTCCACTGCTGGCTCTTGCGGGAGCAGCTGCTGAGGCTTTAATAAAAATAAAATTAATGAAAACAACTGATAACTTGGTGGCCTGCAATGGTTCCTCCAAATGGTTCCATTGCTTGAGGTGGAAAGATCGCCTTGTCTAATACAGTGGTACCTTGGTTCTCTGCAGGGACGCGGGTGGCGCTGTGGGTTAAACCACAAAGCCTAGGACTTGCCGGTCAGAAGGTCGGCGGTTCAAATCCCCGCGACGGAGGGGAGCTCCCGTTGCTTGGTCCCTGCTCCTGCCAACCTAGCAGTTCGAAAGCACAAAGTAGATAAATAGGTACCACTCCGGCGGGAAGCTAAATGGTGTTTCCATGTGCTGCTCTGGCTACATAACCCAGAAGCTGTACGCCGGCTCCCTCAGCCAATAAAGCGAGATGAGCGCCACAACCCCAATCATCCGCGACTGGACCTAATGGTCAGGGGTCCCTCTACCTTTACCTTACCTTGGTTCTCAAACACTTTGGTTCCCAAATGCCAAAAACTCAGACGTAGGTGTTCCGGTTTTCAAACGTTTTTCGGAAGCTGAACGTCCGATGCGGCTGCTGGCTATTATTTCCGGGGCATCTGCACCAATCAGAAGCCACGCCTTGGTTTCTGAACATTTCAGAAGTAAACCGACTTCCAGAACGGATTAAGTTTGGCGCTTTTATTTTTGCTCTTTATTTTGTGTTTTTGTTTTTGAGGCCTTTTAGTTTAATTTGTTTTTGTGACAGTGTGGAACCCAGTTCAGCTACTGATTGATTGACTGATTGTGTGACTGCAGAAATGGATAAAAGCCCCCCATCAAAACAATGACTATCATCCGTGCAGGTAAGAAAAAAAAATAATTTTAATTTTTATCATCTACAAAACTATCTTATTTATTTTATAGTACAGTACATTGATTATTGCTTTCATTTTATGGAGCCATGGTCTCGTTAGATAGCAAAATTCATGTTCAATTGCTGTTTTAGGGGTTGCTTTTAAAAGTCTGGAACAGATTAAGCCGTTTTGCATTACTTCCTATGGGAAAGCGCACCTTGGTTTTGGAACGCTTTGGTTTTGGAACGGACTTCTGGATTAAGTTTGAGAACCAAGGGACCACTGTAGTAGAACCCAGGAAATTCTATTAAAAGAACACACACCAGAGTAAGTATCCATTCCTAAAGTTTTTATTTTGATTTTGGCTGCTTCTAGCCTTTCTGTCCACCTTGCAGAATTCACATCTCCGCGTGCCTGGAGTCAGGGGCAGGGGTTGCGTGGGAACTTCTGGCTGGTGGGAAAATAGAAAACCATCCTCTCGCTCGTGCAGGGCTTATAAGGGGAGATGTTGTAGTCGGAGTCCTCGATGCAGCTGGAGGAGAAATTGCTGTGGAGCGAAACCTTTATTTGCACCAATATTTGACGCCCCTGCAAAGAGGAAAAACAGATTTGAGAAGAGGAGGGGTACCGTGCTATATTAGAAGCAAAAAAGACTTGTTTGATGAATTAGAAGAGCCGCAAAAAGATTCCACTGAGCACATGGATTGATAATATGGACAGACTGGCTACATACGAACGAATTGCATGTCGACGAAAAAAATAAGAACGGATAAATATGAAGAAATCTGGAACGAATATTTAAGCGATAAGGCGGATAGTGGTGGGAAGTAGGGGGAGAGGAGAGCGATCGGAAAATATTGTTTAAAAAGGTGTAGTCATAGGTATATCCGTGTATTCAAATCTGAATTGTCAAATTGTGTTGTTATTGTTTTTGTTGTATGTGTCTTTTGCGGTTGATGTTTGTATCGAAAAACGATTAAACAAATTAACCCTTGAACACTTCATAGCTAAAGAAAAGGTAACCCACCTGGACGTCAGTCACGCACTGGAGTTCATATTGGTCTCCCAGGACGGGCCGCAACACAGTCATGAAGGTGCTGAGCTGAGAATGAGAATTGCAGGCAGGATGGGGCAGAGAACTACAGTTAGGACATTTACAGGAAGCTGCTAAGCCATTGGTCCACCCACATCAGTGTTGTCTACACAGGCTGCCAGCAGCAGCTCTCTGGGGTTTTCAAGCTAAGTCTCTCCCAGGCCTAGAATCATATGCTGTCCGCTGCTCTTTGGGGCTGGGGGCTGGGGGAATAATATTTTTTTCTTGATTTCCCCCTCTAAAAACTAGGTGCGTCTTGTGGTCTGGTGCGTCCTATAGAGCGAAAAATACGATACTTGTTTCCCTCAAAGAATTCTGGGCACTGTGGTTTAACCCTCCCTGAATTACCATTCAAAGGAACCCTTATTAAACTACAGTGCCCAGAATTCTTTGAGGGGAAGATTGTCCTTTGAAGAGATAGTGCGTACACAACCGTTTCTGTGGATCTTTTCTGTGAACCGCCCTGAGACCTCCTGGTATAGGGTGGTGTAGAAATCCAATAAATAATAATAATAATTAATAATAATAACCACCTTAATAGACTTATTGCAGGCCAGGAGGATGAGGAGATGAATTAAAAGTGTAATGAGGACCCAGCTATTTTATGGCGGCCTTCCGTAACCCACCTCCCTCTCCTCCCCAATTTCTCAGATCTCCACGGAAACAAAAAATAGGACAGAATAGGTACCTGGTAGCTCTGGATACAAGATGGGATGATGGCAGCTCTTTGAAAGGCGCTGTGTTCAGAAAGAGAATGTAAAACAGGGTCATTTAGCTACACCAGCGACTCCTTTCTGCCCTAGAGACCACTTGAAAAATGATGGTGATTTTGGTGCGGCACTTAATTATTTTTCTGCCTGTGGCAGCCATTGTAAGGCGCACTGTACTAGATGCCGTTTGGGTTTTAGTTGTGTTTTATGTACATCTTTCCCACCGAATCCAAATTGTGATACACCGCACGGCCGTATCAGCTCACCTGTCGATGTTATATTTTGTGCGCAGGAAGAGGGCGGCTCGGAAGTATTTGTCGGGAGAGCTCAGCGCTTCCACGCAGCCGGCGCAGCTCCCGTGTTTCTGCCACTCCTTGTCCCTGTGCGGGAGGAAACAGCCGTTGGCAGGCACACCCATCATCTCTCCACCTGAGCCTTCCCCAACTCTGCCCCCGCCAGATGTTTGGGACTACGACTACCATCAGCCCCAGCTAGCGCATGTCCCTTCTCCAACCCCAGCCCCCTTCTCTGTTAAGCCCCCTGCCTTGGTTACCAGAACTGGAAGTTGCTCAGGTTGATGAAGGATGGCCAATGCTCGTTCAGTTCAGACGTCAAGTCCTGCAGGAAAGGAAGGTGGTGGGGAGTGTTAGTATTCCTGCTCCGTGATTGCCGTCATGGGATTGTTGTCTTTCACATGACGGTGTATGTTTTGACTCCACCGAGTGGGAAGTGACGGAGACAGGATGTTTGTGTTCCTGTGTTCCGTCAAGTGGGACTATTGCCCTTTGTTCTTTTTCTCTTTGCTGTCTGATGCTAGAGAGAGAGGGAGCCGTGTTGCAGTGCTCCATGTCTGTTTATATGTAAATGAAGTAGATTAGCCAAAATGCTGACTTGCACAAACTCTGTGGATCCCTAAGTGTGCCGGTGTCTGGTGGCATCGGTCGCTGTGATGTTCGGGATGAAGAAAGCTTTTGAAACTCCCGAACAATCGACCAGGAGGGAGAGAACATGCCAGTCGGGCATGTGTCTCTGCCAGGGTCCTACTCGAGTGTAGGCTGAACTCCTGACAGGAAGCAGGCTACTTGAGACAATCGTATCATCCTGAGGACTACGTCTGGGGCCGGCCCTACCATTAGGCAAGTCAGCTCAAGGGGCAGATCAGGGCCCTCTTAAGCATATCCGGCGCCGTGGTGCAAAAATACCCTTGGCGTCCCGTCCCGTCCCGTCCCCCCCTCCCCATTTCCCAGAGTTACCGACAATTTTTTTTAGGGAGGGAACACCAGCAGCGGCAGAGGAAGCCTCTTGGGACGGGACGGCGGTTATTGTTCTTATTTTGATTTTATATATTGTGATCTTTTCTGTGAACCACCCTGAGACCTCTGGGTATAGGGCGGTATATAAATCAAACCAACAAACCACAAGGGTCGCCTTGTCCTGCAATGCAGAAATCTTTCACCTAGCGTGGGATTCGAACCCAGAAACCTAAAATTAAATGTCTCGCGCTCTACCCGCTGAGCTGTCCCAGGTGGTTGGAAGCAGGGCCACCGCAGCCAAACTTTGCAGCAAAAAGGTTCTACTCACCACCAGGTCGGAGGGGAAGAGGTATCGATATGGGCAGCAGCCCATGATGTTGCTGGGCCTGTGGATTTAAAGGGCAAGAAGAGGAGGTGAAGGAGGCTGGAACCTTCTCTATTCCAGCAGGCAATTAAGAATGCATCATATTGTCTTAATTTAACTTTGTTCTATGGTTTTAATTGTATGGTTTTAAGTATAATGGACAGTAATACTAAAAGGAAAGGGAGTTCATGATGGCTGGGAGTTTGTTAAGAGGGAGATACTAAAAGCACAACGTCAGGCAATACCAATGAGACAGAAACATGGAAGGTGCCTAAAGAAGCCAGGGTGGCTATCTAAAGAACTTTTAACTGAGTTAAGATTAAAAAGGATGTGTACAAAAATGGAAAAGGGGAAACCACCAAAGAGGAATTCAAACAAATAGCCAGCACGTGTAGACACAAAGTCAGAAAAGCTAAAGCACAGAATGAACTCAGGCTTGCTAGAGAGGTTAAAAGCAACAAAAAGGCTTTTATGGGTATGTCCGTAGCAAAAGGAAGAACAAAGAAACAGTGGGGTCACTCAGAGGAGAAGATGGTGAAATGCAAACAGGGGACACAGAAAGGGCTGAACTCCTCAATGCCTTCTTTGACTCAGTCTTCTCCGATAAAGAAAACAATGCCCGACCTGAAGAATTTGGAGCAAATGATTCAGCAAAGGAAACACAGCCCAGAATAACTAAGGAGATAGTACAAGAATACTTGGCTAGTTTAGATGTATTCAAGTCTCCAGGGCCAAATGAACTGCATCCAAGAGTATTAAAAGAACTAGCAGATGTGATCTCAGAACCACTGGCAGTCATCTTTGAGAATTCCTGGAGAACAGGCGAAGTCCCGGCAGACTGGAGGAGGGCAAATGTTGTCCCTATTTTCAAAAAGGGGAAAAGAGAGGACCCAAATAATTACCGCCCAGTCAGTCTGACATCAATACCAGGAAGATTCTGGAGCAGATCATTAAGCAAACAGTCTGTGAGCACCTAGAAAGGAATGCTGTGATCACCAATAGTCAGCATGGATTTCTGAAAAATAAGTCATGTCAGACTAACCTGATCTCGTTTTTTGACAGAATTACAAGCCTGGTAGATGAAGGGAACGCAGTGGATGTAGCCTACCTTGATTTCAGCAAGGCATTTGACAAGGTGCCCCATGATATTCTTCTAAAGAAGCTGGTAAAATGCGGTCTTGACTATGCTACCACTCAGTGGATTTGTAACTGGCTGACTGACCGAACCCAAAGGGTGCTCATCAATGGTTCCTCTTCATCCTGGAAAAGAGTGACTAGTGGGGTGCCACAGGGTTCTGTCTTGGGCCCGGTCTTATTCAACATCTTTATCAACGACTTGGATGATGGACTCAAGGGCATCCTGATCAAATTTGCAGATGACACCAAATTGGGAGGCGTGGCTAACACCCCAGAGGACAGGATCACACTTCAAAACGACCTTGACAGATTAGAGAACTGGGCCAAAACAAACAAGATGAATTTTAACAGGGAGAAATGTAAAGTATTGCACTTGGGCAAAAAAAATGAGAGGCACAAATACAAGATGGGGGACACCTGGCTTGAGAGCAGTACATGTGAAAAGGATCTAGGAGTCTTGGTTGACCACAAACTTGACATGAGCCAACAGTGTGACGCGGCAGCTAAAAAGGCCAATGCAATTCTGGGCTGCATCAATAGGAGTATAGCATCTAGATCAAGGGAAGTAATAGTGCCACTGTATTCTGCTCTGGTCAGACCTCACCTGGAGTACTGTGTCCAGTTCTGGGCACCACAGTTCAAGAAGGACACTGACAAACTGGAACGTGTCCAGAGGAGGGCAACCAAAATGGTCAAAGGCCTGGAAATGATGCCTTATGAGGAACGGCTAAGAGAGCTGGGCATGTTTAGCCTGGAGAAGAGGAGGTTAAGGGGTGATATGATAGCCATGTTCAAATATATAAAAGGATGTCACATAGAGGAGGGAGAAAGGTTGTTTTCTGCTGCTCCAGAGAAGCGGACACGGAGCAATGGATCCAAACTACAAGAAAGAAGATTCCACCTAAACATTAGGAAGCATTTCCTGACAGTAAGAGCTGTTCGACAGTGGAATTTGCTGCCAAGGAGTGTGGTGGAGTCTCCTTCTTTGGAGGTCTTTAAGCAGAGGCTTGACAACCATATGTCAGGAGTGCTCTGATGGTGTTTCCTGCTTGGCAGGGGGTTGGACTCGATGGCCCTTGTGGTCTCTTCCAACTCTATGATTCTATGATTCTATAATTGTTGTAAGCAGCTCTGATATTTTTAAGTAGCATGTGTGCGTGTGTTGTGTGTGTGCGCGCATGTACACACACACACATACACACACACACACACACTTAATATCAGGGCCAGATTTAGGTTTGATGAGGCCCTAAGCTCCTGAAGGTAACGGGGCCCTTTATATGTCCAGATGTCCTTTGTCCGCAACAAATTGTCACTGTTTTTTGTGTTGACTAGATGCTATATGGTCATTGATGGACCTCACAGGTATCTCAAGCCATTTGCACATGTTGCCCTGCAACCAGTCCATGCAGACTGTAGGCACCCTATATATAGAAAGGAGCAAACCAGGGATATTTGAGGGAGCAGGCAAGCAGGCGGGGCCCAGGACTTACATCACAGGAGCCTACACAACACAAAACATGGTTGCTGTAGGTAGGTTTTATTTTATTTGTTTTTTATCTTATATTTTGGAAATGTACATCCACTTTTCCCCCCTCTAAATTTTCTGGGGGCCCCACTCTCTTGGGGGCCCTAAGCTAGAGCTCGTTCAGCTTATATGTAAATCCGGCACTGCTTAATATATATATTTAAGTAAGAAAATAAATACTTCACTTAAGTCCAAGCAATAAATACATGCCTCCCATACCAGCCCAAATGAGATCGCCTCACCATAATCCATGGATAGTCCAGTTGTTTGCGTCTTTTGGCAGGACGCACTCAAACCTCCTTCCCAGAGCCTACAAATGCATGTCAGAAAGCAGAAGATGGGTTAGATTCCCGAAGGTACAGCATAGCCACAAACCTCATTTCCCCCTTTTTGTGTTTGTGTGTGTGTGATTCGTAGAATTGTAGAGTTTGAACGGGCTCCAGGGGTCATCCAGTCCAACCCAGGAATCTTTCACCCAACGTGGGGCTTGGACCCACAACCCTGAGATTTCGAATCTCAGGCTCTACTTGGCTGAGCTAGCCTCTACTTATTAATACAGCTTAACAATTAAGGGACGCGGGTGGAGCTGTGGGTTAAACCACGGAGCCTAGGGCTTGCCGATCAGAAGGTCAGCGGTTTGAATCCCCGCGACGGGGTGAGCTCCCGTTGCTCGGTCCCTGCTCCTGCCAACCTAGCAGTTCAAAAGCACGTCCAAGTGCAAGTAGATGAATAGGTACCACCGCTCCGGTGGGAAGGGAAACGGCGTTTCCGTGCGCTGCTCTGGTTCGCCAGAAGCGGCTTAGTCATGCTGGCCACATGACCCGGAAGCTGTACGCCGGCTCCCTCGGCCAGTAAAGCGAGATGAGCGCCGCAACCCCAGACTTGGTCACAACTGGACCTAATGGTCAGGGGTCCCTTTACCTTTACCTTTAAAAATTAAGCAGAGGTTTGATTTCATTTCTGTTCCCTTCAACTCATATTTCTCCTCCTGCTGTTGGACCAAGTCCAAACTCCATTGAACTACAACTCCCATCATCCCTTGCCACTGGGCATGTTGCCTGGGGCTGATGGGAGCTAGAGTCCCCCCACGGCTGCTTCTTTTAACCCCTTCTCATGGATGGTGCTGTGGTCTAAACCACTGAGCCTCTTGGGCTTGCCGATCGGAAGGTTGACGGTTCGAATCCCCGCGACGGGGTGAGCTCCCGTTGCTCGGTCCCAGCTCCTGCCAACCTAGCAGTTCAAAAGCACACCAGTACAAGTAGATAAATTGGTACCACTGTGGCGGGAAGGTAAACTGCGTTTCCATGCGCTCTGGCACTTGCCACGGTCCTCCGTGCGCCAGTAGTGGTTTAGTCCTGCTGGCCACATAACCCGGAAAGCTGTCTGTGGACAAACACCGGCTCCCTCGGCCTGAAAGCGAGATGAGCGCCGCAACCCCAGAGTCGCCTTTGACTAGACCAGGGGTCGCCAAGGTTTACCTTGCCTGGGCTGGTTCACTCCAGCAGAAATCCCTCCATGGGTTGGATCGCACATGAGCGCAAGAGCACGCGCACCAGCGATTTCCGGTGTCTGTGTCTGCGCAGACGTGATTTCCGATGTCTGCCTGTGTGCAGATGCGATTTTCGGCATCTGCGCATGTGGAGACTTGATTTCCGGTGCTGCGAAAGCGAGTCCCCGTTCTGTGCTGCACCGGTTTAGCGCTGCACGTGGGGACTCGCCGAGCCGGCGTCTTGGTTTGGGGGCAGCTTGTGGGCCAGTTAAACAACCCCAAGGGCCGCTTGTGACCCATGGGCCTTAGGTTGCCGACCCCTGGACTAGACTTAACCGTCCAGGGGTCCTTTACCTTTACCTGTTGCAACTTCTCTGCCACTGTCTTATTAAGCCAGGTAATACGCAGAGATGTTAACTGTTCAAAAAGGGAGTGTCCCCGAAGTAACAGTATTAACTTTAGGTAGGAATTTCCTCAAGGCCTATCTTTTAGCTACAAAGGAAAGAAGAGGAAAATAAGATCGGAAGACGACAAAGACAAATTCTGGAGAGACCACAGAGAAGACTTACAAAAAGGACTATCTCCGGAACCAAAAGACCGTTCGAAAAAAGGGATACCACCGACAGAAGAGGAACAGGCACTAGGTGCAGTAGGAGGAGTACTAAAATAATAACATCATGGCCCTGCAACTATTAACTTGGAACTGTCACGGTCTAAATTCCCCTCAGAAAAGGAAATCAGTATTTCATATATTAAAAAAGGAACAATTGGACCTAATTTGTTTACAAGAAACACATATAACAAGATTACACAGGAAATTGTTGATAAATAAAAGACTTGGTCAGGAGTTTATTTCATCGGACAAAGTTAAAAAAGAGGGGTTGTGATTTATGCAAAGGACAGATTATCACCAAAATTTGTTTTTAAAGATGACCAAGGAAGATTTGTGGCAATTGAAATTCAGACACAAGGAGAAAAATTTTTGATAGTAGGAATCTACGCACCAAATGATGGGAAATCTGAATTTTTTAAGAAGTTGCACGAGACCCTGATGGACCATATGGATTATAACATGATTTTGATGGGAGATATGAATGGAGTGGTATCCACTTATATGGACAAGGCACAAAGAGAGGTAGTCACCAAGGATGGTAGACTACCGAAAACTTTTTTTGACATGACAGACAACTTGGACTTAGTTGACATTTGGAGAATAAGAAATCCCATGGCTAAAGAGGGAACTTTCTTTTCTGAAGCCAAAATGACATGGACAAGAATTGACCAAATTTGGATAACTAGAGGAATGGCACCAAAGACAAGAAAGGTGGAAATCTGCCTGAAAACTTGCTCCGACCATAATGCTGTTAAGATGGAAATGAGACTAACACCAACTGGCTCCTTCAGATGGAAGATGAATGACACCTTATTTAGAGATGAAGAACTACTTAAGAAGGCCCAAAAAACTCTGAGAGATTATTTTGAGATAAACCTCAGTACCAACGTGGAGAGAAGAGTAATCTGGGACGCAAGTAAAGCGGTTATGAGAGGGTTCTTAATACAACAGAATGCAATAAAGAAAAGAACTCAAAATGAGAAGAAGGATAAGATAATGGACAAAATAAAGGAATGTGAAAAAAGACTGAGAGTAAACCCCAAATCTCAAGAGATTTTGAGAGAGTTAAAGTTATACCAAGTACAATATATGAAAATGATGAATCAGGAAATAGAATGGAAAATTAAACAAATGAGACAAAAGACTTTTGAGTCGGCCAATAAATGTGGTAAACTGTTGGCATGGCAAATGAAAAAGAGACAAAAATTAAATACAATTACGAACTTAGAAGTGGAAGGAAGAAACATACAGAACCCTGCAGAGATCAGAAGTTGTTTCCAGAGGTACTTTAAACGATTATCTACTCAAGGGCCATTGAAAGAAACAGACTTAGACCAATTTTTGAAAACAAATGGATTACAAAAAATATCTCAAGAAAACAAATTAATTTTGAATCATAGAATAACTGAACAGGAAATAGAAGGTGCCATTCAAAACATGCAATTGGGTAAATCTCCAGGACCAGACGGCTTGACCTCTAGATACTACAGATCTTTAAAAGAATGGTTAATTCAACCTTTGAAAGAGGTCTGCAACGAAATAATGGAGGGGAAAAGAGCACCAGAGTCGTGGAAAGAAGCATATATTACACTTGTACCAAAAACAGAGACCGAAAAGACACAGCTTAAGAACTACCGCCCTATATCGTTACTGAATGTGGATTACAAAATTTTTGCAGATATTCTGGCCAAGAGATTTAAAAAAGTGTTGATGGAAGAGATTCATAAAGACCAAGCGGGCTTTCTCCCAGGAAGACATTTGTCTGACAATTTGAGGAATATAATTGATATTTTGGAAAAATTAGAAGTGAATATAAATACTAAAGCAGTTTTGATATTTGTAGACGCGGAGAAAGCCTTTGACAATATTTCTTGGAATTTTATGAAGAAGAATCTACAGGGTATGGGGGTAGGCCAAGGTTTTGAGAATGGTATAGGTGCAATTTATTCAGAACAAAAGGCTAAACTAATTGTAAATAATGTTGTGACGGAAGAACTTAAAATTGAAAAAGCGACACGACAAGGTTGCCCAATTTCCCTACTTCTTTTTATTTCGGTCCTGGAGGTTCTGCTGAATATGATTAGAAGGGACCAGTCGGTTAAAGGTATACAGGTCAGAACTAAACAGTACAAATTGAGAGCATTTGCAGATGACTTAGTATTGACGTTACAGGAGCCAGAATCTAGTACTAAAAGCGTTCTAGAACTGATTCAAGAATTTGGTCAAGTGGCAGGATTTAAATTGAACAAGTCAAAAACCAAGGTTTTAGAGAAAATTTAACACCGTTTGAAAGAGAGAGGTTTCAGAATGAGACAGGTTTAACAGTGGTTAAGAAAGTTAAATACCTGGGGATTAACATGACAGCAAAAAATGGGAATTTATTTAAAGATAATTATGAAAAATGTTGGTCTGAAGTGAAAAAGACTTAGAAATTTGGTCAAATTTGAAGCTTTCACTGCTAGGCCGTATTGCTGCGATAAAAATGAATGTATTGCCTAGAATGTTGTTTTTGTTTCAAACTTTGCAGATTGTTGACAAAATGGATTGTTTCAAGAGGTGGCAGAAAGATATTTCTAAATTTGTCTGGCAGGGCAAGAAGCCCAGAATAAAATTTAAAATTCTAACGGATGCAAAGGAAAGAGGCGGATTTGCCCTGCCAGACCTCAAACTTTACTATGAATCAGCAGCCTTTTGCTGGTTGAAAGAATGGCTACTTCTTGAAAACACTGACATTTTGGACTTGGAAGGTTTTAACAATGTATTTGGATGGCATGCATATTTATGGTATGATAAGGTCAAAGCACATAAAGCATTTAGAAACCACATTGTCAGGAAAGCGCTATTTAATGTTTGGATAAGATATAAGGATTTGTTAGAAAACAAAACCCCAAGGTGGCTGTCACCAATGGAAGCGAAAGCCTTGAGAAAGCTCAATATGGAGGTCAAATGGCCGAAATATTGGGAAATTTTGGAACAAGACGGAGATAGACTGAAATTGCAGAGTTTTGAAAAATTAAAAAACAAAGTGTGAGACTGGCTTCATTATTTTCAGATAATGGAGGCATTTAAATTGGACAAGAAAATTGGCTTCCAGGTGGAAAGATCAAAATTAGAAACAGAACTGTTAGAACCCAAAACTAAGAATTTGTCAAGAATGTATAACTTGCTGCTGAAATGGAATACTCAGGATGAAACGGTAAAATCGGCTATGATTAAATGGGCACAGGACGTTGGACATAACATTATGTTTGCTGACTGGGAACAGTTGTGGACCACAGGTATGAAATTTACGGCATGTAATGCCTTAAGAGAGAATATTATGAAAATGATATACAGGTGGTACATAACCCCAGTCAAGCTTGCAAAAATCTATCATTTGCCCGATAACAAATGTTGGAAATGTAAAGAAACTGAAGGTACATTTTTCACCTTTGGTGGACGTGCCCAAAGGTTAAGGCTTTCTGGGAAATGATATATAATGAATTAAAAAGGTATTTAAATATACCTTCCCTAAGAAACCAGAGGCCTTTCTCCTGGGCATAGTCGGCCAAATGGTGTTAAAAAAGGATAGAACTTTCTTTATGTATGCAACAACAGCAGCAAGAATACTCATCGCAAAGTATTGGAAGACACAAGAACTTCCCACGCTGGAGGAATGGCAGATGAAACTGATGGACTATATGGAACTGGCGGAAATGACTGGCAGAATCCGTGACCAGGGAGAAGAGTTGGTGGAGGAAGATTGGAAGAAATTCAAAGATTATCTTCAGAAACACTGCAAAATTAAAGAATGTTAGAGTGATGTTGGATCGAAAATAAGTGGTTTCCAGCTGTACAGGTTAAAGTTATTGATAGACTAAGATTAAAGATTAGGATTAAAGATGTTTAAGGAAATGGAAATTTGGTACTTAAGAGGTAAAATTTTAATGTTATATTACATTAAGATTAAAGATTAGGATTAAAGAAGTTTAAGTGTTATATATTATATTAAGATTAAAGATTGGGATTAAAAAAGTGGAAAAGAAATTGCTGGACAAACAATTTGGACTGGAATACAAAAGAGGGAGGTATGAGGAAGTCCAGAAAATAAGTAAATTCAAAAACGGAAATGGAAAAGTGACATTGTTTTTAAGTGTTCTGTTTTTTTTTGTTGTTTCTTTTGTATTTTGTTTTCTGTGTTTTCTTTTTCCTTTTGGATTATGTATTGTGTATTTTTGTATTTCTACTTTTATGTTTCTTTTTGTTTAACTTCTTTATTGAAATCATAATAAAAATCTTTAAAAAAACAAAAAAAACAAAAAACAAAAAGGGAGTGTCCCCGAATTAGAAACTCTTACTCACTATGCAGAAGGTTCCCGGCCACATCTGGACAAAGCTCATGCATCGCCAAGGACAGGACCTGCAGTCAGAGAAAGAGAAGTCTCCCAGTTTCTCCTCCTTTCAAAAGTCTTCAGATCAGTTCATTCTTCACCCCCTCACTTCCACCAAAAGACTGATACCGATTCACTGGAAAGATAATACTATGAAACCCCCCCCCCCTTTGATCAAGGGATAGAAAATGAACAGATTGCTTTTAGGCGCAGATTGTGTATGGATAAATGCAATAATACTTAGAATGCGTTTATTAAAAAATATTACGACTTGTTAATAATTGTATACTCGTTGGAATAATCACCTTACTTATGCACCTGCATATCGTATTGCAGTTTCAAGCACCTTTCTTTCACTTTATTTGTCCATTGATTTTTTTCAATAAAATATATTTTTTTAAACAAGATCAGTTCCCAACATTTCTGTACCAGTTTGCGGTTTTATTTATTTATTGAATTTTTTAGTCTCTATCTTGCCCAGGGTGACTTCCAACCAACCTTTCCTTTTAGTAAACACTTTCACTGTATATATGTGTGTGTGTGTGTGTGTGTGTGTGTGTGTGTATAAAAGTCCTCGTGAAAATTTTTAAGGTCAATTTCTCATTAATTACACATTTTTGCAAGCCATTTCACCTAACATATTCATCTACCTTATTTTTATTTCCTAACATTTACTGTATTTTTCTGTGTATAACATGCCCCCGTGTATGACACCCCCTATTTTGGGGGACTCAAAATTAGAAAATGGGGGGGGGGAAGATTGCCCCCTGTGTATAAGACTACCTCCCCTTTTTGACATAATTTTTGTAAAAAAAAAAAAGTAGTCTTATATACGGAAAAATACGGTATATAGTACTTGATTGTGTAGAAAACAAAAGAAAACCTCAAAGCGGTTTACAAAAAGAGCGAAACAGTAAAACTATCAGTAAAATAAAAACCACTATTTAAAACATCCAAAAAAATAAAATGAAACCAACAATCAACTAAAAACAGATGAAAACACATGTCATCATTCTACATCTCTGCCTAGGCTTGTCTAAACAAAAATGCTTTTAGCAGGTGCTGAAAAGAGTACAGTTTTATGTGCGCTTTGATACACAGTTTTGCTTGGAGAACTGTATTGCAAAATTCAGAGATGCACAAAGTTCTCATGACAGCTGTATTCCAGTTTGCATGTTGTTCTGGGAAGCGTGAATCAGGTTTTTCATTAAAACACAAACTGAAATTCTCCATCCATCCCCACCTGTAATGCAGAGACGGTTGTTTAGTTGTGTCCAACTCTTTGTGACCCCCTGGACCAGAGCACGCCAGGCACCCCTGTCTTCCACTGCCTCCTGCCGTTTGGTCAGACTCATGCTGGTAGCTTCGAGAACACTGTCCCACCATCTCGTCCTCTGTCATCCCCTTCTCCTTGTGCCCTCCATCTTTCCCAACATCAGGGTCTTTTCCAGGGAGTCTTCTCTTCTCATGAGGTGGCCAAAGTATTGGAGCCTCAGCTTCAGGATCTGTCCTTCCAGTGAGCACTCAGGGCTGATTTCCTTCAGAATGGAGAGGTTTGATCTTCTTGCAGTCCATGGGACTCTCAAGAGTCTCCTCCAGCACCAGAATTCAAAAGCATCCATTCATCGGCAATCAGCCTTCTTTATGGTCCAGCTCTCACTTCCATACATCACTACTGGGAAAACCAGAGCTTTAACTAAAAGGGCCTTTGTCGGCCAGGGGATGTCTCTGCTTTTTAAGATGCTGTCTAGTTTTGTCGTTGCTTTTCTCCCAAGAAGCAGGTGTCTTTTAATTGGAGCAGGAACCGGAAAGCCACTCCAGTATCTGGGCCAAGAAAACTCCATGGACAAAGACAACATGCAGAGATTGAGAGTCCACAGATTCATCCCGTCCCACTTTCTGCCCATCCTCTCTCACCTTTGCACGAGGTTCTACCTACCTAGAGTTCTCCACCTTGGCCTGCTGCTGCCTCCAGAGATCATCAGGACGAACCAGCAACCAGAAAAAACTCATGCAGAAGAAACCCAGAGCCACTGAATTGGCTGTCATCATACCTGCAAGCAAAGCAGAGCTGATGAAGAAAGGAGGGGGAAACAGCAAGGAGAGGAAACCAGTTGCTCTGTCAACGTGCAACCCCGGGTATAGAAACCCTCAAGTAGGGTTCAGTAATCCCAATGTCTGACGACAAAAACATTGGCTAGATTGTTCTCAGTCATCAGGGAGTCATAGCTCAGCCACAGAGCGCAAACTTCAGTTCCAGTATCCCTAAATTAGGCTAGGAAAAAACCCATCAGGTCCTCTGCCTGAGCTCAGTTGAATCAACTACCTGACTTTGTATAAACCAGCTACCTAAGCTGTCCCAGCCTGGGGTTGCACAGCAGCAATGCACATGCCCTGATACGATGTCGTCCTTTCAGTACGGGAGCCAGACACCAATCTGGTGTTTAAAAGGAGAAGGACGAGGCTGGTTTCGCTTCCCTGTGCAACAACTAAGAAGCAAAGGCTCAGCTCCTCCTGGAGTCGCAGATTGCAGAACGATTGCTTTGATCAGACCAACTTGGGCCGCTGTAGGCAAATGCAGACGTTAGGGTTTCACAGAACTCTTTATCAAGGAGATCATTGGTGTTGAAGCGGTGATTCTTCAACACTAACTTTGTTGGACTGGTCGTGTTGTGCGGATGCCTGATGATCGTCTTCCAAAGCAACTACTCTATTCCGAACTTAAAAATGGAAAGCGTAATGCTGGTGGTCAAGGGGAGGGGGGGAAATAGGGGAAATTAAGGATGATATGTTTTTCGATAAAATGTTTTGTTGAAATTCCTAGTAAAAATATTTTTTAAAAAACACACAAACACACACAAGCAGCTTCTGCTGCGCAAGATGCACATTGCAGTGTTACATCGGTCGCAAGTTTTGTTACGCATAAAACACGTTTCAGGTAACACCTTGCCACATTTTCTTAATGCTAAGAACCTCAAAGAAGAGAATTAAGAGCAGATCTTTCTTTTCTTTTGTTAAGGGGGGAGAATTACATGGTGTTTTTTTACCGTTGTAACACACCCAGCCAACCGAAATCCTATTTTATAACCTGAATCTGATTCTGTGCCCAACTCCTGTCCCTTAACTGTTTCCATTCCAATTTGAATAAGAGCTACTATTTAACATTTTGTGCCCAAATTTCCTCTACCCTCCCCATCCTCATTTGCTTTTGTGCCGTGTCTGTTATATAGTAATCCTGCAGAGAAATATTCTGTTGCTTTGCCTGACTCTGTACAAGCTGCTCTGAGAACCCTTTTGGTTGAAGGAGGGGTTTAAAAAATCTGAATGCCTGATGATCATCTTCCAAAGCAACTACTCTATCCCGAACTTAAGAATGGAAAGCGTAATACTGGTGGTCAACAAAAGAGGTTCAAAGACTCTCTCAAGGCAAATCTTTAAAAATGTAGTGCAAACACCGACAACTGGGAAACACTGGCCTGCGAGCGCTCCAGTTGGAGAACAGCCTTTACCAATGGTGTCCTGGGCTTTGAAGACACTCGAACTCAGGACGCAAGGGAGAAACGTGCTCAGAGGAAGGCACGCTTGGCAAATCCACACCGTGATCAACTCCAGCCCGGAAACCAATGTCGCCCCTGTGGAAGGACGTGTGGATCCAGAATTGGCCTCCACAGTCGCTTACGGACTCACTTTTAAAACCGTGTTTATGGAAGACAATTCTACTCGGCAACGAGGGATCGCCAAAGAAGGAGAAGAAGACATGGGCAAATGGTCTGACTCGGTATAAGGCAGTTTTCTATGTTCTAACTGGGGTGGGTGGGTGAAGGTGGCGGTGCTGCGGTGCGGCAGGTGGCGGTCAGCTCAGCGGGATCCCATCCTCGTCGCCAGTGAAATATACTCGGAACTGAGAGTGGATTTCATGCTCTTTATTCAGCTCATAGTAGTGAGGAATGAATGTTCCCCCAAAATATCTGCTTTATATACATTATTTACACAATGGGCCGCACATGATTGGCTAATTCTGGGATTCTCCCGTAGGCCAATCAGGTTGCGAATTCACTTCCACCTGGAGCTGGATTGGGTGGCTCCTGTGGACCAATCAGACTTCTGCATTCTGAATCCTCTTGTTCTAGGACCAATCATACTGCTGCATTTTGGATCCTCTTGTTCTAGGACCAATCAGACTGCTGCCTTTTGGATCCTATTCAACTCAGTACATAACAGTGGGGTTGCCCTTGTGCCTTTACTTTCTGCACAAAAGTTAACTTCAAAAGACAATGGGTATTATGGTGTTAGAAGAACACCAGGCCTAGTAGCCACCAGCCATCAAAGGCAATTAATCTAAACCCTATGGGTCACCATTTAGTGTGAGGCTATGCAAAAATCTAGAAAGGGGGGGGGTCTCACTCCTGTGGGGGTGAGTTCCACAGTTTAACTAAGCTGTGGGTGAAGAAGGGCTTTCTTTTAGCTGTCCTGAACCTCCCAATGTTCATCTTCATTGGATGCCCAAAAATTCCAAGGGCTATGAGAGAGGGAGGGAAACTTCTCTGTCTGCTTTTATTGTGCTACGCTGTGCAAAACCTGATCCCAGAATACGGTCCCGTTCAGGGCCAGATTTAGGTCTGATGAGGCCCCAAACTACTGAAGGTAATGGGGCCCTTTATACGTCCAGCTGTCCTATCTGGCTAGATGGTAATTGATGGACCTCATAGGTATCTCAGTCCATTTGCACATGTTGCCGTGCAACCAGTCCATGCAGACTGTAGGCACCCTATATAGAGAAAGGAGCAAAGCAGGGATATTTGAGGGAGCAGGCTAGCAGGCGGGAGCCATGTATTACATCATAGGAGCCAACACAACACAAAACACGGTTGCTGTAGGTAGGTTTTATTTTATTTCTTTTTTATATTATATTTTGGAAATGTACAGTGGTACCTCGGGTTAAGAACTTAATTCGTTCTGGAGGTCTGTTCTTAACCTGAAACTGTTCTTAACCTGAAGCACCACTTTAGCTAATGGGGCCTCCTGCTGCTGCCACGCGATTTCTGTTCTCATCCTGAAGCAAAGTTCTTAACCCAAGGTACTATTTCTGGGTTAGTGGAGTCTGTAACCTGAAGCGTCTGTAACCCGAGGTACCACTGTACATCCACTTTTTCCCCCTTTATTTTTTGGGGGGACCTCCAAGAGAGTGTGGGACGCGGGTGGCACTGTGGGTTAAACCACAGAGCCTAGGACTTGCCGATCAGAAGGTCGGCGGTTCGAATCCCCGTGACGGGGTGAGCTCCCGTTGCTCGGTCCCTGCTCCTGCCAACCTAGCAGTTCAAAAGCACGTCAAAGTGCAAGTAGATAAATAGGTACCACTCTGGCAGGAAGGTAAACAACATTTCCGTGCACTGCTCTGGCTCGCCAGAAGCGGCTCAGTCTTGCTGGCCACATGACCCGGAAGCTGTACACCGGCTCCCTCGGCCAGTAAAGCGAGATGAGCGCCGCAACCCCAAGGTCGGTCACGACTGGACCTAATGGTCAGGGGTCCCTTTACCAAGAGAGTGAGGGCCTAAGCTAGAACTTGTTTAGCTTATACTGTACGTAAATCTGGCACTGGTCCCAAAACTCACAACGTACAGCTCCAGCGCTACGAGAGAAGGAGGGAAACTTTTTCCTATCTGCTTTCTCCGTGCAATGCCGTGCATCATAACCTGATCCCAGAAAACGGTCCCATTTAAAGACAGCTGCTGCCCCTTCTCCACCGCAGGCCCTCTGAAATGTCCCTCCAGCCTCCGCATTCCAGTCCGAAGTTTGAACTCGCCAGCTGCCCTTACTTCTGGCAGGCGGTCAAGGAAAACAACGGCGGGCCCCCCTCCCCTCCGCCCTGGCAGGGAGGCAATGCCCTTGTAGGGCCCAGCTGGAGGTCAGCAGAGACACAGGCAGAGAGAAGCAAGGGAAGGAGAGAGATCAGGAAGGAGGCAGCAAGGACCAGGTCAAGAGCATGAAATCCCTTCTGGTAAAGACCCCTCCCTCTGTCTCTGCACGGCTGCTTGCTAAAAGCAGGTCACTAACTCTGGGGTGTGCCCTATAGTTTCCTTGCTCCTAACCCATAAGCTACTGGACTTTTGCTGGTGTTGAAAAACGCTGGCGAGGCCCAAACAGGCGAAACACAGTTTCAGGGTGTTACAGAAATTACGGTGGGGGGGGGCACATCTTTAAAGTTGTTAAATGTTACAAATATTATGCCTGAATGTATCCTTCCGACTTGACAGGTCAGGGAAGTTACCTAGCTTTAAAAAATACAGTGGTACTTCGGGTTAAGAACTTAATTCGTTCCGGAGGTCTGTACTTAACCTGAAACTGTTCTTAACCTGAAGCACCACTTTAGCTAATGGGGCCTCCTGCTGCCGCCGCTGCACAATTTCTGTTCTCATCCTGAAGCAAAGTTCTTAACCCAAGGTACTATTTCTGGGTTAGCGGAGTCTGTAACCTGAAGCGTATGTAACCTGAAGCGTATGTAACCCGAGGTACCACTGTAGTATAAAATCAACTCCTTTGCCAGTTTCCTCCATTCCAAAGCTATTTTCCCCTTGAAAAAGGACTCCTGGAAGTGCCCAGAGGTGACAATTGCTGAGCTGATTGTTGGCCAAGGAAAGCCTGATCCCATCACCAAACTTGCCAAGGGGTCCAGACATGCAAAGGAAGTTCTATTGTACTTTCGGTGGTGGGACTTCAGAGGTGTTTGCCTATGCTCATCTTATACCTGGGTCTTGCCCTGACATGTCTGCTTATGCTAATCTTGTACCAAGGACTTGTCTGGACATGTTTGCCAAGGTTAAACTAGTGGAACCCCTGTCTAAAGGTAAAGAGACCCCTGACCATTAGGTCCAGTCACAGACGACTCTGGGGTTGCGGCGCTCATCTCGCTTTATTGGCTGAGGGTGCCGGCGTACAGCTTCCGGGTCATGTGGCCAGCATGACTAAGCCGCTTCTGGCGAACCAGAGCAGCTTCCCGCTGGAGCGGTACCTATTTATCTACTTGCACTTTGACGTGCTTTTGAACTGCTAGGTTGGCAGGAGCAGCGACCGAGCAATGGGAACTCACCCCGTCGCGGGGCCTTGAACCACCGACCTTCTGATCGGCAAGTCCTAGGCTCTGTGGTTTAACCCACAGCGCCACCCGTGTCCCAACCCCTGTCTACCCCTCCCCTTTTGTGACATGTCAGTGATGCAGCAATGATGCTGTACGAACTGTATTCTGGGATATGGTGGGAAAGTTTTAAAAGTCCTTGTCACCCCATCCTCAGGTTTCAAAATTCCTCTTTGAACCTGTTGCGCAATAAACTTTGGTCTACAGCTATTTGCTCCGGTTGGTGGCTGCACTCCTTCCTTTATTCCGCAGGGACCCACGGGCTCTGCCTGACCTTCTGGGGGACTGAGCAGCCTCACACCTAGATTTTTCCATAACAAGGGGATAGCCTTGCCAGTTTGTTCCAGAGTCCCTTTAAAAAGATATATATATTGAAGCAGAAAGTTCTGTGTGTGATACAGCCTACTTGGTCAGATGCATGGGGTAAAAAGCAGGCATGATTATATTCCACCCTTTCCCTGCTCCTATATCTTTTTTTCTCCCCCCCCCCATTATATTTTATTAAGTTTCTACTTTTTTTGTAAGTTTCGACGTTTTTAAACCTCTACAGCCAAAATGCAATTTCGTCTTTACTCTTATTTTTGTTGACTTTCCGCCCCGTTCTCCACAGTTGTTGTTGTTCCTCCCCTTTGGCTGCACCCTAACTTCTGTCTATTAAATCTATCAAACCGCAATATTATAATCTCGTTGCTTCTGTCGCTCAGATCTCCAATCCTGCTCGTGAGCTCATCGTACTGTAATATTTCTTTGGATAGTCTGAGAAAGGCATCAATTCTTCCGTAAAACACTTTTATTTCCCTTCTCCTATATCATGGCGTTCTGCTCTTCCTGTCCATCGCTGGGAAGTTCACAGCAGCTTTCGGAGGAGAGCGGCTCACCAGTTTAGTTACTTCGCTTTATTTATCGATTGCATTTATATTCAACCTCTTCCTCCTCAAAGAATCCCCACAAGAACCCTGAGATTTAGGTCAGGTTGAGAGGCAGCTTCTGGCTCAAGGTCACCCAGTTGAACTTCACAGCCAAGTGGGTTATTTTGAGTCCTTCCTAGTCCTTCCTCACAGGGCTATTCATTTCATTTATTTCATAAGATTTCTCTTTGCCTGTGAAACAGACACAGAACAGAGATCAGCCTTAGCTACTTATTCCATCTGCCACCCCACCCCCAACCTGCTGCTTCCATGGGAGAAATACTTTACCTTTTGAAAAACTGATGTTTTGGGAGGAGCTGGAGTAAACCTAGATTTAAGCCTAGGCCCGCCTTTGCCAACCGGGTACCGTCTAAATTGTTGTTGCTTAGTCGTTTAGTGGTGTCCGCCTCTTCGTGACCCCCTGGACCAGAGCACGCCAGGCACTCCTGTCTTCCACTGCCTCCCGCAGTTTGGTCAAACTCATGCTGGTAGTTTCGAGAACACTGTCCCACCATCTCGTCCTCTGTCGTCCCCTTCTCTTTGTGCCCTCCATCTTTCCCAACATCAGGGTCTTTTCCAGGGAGTCTTCTCTTCTCAGGAGGTGGCCAAAGTCTTGGAGCCTCAGCTTCAGGATCTGTCCTTCCAGTGAGCACTCAGGGCTGATTTCCTTCAGAATGGAGAGGTTTGATCTTCTTGCAGTCCATGGGACTCTCCAGAGTCTCCTCCAGCACCAGAATTCAAAAGCATCCATTCTTCGGCGATCAGCCTACTTTATGGTCCAGCTCTCACTTCCATACATTACTACTGGGAAAACCATGGCTTTAACTATACGAACCGTCTAAATTAGGGCGGTCCAACTTTTCCTACCAAGTGGACTGCAAGAGCCCGCAGGCCCCACACTGCCTTGTTTTGTGGAAAGAGGGGAGAAGCGAGTCCAAAATGATGTTGTTGTTGTTGATATTTATTATTATTTATTTATACCCCACCCATCTGGCTGGGCGGCTTTCAACAGAATATTAAAATACTATAATGCATCAAACATTAAAAGCTTCCCTAAACAGGGCTGCCTTCAGATGTCTTCTAAAAGTTTGGTAGTTGTTCTTCTCTTTGACATCTGGTAGGAGGGCATTCTACAGGGCGGGTGCCACCACCAAGAAGGCCCTCTGCCTGGTTCCCTGTAGCTTCACTTCTCGCAGGGAGGGAACCGCCAGAAGGCCCTCGGAGCTGGACCTCAGTGTCCGGGCAGAACGATGGGGGTGGAGACGCTCCTTCAGGGATCCTGGACCAAAGCCGTTTAGGGCTTTCAAGGTCAGCACCAAAACCTTGAACTGTGCTCGGAAATGTACTGGGAGCCAATGTAGATCTTTCAAGACCGGTGTTATGTGGTCTTGGCAGCCACTCCCAGTCACCAGTCTAGCTGCCGCTTTCTGAATTAATTGCAGTTTCCAGGTCACCTTCAAAGGTAGCCCCACGTAGAGCACATTGCAGTAGTCCAAGCAGGAGATAACTAGAGCATGCACCACTCTGGCCAGACAGTCAGCGGGCAGGGAGGGTCTCATCCTGCGTCCAGAGGCCGCCTCAGCCTCCCCTGACCCAACTGGTAGTGGAGCAGCTGTAAGTGATGGCCCAGCTGGAGGCAATGAGGGAATCCCCGCATCTGGAGCCAGGGCAGGCTCAGGCCCCTGACTCGGCCCAGCTGGCGTTTGTTGCAGGGGAACCTGTGCAGACTGGGACTCTTCAGGATCAGGTCCCAGACTTGGTTCAGATGATGCCTGAGGCAAAGGATCCGGTGCAGACTGAGTCCCCTCTGGTTCTGAGTCCGAGCCCAAGTCCCAGGCCATCACAAGTCCTTCTTCACACAGCGCATGGTTAAACTGTGGAACTCCCTGCTACAGGGCTGCAACGATGCAAACCAACTTGGATGGCTTTAAAAGAGGATGGGACAAATTCATGGAGGAAGAGAGTTGCTGGAAACCACAGGAAGGGAGAGTCGCTCTTGTGGGAATGTTCAGGGATGCAGGAGAGGATAGATTGTTTGATTATATCCTTTTCCAACTTGTGTTAACAAGTTCACAATTTAGCAGAGTAACATTCCCCTTTTTAAACTCGCAGCGGATGCGTTAGCTCAGGCTCGCTAAAGCCTCTATAATAACCGTTCTGGTATTTCCCGCTTATTCCCTCATAAAAGATAAGACACTACACAGTCTTCTATAAAAGTATAAAAAGGTTTACTCACACATCATTCTGTTCACAATAGGATCCCAGAAGGCAGACTTAGCTTAGAAAAGTAACATATACCTGGAAACTATCTCATAAGGAGACAGTCCCTTTGTCCTCTCTTGGCTGGAGGCCAAGAGAGCATCTTTGGCTAAGCAGATGTTGCTTCTTCGATGCATGTAGTCAAAGAGAGAGAGATGGCTGCCCTGCCCTGTGCTTTTGTCATTACCTGCACAGGTGAGGCCACGCCCACCTCTAGTCACATGCAGAGGAAGTCTGTCCCAGCCCAGAAGGAAACAGGAAGTTGACCTGCTGGCTGGACAAACATTCCTCCCCATGTGCAAACATGCTCCCTCTAGGAATGTTGTACTTGACTGCTCTTGTGTTTCACATCCGACAGCTCTTGTGCTCGGATCCTGCTTCCTGGTTCCCCACAGGCATCTTGTTGGCGACTGTGGGAAGATGCTGGACTAGATGAGCCACTGGCTGCATCCAGCAGGCTCTCCTTATTCTCTTATGTTCATGGCTGGTGGGTTTTGTAGTCGAAAACATCTGGAGGGCACCCAACTGGTCTGGAGTGGGGTGGGGAAGGGGGGGACAGGTGGCGACTGTTCTGCATGTCACTGGACCCAGGTTTCACTTGTGCTTTTAGGGGCCCTAGGGACAAAGCCCCGAGTGCTTTTACATCTCAGCTTCCGGAGAAAGCAGAAGTTCCAATGACGGCTGTAACCGCAGCTGGCTAAATACAATCTGTTGTACCTGAGTTTACAGTGAACTAGAATTTACGTGCAGCAAACTTAAGAGATTTAATGGCAAACCTTTGCAAACATTAAGATGGTTCGCCTTCACAACAGCCCAAGAGGTGGGCTGCAATTATCCATCCGTCCCCTGAGCACACTACTGAGCGACAACTCTGGGTAAATTGGATAGCATCAGCTTTCCAGGCTTAGGGCTTCTCCAGGAGGCAGGCCTGGCCACCAATTTAAAGCAGGTAGTAGTAGTAGTAGTAGTAGTAGTAGTAGTAGTAGTATGTATGTATGAATGAATGAATAAATAAATAAAACCCCACCCTCCCTAGCCAAGACCGGGCTAAGGGTGGCTAACACCAGACAGCAATACAATTGATTAAAATACAACTTAAAAACAAGATTAAAATGCAACATTAAGATGCAGCCTCATTTCAGTAGAAACTCAAATCAAAAACTTTTTGGGGATGAAAACGTCAAATCTTCACCAAGGCCAACTATCCAGACTGGTAGAAAAAACCAGGGAAATCTCCAAATAGGAGTTCCATCACAGAAGGAGAAAGGAAAAAGGAAAGAGGGGGAGGGGATCAAGTTGATTCCAAGCCAAAGGCCAGGCGGAACAACTCTGTCTTGCAGGCCCAGCGGAAAGAAATCAGATCCCGCAGGGCCCTGGTCTCATGAGACAGAGCGTTTCACCAGGCCGGGGCCAGTGTTGAAAAGGCCCTGCCTCTGTTTGAGGCTAATCTGACTCCCTTAGGGCCTGGGACCTTTAGGGTGTTGCTGTTTATGGACCTTGAGGCTCTCCGTGGGATATACCAAGAGAGGTGGTCCCGTAGGTACGAGGGTCCTAGGCCATGAAGGGCTTGAAAGGTCAAAAACAGCACCTTAAACCTGACCCTGTACTCCACCGGGAGCCAGTGCAGCTGGAAAAGCACTGGGTGAATATGCTCCCATGGCAGAGACCCCGTAAGGAACCTTGCACCCACTGGAGTTTCTGCAACAATTTCAAGGGCAGCCCCGCGTAGAGCGAATTACAGCAGTCAAGCCTGGAGGTGACTGTCAGACAAATTCATGCAGGAAAGGGTTATCCATGGCTCCTTGGGACTTCCTAATGCGATTCTGCTTTTTTTGTTCCTCGTTTCCTCTCTTCGCTAGGCTTCCCGTATCAGTTCTCTCCGGCTTTTCTCCACCTCCGCCCCTCGGACATTGAAAAACAAGGTCCCAGAATACCAGAAGCTCTTCCAGGTGAGAGATTTGGCTGCGCCCAGAAAGCAGCGGTTTATGGTAGCAATGCCTTTGCTGAACCAGACATGGCAGGAGGGAGGGAGGGAAAGAGAGAGAGTAGAGGGAGGGGAAAAGAAGAAGGGTCTAGGCTGGTCTCAGGTGTCCTACTTTTCAGAGGATAGTTCTCTCTCTGAGTAGAGCGGTGGTGTCCATCTGTCATGGATGCTTGAGCTGAGATTCCTGCATCGTGGGGGGGGGGACTAGAGGACCCTTGGGATCCCTTCCATGATTACTTTGATGATGATGATGATGATTTTTTTAAAAAATATATTCAAAATTAAAACAAAACATATTATCCAGAAACATATCATCCTTATCCCCCCCCCCATTTTTCCTCCCTCCCACACAAAACCCCCACCCCCTGACTTCCCTCGGTTCCAGTCTTTGATTTCTCTAAGAATGCTGTTTTCTGCATGTTACACAGTTGTATAGATCTTCAAACTATTTAGCCATTATCAATAAAGTTTGTGAATTTTTATTCAAAGCCAGCCAAGGAGTCCAGTTCGCTTTGTTGCGCCTTCAAATACCTTGTAAAAGGTTCCCATTCATCCTTAAAGTCACAGTTATCCTTGTCCCATAGCTTATGTGTCAATTTTGCCAGTTCTGCATAGTCCGTCAATTTTTCTTGCCATGATTCTTTAGTTGGGGTTTCTTCAGTCTTCCATCCTTGTGCTACCAGAGCTCTCGCCTCCGTTGTCGCATACATGAAGATGTTTTTCAGCTTTTTTTGGCAGATCTTTCCCTACAATCCCTAACAAAAATGCTTCAGGTTTTTTAACAAATGTTAAATGAAACATTTTCTTCAATTCATTGTATATTATTTCCCAAAATTTTTAAATTACATTATAACCCCACCACATATGATAAAATGTCCCCTCGTTTCCCTTACACTTCCAACATATATTTGAACTAGTTTTGTACATTTTCCCTAATTGCACTGCTGTTGTGTACCATCTGTACATCATCTTCATGTAGTTCTCCTTCAATGATCATTTTATTATTTATACCCCGCCCATCTGGCTCAGTTTCCCCAGCTACTCTGAGCAGCTTACAGCATCTATAAAAATAGCCTTCTTGTGTTTTGGCTTATTTTCCTCTTTTTTTCTTTTCTTCTTTTTTCCATTTCCCCCCCTTTTCCTCCTCCTTCTTTCCTTTTTCTTTTTTCTTTCCCATAATGGTTTATGTTCTACGCCATGTACTTTGATATTTTTTTGTAGTTTTTTTAGCTTTTTCCATTATTATTATTATTATTAAGGATTTTTCTTTTGTACTTTTGGTTGTTTGTATTTATCTGTATTTGTTTAAAGCAAAATAAAAGTATATATTTTTTAAAAATTGTAAAACATCAGACATTAAAAATTTCCCCCAATACATACTGAATGAAATCAAACTCCAAACCTCCCTTCCAATTACATTTTCAGCAACAGGGGTCATAATCATTGTTTCCTTTGGTCAAAATAAATGGAGTAATATAGTATTGATAGCAGGTTTGTAAGTTCTCCAACGTCATATTGAGGAACGCCCCCAGAAATCCTCCCTAACTGATAATGATAACGATGATGATAGTACTGAATTTATACTTCGCCTTGTCGTCTGATGGGACAGAGGAGAGTTTGGAGGGCCAAGTCACAGAATCCTATAGTTGTGGCCAGGGCCAGATTTAGGTTTGATGCGGCCCTAAGCTTCTGAAGGTAATGGGGCCCTTTCTATGTCCAGCTGTCCTTCATCAACAACAAACTGCCACTGTTTTTTGTGTTGAATAGATGCTATATGGTATGGGACGCGGGTGGCGCTGTGGGTTAAACCACAGAACCTAGGACTTGCTGATCAGAAGGTCGGCGGTTCGAATTCCCTCGATGGGGTGAGCTCCCGTCGCTCGGTCCCTGCTCCTGCCAACCTAGCAGTTCGAAAGCACGTCAAAGTGCAAGTAGATAAATAGGCACCGCTCCGGTGGGAAGGTAAACGGCATTTCCGTGCACTGCTCTGGTTCGCCAGAAGCGGCTTAGTCCTGCTGGCCACATGACCCGGAAGCTGTACGCCGGCTCCCTCGGCCAATAAAGCGAGATGAGTGCCGCAACCCCAGAGTCGGCCACGACTGGACCTAATGGTCAGGGGTCCCTTTACCTTTATATGCTATATGGTAGGCACGTCCAACGGGTAGATCGTGATCTACTGGTAGATCACTGGCTCCCCCCAAAGTAGCTCAACCACTATGCCTTGCACCCCCCAAAACAGGGCTTTCCTCCTCCCTAAAAAAAGCTCAAAAACTCTGACCTGAACTCCTAAAAAAATGGGGCTTCCTCCCTAAAAAAAGACCAGAATCCCAAAAAACAGGGTTTTCCTTCCTAATAAAAGCTCAGCAACTTTGACCTGAACCCCCCAAAAGTGGGTAGATCACTGCCAGTTTTTAATTCTGTGAGTAGATCACAGTCTGTTGGGAGTTGGCCACCCCTGCTATATGGTAATTTATGGACCTAATAGGTATCTAAAACCATCTGCCGTGCAACCAGTCCATGCAGAGTGTAGGCACCCTATATATATAAAAGAGCAAACCAGGGATATTTTAGGAAGCAGGCAGGGTCCATGACTTACACCATAGGAGCCTACACAACACAAAACACGGTTGCTGTACATAGGTTTCGTTTTATTTGCTTTTTATCTTATATTTTGGAAATGTACATCCAGTTGTTTTTTCCCCCTTTAATTTTTTTGGGGGGGCCCCAATGGAGTGGGGCCCTAAGCTAGAGCTTGTTCAGCTTATACGTAAACCTGGCACTGGTTGTGGAGTTGGAGGGGATCCCAGGGGTCATCCAGCCCAACCCCCAGGAACGCAAAGCTCAAAGAGGGTTGCCTTGAAGTTGCTCATCCAGAGAGAGCGGCCCCCAGTGCGCCCACTGAGCATGATGCACACATATTGAAGTGGACTGGGGAGAGGGCAGGTGACTAGATGACCTTTGGGGTCCCCTCCAATGAATGGGGCTAACTCCTTGCCTCTCCGCAGGAGGACAACGGGCTGCCTGTGCATCTCAAAGGAGGCACCATGGACGCCATGATGTACCGTGGAACCATGATCCTCAGTGTCTTTGGTAAGCGATACCTCCGCTCTTCATTCATTCCCAGATTTTGCATAATTGTTCAGAGGTGCTACCCTCCTTTAATTTTTAAATTTTTTTATTTAACTAAAAATATAGTTATTTTTATAGTGGGTTGTGTTGGTTTTTTAAAAAAAAAGAAATCTGTGTTGGGTTTTTTAAAAAAAGAAATCTTTCCCTTCACTTGCGTGGAAACAGATCGTTTGTGCTTGGAATTTGGGGTCTGTGGCCTATGAAACGACCTGAAGTCCAGTATGTACAGCAAATGTAGAACACAGATGAAACACCACAACGAACCAAATTCTCTCTTTCACTCTTGCTGTCAAAAATAGAAGCCTTCTTGCTTCTCGTTGCGGCGAGACAAAACGGAGAAACGAAACAAAACAAAGTGAGAGCAGATGGGCTTGTGTTGTTGTTTTTTTCTGTCCATAAATATTTCCTTTTCAAACTGCAGCCAAGCTCAGGGAGCAGATTGTGCCTTTATTTGGCCTGAGAATGATAACAGTGAGAGAAATCTTCCGAAACTTTTTGCGGCCATTCTGTCCCGTTCCTTGGTGGGTTTGGGGGCCAGCGACTCATTGCCCCTTCCTCTTGGACGAACAGACCTGCAGGCTCACATACAGACAGAGAGACTGGTTTGGATAACCCTTGGTTGACTTTATTCGGAGGGATACATTGGGGAGGAATGCAATGCACAAGTTTCTGATTTCCATGCTGCCGCCGTCATCCCACCCCACCCAGGTTAGAATCCAGAAGTCAGCTTTCAAAATGACATCTCCATAGACTTAGACATTATATGTGGTACCCAGGGCTGCAACAAGCAGGAAGGACCTTCAGTTACGCAGTGGAACATCTCTTTCCACAGCCATCGTTTTCACACACCCCAAAAAATCTGCTCTGTGTTACAGATTGTGTCACCTTAAACCTCATTTAAACACCCTTTAGCTGGCTCTTGCTGAGTTCAACTGAGCAAACCTTTAAAAACAAAAAAACCAGGCCCAGCAATTCCCAGTTCTAACTTGATCGGAGAAAGCCTTATTATCCGAGCAAAACCCAACTGCAGGGGTCAGCAAACTTTTTCAGCAGGGGGCTGGTCCACTGTCCTTCAGACCTTGTGGGGGGCCGGACTATATTTTTGGGGGGGAGGGGGAGATGAACGAATTCCTGTGCCCCACAAATAACCCAGAGATGCATTTGAAATAAAAGGACACATTCTACTCATGTCAAAGCACGCTGATTCCCTGACCGTCCGCGGGCCGGATTTAGAAGGCGATTGGGCCGGATCCGGCCCCCGGGCCTTAGTTTGCCTACCCATCGAATAAGGTTTCCTTGCAAAGCAAGCAGTTTCTGGAGGGTTGCTTCCATGCTAAAGCCTTTTGGCAAGACTGTTAGGCTGTTAGCAGGAACTGGTATTAAACTGGACGTTGTATCACCCAGTAGGTCTTTCCCCACCGCCTCTGTGCAGTAATATATAATGTTTCTTCTCACGTCAATCCCTTCAGCGGCTTACTCCCCTACAACATTAATTAAAAGCTTCCTTCTTTCAGTTTCATTGTGTTTTATTACTTCCTGTTCAGCGTAGCTAAAGAGCAGCCATTGACTGTCCCTTAACCAACTTCTGTTTCCCATTTTTTTCATACGACGCAAAATGACTGGCCAGGGACATTTTCCAGGATTTATCATGGTTGCTTTAATATTTACCGGAATATCAGAGATCTTATGTTATTGGGGAGTATGCAAATGTCGTAAATAAAGGGGAATGAAGGATGGCAATTTCAGGAAAAAGGGCTGGCGTGAAACCAACAATGCTTCGAGCCTTGCCAAATTTTTCGATAAGTGACGTGGAGCTATTTTCCCCCCTCAGGTGTCGGCCTCACACTCTTTGTCCTGTTCCAAGCTGCTTCGCCGAAGAAGAACAAATGAGAATAAAGCTTTAAGGGGGGGAGACTTGGAAGTCCCCCCCCCAACCACCAATACCTGTTCCATCCCTCGGTTCCCCCAGAGCGAGAGAGAGAGAAAGACAAGCGCCTTGTTTTCTGGGGCGGAAGAATTACCAAACCTGTCGATTCTTAGGAACTTTTCTTCAGGATGGCAACAAACAAATGAGGTTGTTTGGAGACATAAACAAGTGAATGAATAAAATGAATTGAAAGAAAGATTTGCCCCTTTTTAAAAAAAACAAAAAACCCTGCATTTTTAAAAACAGACAGACAGCACACCTAAGCCACAAATTTTAAAGGCTGTTAACAAAACTGGAATATCAAAATTCACACGCATGCCTGTATAAGCCTAAGAAGCTGCCTTGAGACTATTTTATCGGCAAGAGGGTGCCGTCCAGCGGTTTTTGACTACATCTCCCATCCGCCCCCGGCCAATATGTAGTCCAAAACAGCTAGATGACACCAATTTGACTGATGCTTATATTTTGGAAATGTATATCCACTTTTTGATGTACTGGTGTTGCTTGACTCTGACCGGCAGCCGCTCTGCAAGGTCTCAAGGGAAGAACATCAGAAGACCCCAGCATCCTCTTTCTTTCTTTCTTTCTTTCTTTCTTTCTTTCTTTCTTTCTTTCTTTCTCCCCCCCCCCCCAATATTTTTTATTGGATTTTAATAACAGCAAATGAGTTACGGGGGGAAAAGATATCACCTCTTCTCCATTTTGGTTTAATTTTATTTCACATACAAGGAGCACTAGGTACCACCGGTCGATAAGAGTTCCTGGGGTTTTGTACAGGCCAAGATTATTTTCGAAATAAAAATTATACTATCGTAGAGTTGGAAGGGACTCCAAAGGTCATCTACTCCAACCCCCTTCAATGCAGGGACTGCAGCTAAAGCACCTGTGACAGGTGGACAGCCAAGCTCTGTTTCAAGACCTCCACATTTCTAATTGTTTAAATTTTGATCGTGGAACCCTTTGCAATGATAGACCAGGCATCCTTTCCCTCGTATGTTTTATCATTGATTCCGTAAATCACAATTCCGTAAAACTGTGACAACTTGTCTTTGAGACGACAACAACAGTAATTTTCATTTCCTTCCTTTCCCCCCTGTGACTTATTTCCTGTAACCAAACAGTCATCTAGCCCAACGCCCCTGAAATGCAAGAATCACCACTAAATAATTCCTGACAGATGTCTATCAGGCTTCTGCTTAAAGAATTCTAGTGTAGGAGAATCTCCCACTTTCAGGGCCGGATTTAGGTTTAATGAGGCCCTCAGCTCCTGAAGGCAATGGGGCCCTTTCTATGTCCAGCTGTCCTTTGTCAACAAGAAATGGTCGCTGTTTTTTGTGTTGAATAGATGCTATATGGCAATTGATGGACCTCATAGGTATCTCAAGCCATTTGCACATTTTGCCGTGCAACCAGTCCATGCAGAATGTAGGCTCCCTATATATAGAAAGGAGCAAACCCGTGATATTTTAGGGAGCAGGCTAGCAGGCGGGGCCCATGACTTACATCACAGGAGCCTAAAAGGTAAAGGTAAAGGGACCCCTGACCATTAGGTCCAGTCGTGGCTGACTCTGGGGTTGCGGCGCTCATCTCGCTTTATTGGCCGAGGGAGCCGGCGTACAGCTTCCGGGTCATGTGGCCAGCATGACTAAGCCGCTTCTGGCGAACCAGAACAGTGCACGGAAACGCCGTTTACCTTCCCGCCGGAGCGGTACCTATTTATCTACTTGCACTTTGACGTGCTTTCGAACTGCTAGGTTGGCAGGAGCAGGGACCGAGCAACGGGAGCTCACCCCATTGCGGGGATTCGAACCGCTGACCTTCTGATCGGCAAGTCCTAGGCTCTGTGGTTTAACCCACAGTGCCACCCACGTCCCTAATCACAGGAGCCTACACAACACAAAACACGGTTGCTGTAGGTAGGCTTTATTTTATTTGTTTTTTATCTTATATTTTGGAAATGTGCACCCAGTTTTTCCCCTCTAAATTGTTTGGGGCCCCCAAGAGAGTGGGGCCCTAAGCTAGAGCTTGTTTAGCTTAAACCTAAATCTGGCACTGGTCCCTCACCTTCCACCAGAGTCCACCCCACTGCTGAACAGCTCTTGCTGTCCGGAAGTTCTTCCAAATGTTTAGTCGGAATCTCCTTTCCCACCATTTGTTGTTATTAAAACCCAACAACCCAACATCGCAGTCTTCCCCATCCCTTGGGACCTAATATAAATTGGGCCTCTGAGACCGTTCTTAGAGAACTGCGCTCACCTGTTGGTCACCTGACACCGCAAACCGCCAGGTACAGAGGTCTGTCCCGCTATCCCTGTGCTACACACAGCCTGTCATCCATCCCAGAATGCAAGGGGTGGGCCTTGCTTGCCCCAGGTTGCTAGCTCCAAGGTAAGTCACTTACCTGTCCAGTCCCCCAGTGGGATCTGAAAGCCTCACAAACCCGCTCCACTTCCCTGAGAATGACTCTCCTTTGGTCGCTGCTGTTGGGAGAGACGCGTTTGGTGTGGCAGCAATTCCCCAGCCGCTACAGACCGTGCCCGGAAACGTTTGAATTGTTCCATTTCACAGAAAGTGGTTGCACTGGATGGCCGGGTGATCGCGCACCCTTCCGTTCTTTTCAGTAAAATGGCCTTATTTCGCGATGATGGTGTACACCTTTCCGATTAGGGAAGTGATATATGGCTGGCCGGTATTGCAGAGGGCTTGAGGCATCGGTTACAGGTGTGAGGGTATTTCGGCTCTTGTGGCGGTTAGGCATTGTTTGACCTTGTGTGGGGGAGGGGAGGTGTGGCCATCACCTGCCCCTCCATGCTTAAGGGTATTCCATTAAAGGAATCCGGGGTGTTGATCTTCTCTGAAGCCCGGTTGGGGGCTAGGGCCATGACACGACCCCGACGGGAACACCAGGGGGAGCTTGAGTTGGTTCGCATCGACAGGGCTCCCCCTACTGGTGGTTTACCCTTACCAGACTTCCTGCACAATGGGCAGGAGTCAGATATAGTCGGGTACAATCAATGCCTAAGCCAATACCGCTCACATTCTGTAATTCAATAAAGTTGTGGCCAAAATCTGCCCAATAACATAAGCCTAATATCTGTGTCCTGGTGTGAGCTATTTCCCAACGAGGGGGTGGCTGCGGGGTCTCGACACGCAACAACACACCTGCTGGCTTGGGGCACAGCCAGGATTAGACGCGGCTGCATTTTCCAGGAGACCTCAAAGTAGGGGGGCCGAGGGGTCGGTGGAGATCTGGTGTGGTTGGAGGGTGTGTAACGAAAACTATGTGGGTTTTTATTTTCATTAGGAAAGGTGGGGCTTCTCAAAACTGAAATCTTTTTAATTAATTCCAATTATATCGTGTCTCTTTAAAAGAAGAAGAAGAAGCCTGGCTTAAACCGAAATCAGAATTTAATAAAGATGCTCTGTTTACAGTCTCGTACGATAGGATTGTCACGGCCATTCATCCCACAGTTAAAGCTTGGTTTTGGTTTGGTTTGCATGCACAAACGCGGAGAGAAATATCTGGCTTCTGAAGTTAGCAGGAACAAAGAAAGCAGCCTTAAACCCAGTCACTTGGTTGGTCCATCTAGCTCAGTATAGTCTACACTGACTGGCAGCAGTGTAGCTACAGACATGACTTTCTCCCGACCCTCCCTGGAGATTCTGCCAGTGGGAACAGAACTTGGGAGCTCCTGCACGCAAAGCAGGTGGCCTACCCCGATCTGTGGCCCTTCCCCTAAAAATAAACTAAGATCCCAGTCGTCATGGTTGTGAATCAAGGGGTGCCACAGGGAGCTGCCTTACGCCAAGTCATATCATTGAACCCGGGGTCTTCTGCTTGCAAATGCTCTACCACCCAGCTACAACCCTTCCCCAGACCGAATTTGCCATAATAAATCATGAATTGTACTTCTTATTGTGGGCTTTGTCCTGGACCAGTCCCAGGTTCCAAGAACAAGGAGATGCTATCTCCAGAATCTCACCAGGATCACCCGCTGAGCCTGCTCAGGGCATCTTGCACTTCTGTTTTACGTCGTCAGCACCCAACCTGTCACCTAAACCTTGCAATGTGTTGTTAAGTTCTCAAGTTACGACACTCCTAACTAAACAGGCTGGACTTTTACATCCCATCTATGGAGAACCACTGCTTTTACCCAGTGGGTGCCGATCCTTGCTTATTGAAAAATGATGCACAGGAGCAGCCCAATCCTGTGTGTGTGTGTGTGTGTGTGTGTGTGTGTGAGAGAGAGAGAGAGAGAGAGAGAGAGAGGAAGTTTAGCAGGAAGCAACTCCCACATTGATCAAAAGGACTTACTTTCAAATAGGACGGCAGCCATAGCCTTCCAATAAGTGGTCTTGCTCAGTGTCCCTGGGTATGTACAGAAAACAGTCTCTTGTGCAAACAGATATAACAATTCTGAACATGGATCCAGGAGGATCGTGTCCCTCGTGTGTGCAAAGGCGCTATTTCCCTACAATCCACTCTGCTCTCGTCTTTCCAGCATCCTTTTCTAGTTAGTCGCATGCAAGCTTACTCAGGAAGTGGTCGCGTCTCAAAATGGGAAACGTGATTTGGAACTGCCTTGATTTGAAACCAATCCAAATTCAGGTGGATGAAGCCGTTTCTCTTGGGGGTGGGGTGGGGAGGATAAAAGGCGGTCGGCGGGGCGGCTCAGGCATTTTTCAGCATCTTGGTAGTCTGGTTGTTGGCTGCGTTGATGCTAATCACGTTGGCGATGGCCTGAGGAGAAAAGAAGAAAGTGAGAAAACAGAGGCAGAGGCTGTTTCAAGCAGCAGGCTTGAGACTACGCCTCCCATCACGCTGGCTGCTGAGCCTGATGGGAGTTGTAGTCCAAAGCACGTGGAGAGCTCCAGGCACAATTCAAAGTGTTGGTGCTGACCTCTAAAGCCCCAAACAGCCTCGGTCCAGCATACCTGAAGGAGCGTCTCCACCTCCATCGCACTGGCCGGACACTGAGGTCCAGCTCCGAGGGCCTTCTGGTGGTTCCTTCCCTGTGAGAAGCGAAGTTACAGGGAACCAGGCAGAGGGCCTTCTCGGTGGTGGCCCCCACCCTGTGGAACGCCCTCCCATCAGATGCCAAAGAGATAAACAACTACCTGACATTCAGAAGACATCTTAAGGCAGCACTGTTCAGGGAAGTTTTTAATGTATGACATATTAGTGTATTTTTGGTCTTTGTGGAAGCCGCCCAGAGTGGCTGGGGAAACCCAGCCAGATGGGCTGTGTACAAATAATAAATTACTATATATATTATTATTATTATTAAAGGCTGCCTTAAGGGAATCACATGTTGTGTGAAGAGTTTTCCCTCACCTGTACTAACACTACCACAACGTGTTCCAACCCCCTGACCATTTCATCCTTTCCTGAAACTTTCCAAGCTCTGTATTACCCCTTTGTTCATTTTTGAAAAAACTCTGGGGCAACCAAAACGGTACACAGGATTCTGTATGAAGGTGTTAACTAGAACGATCTTTCCAAAGGAAGTAAAGTCACAGATCCTCCTGCTGGTGGATCCAGAAATAGTCAGAGTGGGCTGTAACATAAGCAGTCAAGTACAACACTTCCTGTTTGCCCAGAGTGGACACACACAGGGGGATGTTACTGCAGCCAGGAGGACTTCCTGTCACACCTGGTCTGGAGCATCCAGATGGACGGGCATGTGACCAGGTGGATGGGCATGACCCTGTGAGACCCTGTAAATGGGCCAGTCATGCAGCCATCTCTCTCTCTCTCGACCCTGACGCTTTTGCTGCTTTCTTCTGATACTGGTGTATTTTGCTGTCTGCTGGCTCTCAGCCAGCAGCACATGGGCTCAATCCCCATATGGGATGAACTCACGCTCTCTTCTGTAACTACAAGCTAAAGTCTTCCTTCAGGGAACCAACTGTGAACTGAATGTAAGTAAACTTCTTGTTATTCTTAACAGAAGACTGTTGTGTCTTTATTATTTTAAAGAGTGGATTAAAGGGGAAATTACCAGGAATAATCCAATCCGGACAAGCCAGACTGGATTGCTTAAGTAAAGAGATTCAAACGAATCTACCAACTAGCTTCTTGCAATATACAGGGGAATGTCGCCCTGTTGCTGACTCACAAGCATGAGTGAGGAAGGATAATAATATATAATAATAATAATAATAATAATAATAATAATAATAATAATTTATTATTTATACCCCGCCCATCTGGCTGGGTTTCCCCAGCCACTCTGGGCGGCTTCAGACAGAAGACTAAAATGCAATAACCTATTAAACATTAAAAGCTTCCCTGAACAGGGCTGCCTTCAGGTGTCTTCTAAAAGTCTGATAGTTGTTGTTCTCCTTGACATCTGGTGGGAGGGTGTTCCACAGGGCGAGTGCCACCACTGAGAAGGCCCTCTGCCTGGTTCCCTGTAACTTCGCTTCTCACAGGGAAGGAACCACCAGAAGGCCCTCGGCGCTGGACCTCAGCATCCGGGTAGAGCGATGGGGGAGGAGACGCTCCTTCAGATATACTTCAGATATACTTAATCAATATATCCTCTCCTACATCCACAACATTCCCACAGAGTGGCACACTCAAAATTTGTGCATATACAAACCCTCCCTTACATGGTGTCTTCCAGTTGTGCATCTTGGGTGCAGAATTTGAAATTTTCAACTTTTTATTTTTAAAAAATCACGTCATGCGCTACTGCATATGTTCTCTGCCCTGGCCCATCCTGTGGGGGGGGGGGGAGCATCGCTCACCTTTTCCTTAATGCTGTCCACCTGCTTGCTCTGGACGTCGATTTCGTTGCTCATGTCCACCGCCATGCTGCGAAGGTTGCTCAGCATGCTGTCCACCTGCGTCAAGTTCTGTTCCATCTCTTCTTCCACATCGTCTTTCGTTATCCTGAGCAAAACGCACAAAGAAGGTAAGAGCCTGGGTACTGGATCAGGCCAGAGGCTCCTCGTACTCCATCATACTTTCCTTGCAGTGGCCAAGAAAAAGTTCGACAACTAAGTTTTCAATCCAGGAAAATAAAGGGCACGATTGAGCTATGGAAGGTGGATGATGACAATGGCCATTTTCTTGTTGTTATTATTAGGGTTTTGTTTTGTTTTGTTGTAACCATCATGGTCACATCAACCGCAGAATAAAAATACATACTCTAAGAATACTTTGCAAGACCCATGCTCCTAATTTCTCTTTGTAGCCAGCTAGGAAGTAATTATACAAAGTTATTTTTAAAAGTCCAGTTACGTTAGGGCTCAGAGGAATGAGCTACTAATTAAAGTACTCAAAGCCTCTCAAAGTGAAGAGACACAAAGATTTTGGAAGCTTATCAATAATACTTCTTTTAAAAGCATCAACCAAGATACAGCTTCACATTATCAAGAATTATAATCTGCAGGCTAAAAATGTTAAAATACAAAAGGATAAAGGAACTCATACATTGAAATTGTCCAATTAAATATTTAAATCACCTGGTTAAATCTTGGCTAATCACCATATTATTACTACTACCACTACTACTGCCATGGATTTATTAATTGCCTTTAGGCATAAGAGAATTAAAAGCACAAAACAGGACTAAAGCCCTAACAAATGGGACACTTGTCATATCAACCCATTTATCCAACTGGAACAAAAACACCTTTTGACCGTTTCCGGAAAGGGCAGAGAGCGGCTGCCTATCTCAACAGGAATGCTATTCCACAGAATGGGGCAGCCGCAGAAAAGGCCCTGCTCCCAGTGACTTCTGACACCTTTGGTGCTTGCAGGAGAAACTCTCCTGGAGGCTGCAGAGATCTCCTGGTTGTGCAAGGTGGTCTTGGAAGAGAAGATCTCCCCACTCCTTACCTCTGGATGAAGGGGCCACTCATGACCATCTGGTTTCCATCGGCCACCACACAGGGTTGTCGAGAGACCACCTGGCCGTTGCTGGCCTTGGTGGCCTCCAAGTCTTTTATTTTCTTTAACCTACATTTCAAAAGAAAAGATGTTCAGGCAGGAGTTCAACCTGTAACATACTTTGCTCTGATCCAAAACAAGGAGAGAGAGGCGTTCCTGGCGCTTGCACGGCTAGGGGACTTACTTTGCGCAGGGGCAGACGAAGAGGCCGCAACATTTCGCCATGTCCGTGAGGTTCTTCTCAGCCTCCTTCATGTCTTGGATGATCTGGTCCAAGCCGTCCTCAATCCGGTCCAGCTGCTCTGAGGAAGGGGAAAGGGAAGGGGAGACAGCGGAGACACTCAGGAACCTGCAAACATTATGCACGGCCCTCTCTGAACACGCAGGATGAGTCTCACAGGTATTGCGAGATTGTGGAGAGGAGTGCCAGTTTCTCATGCTCCCTTGAGGTGTGTTGGCTGGTTTTCAGATCTCCCCTCCAAGAGCAACAGAGCCGAGGCCTAATGGTTAGGGTTGCCATACGTCTGGGAAATACCGGACACATCCTCTTTTGCCATCCGGGCGGATTTTTTCATTTCCAAACAAAACTCTGGGGGTTTTTTTTGGTTTTTTTTTAAAGTGTGCAAGCGGCCCGGGGTGTGTGAGCAGGCTACTGTGCCGACAACTTTGGGGCTCAGCGACTGTCCGGATTTTTACTTCTTGAAATATGGCAACCCTGTTTCAGGTCCTAGCGTGCCAGACCGAGACCTGGAGAGACCAGGGTTCGAATCCCCACCAGTGGTGACCTTGAGCCGGTCCTACCTCGCAGGGTTGTTGCAGGAATTGGACAGGGAAGGAGAGAACCCCATGCACCAACTTGAGCTCCTTGGGGAAAAGCTAGGGTATGAGTGCAAGAAATGAAGGAATTAAATAAATGAGGGCAGCCTGCCAACCTAAGCCTGCCCTCAGCTTGCCCCTCAGGTGCTTGCCTTCTTACTTACTAGAACTAGGGGGTGGCCCTGTCATTCAGATCCCTCCTGCTCCTCAGTCTGAGTGCTGCCCCTTGTAGAAGGAGGATGGGGATAGAGAGAACTAGAATTAGTTGCCTCTGCCTGTTGTTGACTCTGGCGCCCCCTACTGCTGGGCTCCCTGCCTTCTACCCAACCGGTCCCCAGTGACCAAAAGCAAACTAGCATTTCTCCTCAAGGTGCATATTTTCATCTGAGACTGTTCGCTCACCTAATTCACCCTTTTAATAAAACACTTTTGCTGAAAGTCTTGGCTTAACCCTTTGAGATTCTGAAAACAAACAAACAAAAATCCTCCAAAACTATGTGCAACTGTTACATTTGATTGTTTTCAAGAATTATTTTCTATCCCATGGAGCCGCACTCAAAAAGAGTATTTCCCTCCCACTTTCTGAAGTGGTACCCGTTCCTTCTGGCACCTTATTCTGCTGCTGTGTGCATTCAAGCCACTCCCAGGGGTTTTTAAGACTGGTCAGCCAACCCACAGAGGACTTTAATTATAGCAACTGCAAATGCAGAACCAGTACACAGCTAACACCTCCATGGTCTGCAAGCGATCTGCCGTGAAGCCAGAGGCCTTACCTCCCTGGTCATCCAGCATGACCAAAGTTCGAATTCCGGCATCTTTGCTCTGTTGGGAAGGAGAGATGGGGAGAGAAGAGAAGAACATTAAACATCGAGGACTTCTGGGGTGGCGCCATCGGAGGGACTAGCTCCGCGCGAAACGGGTCTTTTCCGCTACGGCGAAGCGGGGACCCTTTTAAAAATCACAGGCGGATGAAGCCTGTGACCATGGGACTCGGCAGGCACCCCCAACCCGCCCCCCCAACCCGCAAAGGAACCATTAACGGGCTCCGAAGCGAAGAGGGGAAGTGGCGCGGTGCTGTGAGTCAACTGCTTTTTCCGTGGAGCGAAGCCGCATAGCCGTTGCCGGAGAGCGCTGCCTTTTTCCTGGGACAATTTGGCTTCTAAAATAATCACCCGTGAGTACTTAAACTTTGAACAATTGGATTTTAAATAAGGACTTGCGAGCAGAAAGAAATTGGACTTAAAAATTTACTTCAATTTGGTACTGAAACGGGAAGGTCTAAACAGGAAGTCAGCCTTCCGTTTCTTTGTAGACAGAATAAAGCAAAGACAGCGTAAACTAGAGCTCAGAAAATCACTTCTAAAGGATTGGCTTTCATCATTTAAAATTGTTGAACCCCTCTTCGGTAGCAGGAGAAGAAGGGGGATCTTTTTTGGACTGTTTAAACCTGCAGAAGTGAGTTTAAAGTAAAGTAACTTTCCACCGTCCTGATCCTGGAGCGGGGTGTCAGGACTGACGTTTGAAGCTCATTGACCAGAGACAAATGTTTTTGACAGATAGCTAAAAGAAGAGAAACATAGTGATTCCACTGTTTCCTTTCGCATCTTAAAGGAACAAATATTGACAAAATATCTCAAAAAAGAAACTTTGTTGCTAGATTTGTCGTTAAAAGAAAGAACAAATAGAAGTTTTCCCCCTAGAGGGAGACTGTGAAACTGTATCTAATTCCAGGGAGCTTGCAGCTGTCACAGATTACAATCGTGGGAATAGACTTGTGACCTTGTAGGACAATGTATTCAGAAGCTCTGTTGTGTGCTCTCTGTAAAACAAATGTCCTACTGGAACAGTTAAATGAGAAGACGGATTTGATGACTAATGCGGTCAGAATTTTTGAACAGGCAGTGGGAAACTATATGGAGCCCACCCAGGAATTAAATCAGGAGTGTGCCCTGACAGAACAGATGAGAGAAGAGGATGTTGCTGAATCTTGGGCGCCAGAGATGGAGGGAGCTGCGGCCCTGCAGGAACATGAGCTTTTGGATTTGACAAATGAACTTGGAAAAAACCAGATTTGGAAAGATAAAGTTTGGACTGGTTTGGAAATGGGGGGTTGGATTGACCCCCCTATGCAGGGATGTTTGGACTTTCCGAGTCCAGCAATGGGCCATGAGATGTTTGGAGCTGTGGGGGCTCTCAATTTTGGAGGGACTTTGAAACATGTTTTTAAATACCACATGGAGTTTAGTCTGGACTATGGAAAAGGGGCTGATCTGTTGAAAAGGGTCAAAAACATTACCAAGCTGGAGTTCCCACGAGTGAAAGGAGAATATGAAGAAGAGCCGCGGAAGGGACATGGAAGAGACTTAAGGGCCTCGGATATAAGGTTACCAGGTTAATGCGCTAGATCAATGGGATAAAAAGGACTGACAAAACCCGGCACCAGGAGGGAGGGACGCTGGATGAAGATTGGATTTTTTTATTTCTTTTTTTTATTACTAGGATTGTTTTATAAAATTGATGAATGTTAGAAAAATGTTGAAATGAAATTACTTGGCTCTAGCAAAAATGTATAAAGAATTAGGTAAGAATATTATGGTTATGAGAAGTTGGTAAAAATAAGATTTAAGTTCTAAGTTTTAAGGTTTTCTATAAGATAAGATGAAAATAGATTAAGGTAATGTAATGACAGAATATTATGAATTATGGAAAGGATTTGCTGCAATAATTATTAACTAGGATACAAAAAAAGGGAGGAGGAGGAGGTCAAAGAAAGAAGGTAATGAAAGTTGAGGATTTGAGAATGATGGATTTATTTTTTTTATTTTTTCCTTTTCTGTTTTGTCTTTTTCTGTAATTCAAAAAAAATTTCAATAAATATCATTAAAAAAAGAGAGAGAGAGAGAAGAACATTAAACATCTCTGGGATTCTGCAAGATTTCTGGGGCCCGATGTTGCTCACGTGAGAACAAGGGATCGAACGCAACGAAGGGCACATTCACACCAGGTTTTTAGTCCTCATGAATGTGTCCAAAAGGAAAAACAGCCACAACTAGAGAACTCTCTGCAAAAGGCTTGCAAAGCAGAATGGACAGGTTGTTAAAGAACATCATCCTCGGGTCACTTTCGCAACACACATTTAATAATAATAATAATAATAATAATAATAATTTATTACTTATACCCCGCCCATCTGGCTGGGTTTCCCCACCCACTCTGGGCGGCTTCCAACAGGAGATTAAAAACACATTTCAAGCGCTATGGGGCCACTTTAAACAGTCCAGCCTTCGCTTATGTATTCAGTGATCTGTGTCTGCCTGAGCTGGAGTCTGAACTAAGGATTCTGAGCTCCTGTGTTCTGATTCGATACATGATATCCAATCACAGAAAGCCTCTGCCATTGGCCTTTAAACTCTGAGTCATGATTCGCAGCTTGGAAGTTTAGACAGCCAATCACAGTGGGAGTGGGCGTGGCCCAGGCCTTCAGAAACGTATATAAGCAGTTGCTTTCTCCCTGTCGTCCAGTTCTGTTAGTTCAATAAAGGCTCTTGCTGTTATCGCTGTGTCTTCCCTCGTGGGAAGCTTCCCCCAAAGAATCCTGGGATCTGTAGTTGCATAAGGGTGCGGAGAGTGTTGAGAGGCCCTGCTATTCCCCCTCGCAGAGTTCTCTGTGAAGAGGGGCTGTTTCTTACCTCATCTACCAGCTGCAACATCCTCCTGGTGCTCTCCAAAGCCTGAAGTGAAGATAAAAAAAGAGCAGGAAATTAAATATTATTGATTTATAGATTCATAGCAGGAATCACAGCTCTGGGAAGCTCTGAAGGTGGTGCTGATGGGAGTTATAGCGCAGCACCTCTTGAGGGCACCAGGTTAGCAAAAACTGCTTTTGTCCTTTTAAAAGCCACCTCAGTCAGAAGCCAACGCAACCCATAATGGAGGCAAGTTCTGTAAGTTAATTATGCACTCTGTGAAGAAATTACTTTCTCAAGCCTGTCTTAAGCCAGCCAGACTTTTCATTGAGTAACCCCAATAAAACTGCACATCCTTTCTTGCCACCAACACCCACCCACCTTGGGACAAAACAAAACAAAACACCATTTGGCAGTGCAACGCACGCTAAAGCAAATTAGTTCCATAGTTGGAATCTGTCTCATTTGCATAAGTATACTTGTAGCCGTTTTGCAAGAACGAGAATTGTTCTTCAGAACAAAGCCAGCTTCCTTGCAATTATATCTCTGGCCTATTTGGGCAGGAATGCAAGCTGGGTTTGTAGGGTGAGGGGGGCAGTGTAATGGCCTGGGATTCAGACTCGGAGGCTGAACCTGAGGAATCCCAGCCTGCACAGGAGTCCCCGCCTCCAGAACCAGCTGAGCCGGGGCTGGGGCCTGAGCCTGAAGGGTCCTCACCTGTGCTGGATCCTCAGGTGCAGGCATCAGCTGAGTCTGCTCTGGCTCCGGAGGTGATGGAGGACCCATTGCCTGCAGGTGCTCCACTCTCAGCCCCGTCAGGGGAAGCTGAGGTTGCCTCTGGGTCCGGTCACCCTCCAGCCTCTCCGGAGCTGCAGAGGCTCAGGGCAGAGAGGCGGAGGGAACTAAGTTCCCACAGAAGGAGTGCTCGCCTCCAGGCCAGGAGAGGCGAGTCACCAGAGAATCGGGGCTGCCCTATGCCTCGGGGCAGATAAAAGCCAGCCAGCCCCAAGTTGCAGGAGCAACATCGTTGGTAGCCCGTTCCTGCCTGCACCGTGTCCTGCTCTTCTGCCAGAGTTCCTGACCTCACCCGACTCCCCGCCTTGGACCCAGCTTCAGCTTTGACGGACAGCCTCCATACCGCACCCTCAACCTCGGACTGGACTCGGACCTCGCCACACGGTTAACCCTCAAGACCAGCACAGGCAGAAGGTTCTCCAGATTGTAGACTGGGACACAGTCAGGCTGCTGCTAAAGTAAACTGGGAGCAATTTAAGGCCGGAGGAGGCCATTTTTTCCAGAAGAGGAAGCTACTAACTAAAGGTGCAATAGCCACGCCAAGTCTTAACAGTCGTTTGCCAGTCCACACAGAGCAGCTGAGCATGGCAACTGCATTTTATGTGCGGGGATTGTTGTGAGAGCAAATTGCCACAGATCAGAAAGGATGTGGGAGAACAAGGCAGAAGATATTGAAGGCAACAGGCTGGCAGCGACGCCAGCTGGATTCGCCGCAAATCGTCAATGAACAAAGGGTATCATTTCCTGGCAGGAGAAATAGTGTACAGTCGACCCAGGCGAGACTGGGAATAATCTGGTTCTGGGTTGAAATCAGCTCATAGGAGGGGGGTTGCCTTCCCAATTCCCTTTCTCCCCACCCCTCTGGGCAATACCAGGAGCACTTTTATAAGGAAAAGGGGGATCTGGCTGGTAGAGGCAAAAAAAAGAATTTTCCCGACCTCATTGTTGACCTGGTGGATGCGCTGTTCAAGGTCTTCCGGCTCCGAACCCACCACGCCGTTGGCCGCCATCTTGGGATCTTTTGGGAAAGAACCAAGGGGGATGTTTTTCCTTGTATGGATAAATCCACGGTCTCCTACAGAATAAGAGAGAATAATAATAATAATAATAATAATAATAATAATAATTTTTATTTACACCCCACTCTCCCTGGCCAGAGCCGGGCTCAGGGTGGCTAACACCAGTAAAAAGTACAGTAAAAACATAATAGGGGGGGGGGAGGGGAGAAAAAACCAATTTAAAATACATGTTAAAATGCAGCCTCATTTTAATAGTAGCCCATAGATGACATAAGGGACGCGGGTGGCACTGTGGGTTAAACCACAGAGCCGAGGGCTTGCCAGTTAGAAGGTCGGCGGTTCGAATCCCCGCAATGGGGTGAGCTCCTGTCGCTCGGTCCCTGCTCCTGCCCACCTAGCAGTTCGAAAGCACGTCAAAGTGCAAGTAGATAAATAGGTACCGCTCCGGCGGGAAGGTAAATGGCATTTCCATGTGCTGCTCTGGTTCGCCAGTAGCGGCTTAGTCCTGCTGGCCACATGACCCGGAAGCTGTACGCCGGCTCCCTCGGCCAATAAAGCGAAATGAGCGCCGCAACCCCAGAGTTGGCCACGACTGGACCTAACGGTCAGGGGTCCCTTTACCTTTATAGATCACATAAAGGGAGGGAAACATAGGGTCAGACCAAATCAAAGGCCAGGCAGAACAGCTCTGTCTTAAAGGCTCTGCGGAAAGAAATCAGATCCCGCAGGGCCCTGGTCTCTTGTGACAGAGCGTTACACCAGACTGGGGCCAGTGTTGAAAAGGCCCTGGCTCTGGTTGAGGCTAATCTGACTTCCTTTCCTCTTCAAAGAGAAGGAAACACCCGGTTTGAGAGATCACAGGTGCCCAGTCATGTATCGTTTCACATAGTGGTCACCCCACGAGCCAGAAGGAACTCCCACAATCCTTTCCAAATAGCAAAGCATTCTGGGGCTAACCCACAATCCTCTGGGGCATGACTCCAAGTGATCAAACAGCAGAGTCCAAGCAGCCTCTGCTGGGGACTGGTGGATCTGTCGATTCCAAGTTCTCTCTTTTCCTGCTGTTAAACCAGTCTTCCTCTACCTCGGCCCTCCAGATGTTTTTGGGACTACAACTCCCATCATCCCTAGCTAGCAGGACCAGCGGTCAGGGATGATGGGAATTGTAGTCTCAAAACATATGGAGGGCTGAGTTTGAGGAAGCCTGCGTTAAAGTGAGTTCTCCCCATATCCACCTCAATCTGCAAATGCATTCATTTCCTAGCCACCTTCAGGAATCTGAACAAGCAGACCCCTCATAGAATCTTAGAATGGGAAGGGACCCAAAGGTCATCTAGCCCAACCCCTTGAAATGCAGGAATCTCAGTTAAAACATCCATTACAGATGGCTGTCTAACCTCTGCTTAAAAACCTTCCAGGAAGGAGAGGCCAGCACCTGCCAAGGGAGTCTAGTCACCTTGGGGTGACTAGTCCAACCAACATAGAATAGAATAGAAATAGAAATACTTTATTGTCACTGTGGAGCTGTGGGTTAAACCACAGAGCCTAGGACTTGCCGATCAGAAGGTCGGCGGTTCGAATCCCTGTGATGGGGTGAGCTCCCGTTGCTCGGTCCCTGCTCCTGCCAACCTAGCAGTTCGAAAGGACATCAAAGGGCAAGTAGATAAATAGGTACCACTCCGGCGGGAAGGTCAACGGCGTTTCCATGTGCTGCTCTGGTTCGCCAGAAGCGGCTCAGTCATGCTGGCCACATGACCCGGAAAATTTGTCTGCAGAGCGGACAAACGCTGGCTCCCTTGGCCTGTAAAGCGAGATGAGCACGCAACCCCAGAGTTGGTCATGACTGGACTAATGGTCAGGGGTCCCTTTACCTTAAGGGATGCAGGTGGTGCTGTGGGTTAAACCCCTGAGCCTCTTGGGCTTGCCGATCAGAAGGTCGGCGGTTCGAATCCCCGCGACGACAGGGTGAGCTCCCGTTGCTCAGTGCCAGCTCCTGCCAACCTAGCAGTTCGAAAGCACATCAAAGTGCAAGCAGATAAATAGGTAAACGGCGGGAAGGTAAACGGCGTTTCCGTGCACTGCTCTGGTTCGCCAGAAGAGGCTCAGTCCTGCTGGCCACATGACCCGGAAGCTGTACGCCGGCTCCCTCGGCCAGTAAAGCGAGATGAGCGCTGCAACCCCAGAGTCGGCCGCGACTGGACCTAACGGTCAGGGGTCCCTTTACCTTTACCTTTACCACTGTTTACAGTGAGATTAAACGAGCCCCCCACCCAATCTCTCAGTCCTTGTTACACTCTATGTGTTGGTGCGGCTTATCATGCTTCTATATCTCTTGCCCAAGGAGATAATCTGAAACAGTCAGATTATCTGGGATCACTGTTCTACGTTGTTATTTACTTACTACTTCGGCACCATGAATGCATTAAAAAAGTTTTACCACTTAGCCCACAGGATAACATTTATTACTTTTTTCAACCATAGACTTATTATACTTCTACGGACTTTCAAAGATTGACAGATGTGTGTTCATTTGATTTCAAATATATTAGAGAATTTACAAGTGTACACATTTTGTTTTTGTTGTACTAAATCATGTATATTGTCGCAGGAAACACCCTCCCCCCATCATTCAGTTTGTACAAACTTGAGACACACACACTCACACACGACATACGCTACACTTCTGTTATAAATTCATAGAAAATCAACCATACATCGGATCCGCACCGTTCCACTTTTATTTTACTCCATGAAGGAAGGACTACAACATGGGGAAGGTTTGATACAGGGCAGCCATAATCCCTTGACCATACCAGCACATCCACAGGAGCCCTGCCCAGTTGCTATGCCAACCCTGATGGTCTCAGACAGAAGACCATCAAGGTCACAAAGAACTTGCATATGGGAGTGGATTCTGCATGGACTGGAACAAAGGACAATGATCAGATCTTCCCTCTGGGGGCAGGAAACTGCGACTACCTTTTGTCTTCAGAAAATGACTCATGGGGAGGGGTAGAGGGGAACCAGCCAGGTGACAGGACACTCAGGTTACCACCACAACCCCTCCTTTCTGTGATGTAGTTGTGATGTAGTCTTAGGGGTCTAGTTTGGGGGATTAGTAACTAATAAAAGTAGGGGGTCTTCTTTTGTTCTGGTCTTCCATCTTGCTTCATCTTGTTGTGGGTGGGAGTCCTGTCGCGACAGTTTCCAATAAAGGCCAAGCCTACAGGCTGCTGTTTTGCTCCAAATTGTCCTGGTTGGTGTCTTTGTTTTTTGTCCAAGGGAGCCCTCGGATTCCTCCGTTAACATATTATGCAATAAGAATTGCAGTGCTATCTACTGGTCTTCGTGTTGCTTGTATTGCTTGTTGTTTGGTGAGCTTGTCGGCTGGCAGACAGCAAACCAACAAGGCAGCTTTTAGGGTGGAAGCTACTAACTAATCATGTGTTAACAATATTTTGCCAGCCAACACAGAGCAGGTCTGCAATTGCATACAACAAGACAGCCGGCACGGTGTCCCAGAACCCCATTGCACGGCAGTCTACTCCTTGGGCTCTGCCATTTTGTCACACGCCTTGCGAATATCCCTGGGGAGGGTGGACGGAACCTGCCATAACTCCAGCCCCCACCTCCTCCGTCGGGCGATATGATTCTTCATCCGCATCCCCCGAAGAAGCCGTATAATTATCGCGCTTGGAAAGTGCAGCTGTTTGCTCTTTGGGAGCTGAGAAACAGCCACCCACCCACCCCCTCTCCCTCTCCCCCCCCCCCCCCGAAGGACCTTCCCGGGCTCCCACCTTCTGCTGCTCAACTCTGCCTGCAAAATTCGTGCAAATTAAAAATAGACGCTTTGTGTGTGTTTTGTGCTTTTGAACAAAGCGAGCGAGAGAGGAGGGGGGAGAGGTGTAGCTGCGGCAGCAAAAACTTTTCCCCCAAGCTGACAGCAAAAGAAAAAAGGAGGTAGAGGGTGGGTTGGATGGGAATAAAAGTGGTTTAGGAATGATTCACAGAAAGAGAGGAAGATACCCTTTTGATTGTGCTCTCTTGATGATTTGCACTCTTGATGGTATCAAAGCGACCAGTTAGTTTCTGGGCTCAGTTCAAAGTGGGGGGTTTTTGCCCTAGAAAATATTTTGTGGCTCAGGACCCCAGTACCTCAAGAACTTCCTCTCCCCCTAGGAACCATCCCTGCTGTCGATGGAGGCGCAGGTCCATTCTGTGTCCAGGGCAGCTGTCTACCAGCTCTATCTGGTACGCAGGATGAGACCCTCCCTGCCCGCAGACTGTCTTGCCAGAGTGGTGCATGCTCTAGTTATCTCTCGCTTGGACTACTGCCACACACTCTATGTAGGGCTACCTTTGAAGGTGACCCGGAAACTACAACTAATCCAGAATGCGGCAGCTAGACTGGTGACTGGGAGCGGCCGCCGAGACCATATAACACCAGTCCTGAAAGACCTACATTGGCTCCCAGGACATTTCAGAGCACAATTCAAAGTGTTGGTGCCGACCTTTCAAGCCCTAAACGGCCTCGGTCCAGTAGACCTGAAGGAGCATCTCCACCTCCATCGTTCAGCCTGGACACTGAGGTCCAGCTCTGAGGGCCTTCTGGCGGTTCCCTCCCTGCGAGAAGCCAAGTTACAGGGAACCAGGCAGAGGGCCTTCTTGGTGGTGGTGCCCACCCTGTGGAACACTCTCCCACCAGATGTCAAAGAGAAAAATAACTACCAAACTTTTAGAAGACATCTGAAGGTAGCCCTGTTTAGGGAAGCTTTTAATGTTTAATAGGTTCTTGTATTTTAGTGTTTTCTTGGAAGCCGCCCAGAGTGGCTGGGGAGACCCAGCCAGATGGGTGGGGTATAAATAATAAATAATAAATTATTATTATATTATTATTATTATCCTGGGCTCTGCGATCATTATCTGAACCCCTTCTCCATGGGCCCCCTCCATACGAGGTCCGGGGGTGGCAACACAAGAACAGGGCCTTTGCAGTGGTGGCTCCTCCCTGGGGAGGCCCGCCTGGCACCATTATTCCATACCTTCAGGCAAAAGCATTTCTTTCCTGTCAGGCCTTTAGTTCTTCATTACCTGCGGCCTCCTTTAGTGAGTGCCCCGTTTTAATCCTGCTTTTGAAAAGACGATTGTCTCTTAGATTCCCCTGTGCTTTGTTTTACGATGGCTTTGATGTGTTTGCTTATTGCTGTAAGCCGCTTTGAGTTACCGTATTTTTTCAGTGTATAAGACGATGTCTTTTGCTTTAAAACTTTAGTCAAAAATTGGAGGTGCTCTTATACACAAGTGGTTAATGTACAGGTTTTTTTAGAAAAACGACTACTTACCTTCCTACGGCTAGAAGACCCCCCCCCAAAAAAAAAGTCTGCAACTTTGGGCGATCTTGGGCGTTGGTGGGTTAATTTGGGGTTTAAAAAAATAGGGGTCGTCTTATACATGAGGGAGTCTTATACACACAAAAATACGGCACTTTTGTTTTTAAAAAGTGGTTAATAAGATTAATTAACAACAACAATAGACAATCCTGTTTCAACACTGTTCATTTGTTGTTGTTGTTTAGTCATTTAGTGGTGTCCACCTCTTCGTGACCCCCTGGACCAGAGCACGCCAGCACTCCTGTCTTCCACTGCCTCCCGCAGTTTGGTCAAACTCATGCTGGTAGCTTCGAGAACACTGTCCCACCATCTCGTCCTCTGTCGTCCTCTTCTCCTTGTGCCCTCCATCTTTCCCATCATCAGGGTCTTTTCCAGGGAGTCTTCTCTTCTCATGAGGTGGCCAAAGTCTTGGAGCCTCAGCTTCAGGATCTGTCCTTCCAGTGAGCACTCAGGGCTGATTTCCTTCAGAATGGAGAGGTTGGATCTTCTTGCAGTCCATGGGACTCTCCAGAGTCTCCTCCAGCACCAGAATTCAAAAGCATCAATTCTTCGGCAATCAGCCTTCTTTATGGTCCAGCTCTCACTTCCATACATCACTACTGGGAAAACCAGAGCTTTTAACACTGTTCATACCTGTGAACAATTGCTTCATTTCCAGTTTGTCTGTAACTTCCTGCTGAAATCTGGTCCCTTTTTATACCACAAATGTTCAGGGGGCGGATGGGGGTGGTTGTCCTGATTTCGTTGAGGTTCAGTCTCCAGATAGTGGCTGAGAGAAACTCCTCCCTGAAATCCTGCAGAGATGCTGCCAGCCAGTGTTGGCAATATTGCGCTGTATTACCAACCTTACTGTCTGCTTGTGAAACATGGACCACTTATAAACTCCATCTCCAACTCCTTGGAAGATTCCACAAACGGTGTCTCCAAAATTTTTTGCATATCACTTGGGAAGACGGGTGAACTAATACCAGTGTACTGGAAGAAGCAAAGATCACCAGTGTTGAAGCGATGATTCTTCAACACTAACTTTGTTGGACTGGTCATGTTGTGCGGATGCCTGATGATCGTCTTCCAAAGCAACTACTCTATTCCGAACTTAAGAATGGAAAGCGTAATGCTGGTGGTCAACAAAAGAGGTTTAAAGACACTCTCAAGGCAAATCTAAAAAAATGAAGTATAAACACCAACAATTGGGAAACACTGGCCTGTGAGTGCTCCAGTTGGAGAACAGTCATTACCAAAGGTGTCCTGGGCTTTGAAGACACTCGAACTCAGGACACAAGGGAGAAACGTGCTAAGAGGAAGGCACGCTTGGCAAACCCTCACCGGGGTCAACTCCCACCCGGAAACCAATGTCCCCACTGTGGAAGGACGTGCGGATCCAGAATTAGCCTCCACAGTCACTTACGGACTCACTGTCAAAACCGTGTTCATGGAAGGCAATTCTACTCAGCCACGAGGGATCGCCAAAGAAGGAGAAGAAGACATGAACAAATGGTCTGACTCGGTTTAAGGCAGTTTTCTATGTTCTAAGTGGGGTGGGTGGGGCTGCCCTTGTGCCTTTACTTTCTGCACGAAAGCTGATTTCAAAAGACAATGGGTATGTTGGTGTTAGAAGAGCACCAGGCCCAGTAGCCACCAGCCATCAAAGGCAATTCACCTAAACCCTACGGATCACCATTTAGTGTGAGGCTATGCAAAAATCTAGAAAGGGGGGGGTCTCACTTTGCCAGGTGATGTTGGAGAAGGACTTTCAAAAAGCATTTTTAGCAAGGTTTAGCGGCCTGTTCTTTTATTTATTCAATTAAGATTGCCAGTCAGTAGTGCGTTTCTAAAAGGATTTCAGGTGGCTCTCTCTTACGCATGGTAATAACTGTAATGAAGTTATCGCCCTTTAAAAAAATAAGGAAGTAGAAGGATTTGAGCCTTAATGCGTGCCTAGGACATCGGTTAATTGAATTAAGTGACTCCGTGTGAAGAACACTGGAAATAGCTCACTTCTTGTCTGGGAGCTCCTCCTGACTCCCCAGAAAAGTGCCCTTGAATAGATGTGGATTATAACATTATTTTTTTTCATCCTGTGCAACTGGCAGGGCCATCGCAGCTAAAAGAATCATAGAGCTGGAAGGGTCCCAGAGTATAATAATAATAATAATAATAATAATAATAATAATAATAAATTTTATTTATACCCCAACTTAGGGCGGCCAACACCAGTAAAATTACAGTAAAAACATAATGGTGGGGCGGAACCCAAATTAAAATACAGGTTAAAATGCCATTTAAAATGCAGCCTCATTTTAAAAGTCAAAACCATAAGGGGAGGGAAACATAAGGGTCAGAGTGAGTCCAGCCCAAAGGCCAGGCGGAACAGCTCTGTCTTGCAGGCCCTGCGGTTAGATTGGTCTCAAGTAGGGCCAGGGCCTTTTCAGTACTGGCCCCGACTTGGTGGAACGCTCTGTCCCAAGAGACCAGGGCCCTGCGGGACTTGACATCTTTCCACAGGGCCTGCAAGACGGAGCTGTTCCACCTGGCCTTTGGCCAAGGCACCGTCTGACCCCCTCTCTCCTTCTGTAATCCTCATAGAACTCTAGCCCAATGATTGCCATTAATTTGATTCTGAATTAATTTTAGAATGAATTGATTTTAGAATGCTGTGTTACTTTTATTGTTGTTAGCCGCTCTGAGCCCGGCTTCGGCTGGGGAGGGCGGGATATAAATTACAAAAAAATTATTATTATTATTATTAGTATAAAGGTAAAGGGTAAAGGGACCCCTGACCATTAGGTCCAGTTGTGGCCGACTCTGGGGTTGCGGCGCTCATCTCGCTTTATTGGCCGAGGGAGCCGGCGTACAGCTTCTGGGTCAGTGACCAGCATGACTAAGCCGCTTCTGGCGAACCAGAGCAGTGCACAGAAACGCCGTTTACCTTCCCGCCGGAGCGGTACCCATTTATCTACTTGCACTTTGACGTGCTTTCGAACTGCTAGGTTGGCAGGAGCAGGGACCGAGCAACGGGAGCTCACCCCGTCGTGGGGATTCGAACCGCCGACCTTCTGCTTGGCAAGTCCTAGGCTCAGTGGTTTAACCCACAGTGCCACCCGCGTCCCTTATTATTAGTATAAACACCGACAACTGGGAGTCACTGGCCTGTGAGTGCTCCAGTTGGAGAACAGTCATTACCAAAGGTGTCCTGGGCTTTGAAGACACTCGAACTCAGAACGCAAGGGAGAAACGTGCTCAGAGGAAGGCACGCTTGGCAAATCCACACCATGATCAACTCCCACCCAGGAACCAATGTCCCCCCTGTGGAAGGACGTGTGGATCCAGAATCGGCCTCCACTGTCACTTACGAACTCTCTGTTAAAACTGTGTTTATGGAAGACAATCTTACTCGGCTACGAGGGATCACAGAAGAAGAAGATGAAAGCATCCTGTTCTCACCATGGCCAACCAAATGACAGTGGGAAACAGGATCCGAGCGCAAGAGCAACTCTCCTCTCCTGCAGTTTCCAGGGACTGGGATTCAGAAGCCCCGCTGCTTCCGACCACGGAGGCTGAGCCGAGCCATCAAGGGTTGAAAGCAGCCACTGACAGCTCTTTCCCCCATGGATTTGGCTGACCCTCCTTTAAAACCATCCAAGTCAAGGGCCATCGCTGCCTCCTGTGGCAGGGAGTTCCGTAGTTCAACTCTGTGCTGTGTGAAGAAGGACTTGCTTTCATCTGCCCTGAATCTCCCAACGCTCAGCTTCACTGGATGTCCAGAAGTTCCAGTGTTAAGAGAGAGGGAGAATCATTTTTCCTTCTGTACTTTCTCTGTGTCATGAATCACTTCTATCTCAGTTGCTCCGTCCCGATTTGCTTGCCCAAAAACCTCACATGGAGGCCAGACTACAGCTGGACTCAGTTAAAAAAAAACAGCATTTTGAATGCATTATAAACATGCAACACCAGGTGGCACTGTAGAGCACAAAACTTTTCCATGTGATTTTACATAGCGCTTTTTTTCTTTGGTTGTAACGATTTAATTGATGACTTCTTTATAGCATTTTTTCCCCTGTGTGTAGATCCACCCCCTGTCTTTACAGAGCATTCTTCCTGATTTGCCCACATGGAGGATAGATGACAAGGATCCCGATCTCCTTGCAGGGATGTTTGTACACCTTCGCATTCGTCGCTCGCTTGCCCCACACTTTTCAATGTGTCTCCCCATCACTTTCCTAAGTCCACCCCTTTTTTAAAAAAAAACAAAACTGTGCACACTTGAATTTCCTAGATACGCACTGACTCAAACCCCACCTGCAAAATGCTGGCCTTTGAAGCCGTGGCTCAGTTTCCCCTTCGTCAAGGATCTGCCTGCTGGTTAATGCCTCACGGCCGACTGAAAGCATGGCATCAGATTTGGCCAAAGCTATCCGGCATGACTCATCGGAGCCGTTCAGCTTTTCTTCGGTCCCTCTTCCACTGGGGGAGGGAGGAGGAGAGCAGGTCAGTTGTGGGGGGTGGAGAGCAAGAAGGATCTCAAACCCATTAGAGCCCAGAGCCTTCACAACCCATTAGGCGGGGAGACCAAATGCCTGACAGTTTACAAGCGTCCTTCTCTGCCCCATCTCTCTCGTCGATATAACCTTTCAGATCTTCTTCTGGCATCGGAAAGTGGGAATAATGTTATTACTATAGATGCCCCTCCATCTCACAGTCCCCTGGGCTGCTGCAATTATGGAACAGGATGCCGGTCTCGCAACCAGCCCTGCTCCTCTGCCGCCCAGCGTGACGTACGGACAGAGCCCTCTGTTTTTGGCTGCACAAATCTTAAACTGTGAACCCATCCCTGGCTAGCAGTACAGGAAACTCACTGGTACTGTGACAGGAATTTTGAGGTCTTAGATATATGGTAATGTTCGTAAGCGTCCCAACCAAGCGCGTACATAGATCAGCACAGGAAGACCGACCTGGAACCATTTTGATTCCTAAACTGAGCAAATGTTTTCTCTGCAAGGTCAAAGTGGGAAAGCTCCCCACTGTTCTCTTTCCTCACAAATCCTGTCTTGAGGGTATGTCTGTCTGTGTTTGAATTTAGGTGAGCCTGTGACCTGGCTCAGGAACTAAGTATTTATCATTACAGAAGACTGGCCAGGCTCACCAGGGTATCCAATCAAGTGAGCATTAACAGGTAACCTGGCAAACATGAGATAAACAATGCACTCAGATTTCTGTTGTAGACCGCCCTTTCTGTGATGTATGTATGATGTATCTGGGGGTGGTCTTGATCTACAGGGTGGCAATTTCAAAAGTCTTTATAAGGCCTTGGGCGCCATTGTTCTAGGTTCCTCCTCCTTCCCTGCAGGTGAGGGGAGCACCCTGTTGCAACAGATCAATAAAGATCAGGCTTACTAGCTGCTTTGCTTTTCAATATTCTCTGGTTGGCCTTTGTTATTTTCTCCTACCAATAGGGAACCTATGTAAGGACTCTATATGGGCTCTTGGATACCCCATAAGGGAAAAGGACAATTTTTGTTTACAACAGTACCAAGCCCCTGAAGGACCAGGTGCGCAGCCTGGGAGTCATTTTGGACTCACAGCTGTCCATGGAGGCACAGGTCCATTCTGTGTCCAGGGCAGATGTTTATCAGCTCCATCTGGTACGCAGGATGAGACCGTACCTGCCCACAGACTGTCTCGCCAGAGTGGTGCATGCTCTGGTTATCTCCCGCTTGGACTACTGCAATGCGCTCTACATGGGGCTCCCTTTGAAGGTGACCCGGAAACTACAACTAATCCAGAATGCGGCAGCTAGACTGGGGACTGGGAGCGGCCGCTGAGACCCCATAACACCAGTCCTGAAAGACCTACATTGGCTCCCAGTACGTTTCCGAGCACAATTCAAAGTGTTGGTGCTGACCTTTCAAGCCCTAAACGGCCTCGGTCCAGTATATCTGAAGGAGCGTCCCCACCCCCATCGTTCTGCCCGGACACTGAGGTCCAGATCCGAGGGCCTTCTGGCGGTTCCCTCACTGCGAGAAGCCAGGTTACAGGGAACCAGGCAGAGGGCCTTCTCGGTAGTGGCACCCGCCCTGTGGAACACTCTCCCACCAGATGTCAAAGAGAAAAATAACTACCAAACTTTTAGAAGACATCTGAAGGCAGCCCTGTTCAGGGAAGCTTTTAATGTTTAATAGGTTATTGTATTTTAGTGTTTTGTTGGAAACTGCCCAGAGTGGCTGGGGGGACCCAGCCAGATGGGTGGGGTATAAATAATAAATTATTATTATTATTATTATTATTATTAGTCAGATCATTGGGTCCACCCGGCTCAGTACTGTATACACTGGCCGGCAGCAGGGTTTGGGACGAGGCTCCTCTCCCAGAGACGCTGTCGAGGATTGCACTTGGACCTTCTGCATGCTCTCTCGCTGACCCACAGCCCTTCCTCGACTTGTGTCCTCTGCTTCTGCTACATGACCTGGTCTGACCCTGCTGCTAAGTGGTTTCTTTTGTGGTCCAGCCAATCTCCCTCTGGAACAGAGATGGGCAGCTGCACGCAGGCAAAGTGCCCGTCAAACGTCCCTAAGGACACGGGTTCGAGACCCGCTGCCAACTAGAGCGTCAGCGCGTCGGTGCAAACGCAAATCTCCTTTCTACGAGGTACCTAAGCGCCTCCATCCTGCGTGGTTCAGTCGTCCAGGAGGGCTGCTTTCCTTAATGAGCAGAGCAGTCTTGTAACTGCCAGTGACAAAGGGCTCCCTTTTATCAAGCGCTAATTGGCGGAAGACTTTGCAAGCAGCCACTTAATGCATCCGTTCCCTAATGGCCCCTAGCTGAAATTAAAAGGCAAGTGAAGAGATCCAAGGAAGATTTATCCAGGCAATTGTAAGCTTTGTTGTTCGCGGAGGGCAAGGCTATGCATGGCCGCTAACCAAATGGCTGTGCGGCACCTCTGTTGCTGGAAACGGCAGGAGGGGGAGAGTGCCGCTCTTGCGTTCGAATCCTGCCTGCCACTTTCCCCTCGGGGCATCTGACAGGCCACTGTGAGAACAGGGTGTTGGACTATAGAGGCCACTGACCGGTTCCAGCAGCCAGAGTCTTCTTATGTTCTAACTGAACCTCCAGCTCCAAAGGCAGTCTATCTAGGTTCCTAGGTTCATTGGGCTATTTGGTCACGGTAAGAACAGGCTTTTAATAATAATAATAATAATAATTTATACCCCGCCCTCCCCGGCCAGGGCCGGGCTCAGGGCGGCTAACACCAGTAAAATTACAGTAAAAACATAATAGGGGGGGAACCAATTTAAAATACAGGTTAAGATGCAATTTAAAATGCAGCCTCATTTTAAAAGTAGCCCATAGATCAAAACCATAAGGGGAGGGAAACGTAAGGGTCAGACTGAGTCCAAACCAAAGGCCAGGCAGAACAGCTCCATCTTGCAGGCCCTGCGGAAAAGTGTCAAATCCCTAGTCTCTTTTGACAGAGCGTTCCACCACGTCGGGGCCAGTGCTGAAAAGGCCCTGGCCCTAGTTGAGACCAATTTAACCTCCTTGCGACCTGGGACCTCCAAAATGTTGTCATTTGTGGACCTTAAGGTCCACCGCGGGGCATACCAGGAGATGCGATCCCGTAGGTACGTGGGTCCTAAACTAGATGGGTTGCTGGCTGATCCAGGAGGGGTCTTGGGCAGCTCAGAAGGAGGGTTAGAACGTGGTGCTGATAATGCCAAGGTTGCAGGTTCGAACCTGTATGGTCCAGCTGCATTGCAGGGGGTTGGACTAGATGACCCTCAGGGTCCCAACTCTACGATTGCATCATTCTTTTCCCATTGGCCTACATAGATCATCCTGCCAAGCTACAAGGGGAATTGTCCTGCTTCCCCCAAATTTCTAAACCAGGACCATAGCTCAGCGCAGGAGCAGCTGATTTGCACACAGAAGGTCACAAGGTTTTTCCTAGCATCTCGAAGAGAACCATGCCTAAAATCCTGGAGAGCTGCTGCCAGTCAGTGTAGGCAACCCTGCGCTAGATGGACTCAGCATAAATAGGGCAGCTTCCTTTCTAAGCACGGCGAGGGTCTGCTCACAGCTTTGCAAGCTTCCAGTCGGCTGAGCGGCTTCTGCGTTTGCCTTCCATTGCAGCCACAGCCCAGGAAAAAAATAACAACAACAGAACTCTAAGAGGTGACTGAGACAAGGAAGGTGAGCCTGCAAGGTTTACACCACGATTTCTAAAGGATGAGGTCCCTCCAAAACATTTAGGAGTGCCAGTGAATCGGTATGTGGGGAGCCCAGAGATTTCCCCCCTCTCCAATTCCTTGCAATATGTCACAGCGAAGGGGATTCCTGGGTAGAATTTGTGGACCGCAAGCTAACACATGCTTAAAAGAGCAAAATATCTTGGGCAAGTCATGGTTACTGCCATCCCAGAAGGGTATTCCTTCCAATATACCTGAAGGAGCGTCTCCACCCCCATCGTTCAGCCCGGACCCTGAGGTCCAGCTCCGAGGGCCTTCTGGCAGTTCCCTTGCTGCGAGAAGTGAGGTTACAGGGAATCAGGCAGAGGGCCTTCTTGGTGGTGGCGCCCGCCCTATAGAACGCCCTCCCACCAGATGTCAAAGATAAAAACAACTACCAGACTTTTAGAAGACATCTGAAGGCAGCCGTTTAGGGAAGCTTTTAAAGTTTCATAGGTTATTGTATTTTAGTGTTTTGTTGGAAGCAGCCCAGAGCGGCTGGGGAAACCCAGCCAGATAGGTGGGTATAAATAATAAATTATTTCTATTATTATTATTAATCCTAACAATGGCAATTGCTTCTCATTCATTACGATGCTGATAGCTCACTTTTCCTCTACAAGCTCAGCGGGGCACCTGTGATTCTCGCTCTTCCCATTTCTAGCCTCACAACAGTCCTGCGAGGTAGTTTAGGCTGAGAGACAGCGAGTCACCCAAGATCGCCCAGTGAGCTTCATAGCTGAGTGGAGATTTGAACCCTGGTCTCCTAGTCCAACACTCCAACCATCAAAGGTAAAAAAGGTAAAGGACCCCTGGACAGTTAAGTCCAGTCAAAGGCGACTGTGGGGTTGCGGCGCTCATCTCGCTTTCAGGCCAAGGGAGCCGGCGTTTGTCCGCAAACAGTTTTCCGGGTCATGTGTCCAGCAGGACTAAACCGCTTCTGGAGCAACGGGACACTGTGACAGAAACCAGAGCAGCGCATGGTAACGCTGTTTACCTTCCCGCTGCAGTGGTACCTATTTATCTACTTGCACTGGTGTGCTTTCGAACTGCTAGGTTGGCAGGAGCTGGGACAGAGGTATCTCAAGCTATGGACTCATAGGTATCTCAAGCCATTTGCACATGTTGCCGTACAACCAGTTCATGCAGAATGTGGGCACCATATATATAGAAAGGAGCAAACCAGGGATATTTGAGGGAGCAGGCTAGCAGGCGGGGCCCATGACGTACATCACAGGAGCCTAAAAGGTAAAGGTAAAGGGACCCCTGACCATTAGGTCCAGTCGTGGCCGACTCTGGGGTTGCGGCGCTCATCTCACTTTATTGGCCGAGGGAGCCGGCATCCAGCTTCCGGGTCATGTGGCCAGCATGACTAAGCTGCTTCTGGCGAACCAGAGCAGCGCACGGAAACGCCGTTTACCTTCCCGCCAGAGCGGTACCTATTTATCTACTTGCACTTTGACGTGCTTTCAAACTGCTAGGTTGGCAGGAGCTGGGACCGAACGACGGGAGCTCACCCCATCACGGGGATTCAAACCACTGACCTTCTGATCGGCAAGCCCAAGAGGCTCAGGGGTTTAGACCACAGCGCCACATTACCCCACACTAGTCAGATCATGGTCACAAACAGAATCAACTCCCCGATTCTTTCAAAACCAAGGAGAAGGGGGGCTCTCAGCCCTCCACATGCACCTGTTTTGCAGAGCTTCGACACCAGCCTCCAACTCTATTGCTGCCTCTCAAATGAAAAACACAGATTTGTCACCTTTACATTTTTCACACAGCCAACGAACCCTTCCAAAAAAAGACCAGGCTAGCCACCCTCCCACTTCACAATCTCAGTGCTGCAAAACAGCTTTGTGCCGGTCTCAATTCCTTCGTGAGTTTTCTGAAATGTTTCTTGCGGCAGTGACGGTAAACACAATGCCCTTGCAAGAGGTGATGTGCTCAAGAAACACTGGTGCTCCGAGAGCTCCCTCCATCTGTCTCCAGATGCACTTTGCAAGAGGTCAGCTGCAAGCCGTGTAAAATCAGAGTTTGTAAACAGAACCAAGCAGCAGAAAAGGGTTTACAGGTCTGCATTTCAAAATCTCTGGGTATTCTGGGAATCTTTAGGTGGAAGGGAAAACATATGGGGACTTCTGTGGATGGTGACATCAGCCACAAAATTAAAAGATGCCTGCTTCTTGGGAGAAAAGCAATGACAAACCTAGACAGCATCTTAAAACGTAGAGACATCACCTTGCCAACAAAGGTCCGTATAGTTCAAGCTCTGGTTTTCCCAGTAGTGATGTATGGAAGTGAGAGCTGGACCATCAAGAAGGCTGATCGCCAAAGAATGGATGCTTTTGAATTCTGGTGCTGGAGGAGACTCTGGAGAGTCCCATGGACTGCAAGAAGATCAAACCTCTCCATTCTGAAGGAAATCAGCCCTGAGTGCTCACTAGAAGGACAGATCCTGAAGCTGAGGCTCCAAGACTTTGGCCACCTCAGGAGAAGAGAAGACTCCCTGGAAAAGACCCTGATGTTGGGAAAGATGGAGGGCACAAGGAGAAGGGGATGACAGAGGACAAGATGGCTGGACAGTGTTCTCGAAGCTACCAGCATGAGTTTGACCAAACTGCGGGAGGCAGTGGAAGACAGGAGTGCCTGGCATGCTGTGGTCCATGGGGTCACGAAGAGGTGGACACCACTAAACGACTAAACAACAACAGACTGTCACTATTTTCCAAGTGGGATTCAATCAAATACCAGCAAATTCAAGTTGCACAATTAAGGCGGAACTGATGCTCTTTGAACAAGCTCATTTACAAAACAAAACAAAACAAAACTCAAACATTTTGCAGGAAGGAAAGTGATGGTGAAAATGCTCTGGAAAGCGTGGAATGGCAATACTTCAACAGAGACATGGTGCCCAGACCAAGGGAAGTAATAGTCTTGCTCTATTCTGTCCTGGTCAGACCACACCTGGAGTCCTGTGTCCTGCTCTGGGCACCACAATTTAGGAAGGATATCGACAAGCTGGAAGGTGTGCAGAGGAGGGTGAGGAAGATGATCAAGCCTGATGAGGAGCAGTCGAGGGAGTTGCATATCCAGCCTGGAGGTGACATGACAGCCATCTTCAAACGCCTGAATATCTGACACATGGGAGATGGAGCAAGCTTCTTTTCCGCTGCTCCAGATGGGAGGAGATTCCGACTAAACATTAGGAAGGACTTTTTGACGGTAAGAGCTGTTCAGCCGTGGAACAGACTCTCTCTTGGAGGTTGTAGAGCGCAAGTTGGTCAGGGATTCCTTAGCTGTCATTCCTGCACATCAGGGGGTTGGACTAGATAATCCCTGGCGCCCCTTCCAACGCTACAGTTCTATCGTTCTAGCGGATTGACACCATGTTGTGTAGCCTACTTGCAAACAAATCAAAACAAATGCGCGACAAGCAGATGGTGCCCCTTAACCTCCCTGTAAATTTGGAGTAAGAAAATCGAGATGAATGCTCCACAGTTTGTCTGGGAGTGACCTGCCTCTCCTGCGACTAGATGAGAGAGGGGAAAGATGGAAACTTATAGCTCAGAATCAGCCCACAGTTGCTGGGCCTTTATATACTGCTGTGATATATTATTAGGATGCAGCAGTACATATTCCTCCCTCAGGCGACACTCTGGAGCAAGGGAAAGGGTGAGTCTGTACACTTCAAACGGCTGGAGCTTGCAAGAGAACCCAGCAGTCCTAACTTGGGTTGCAGAGAGAGAGACAGGGTGGTGCATTGGTTAGAGCAGGCAAAGGCAAACTCGGCCCTCCAGATGTTTTGGGACCAGAACTTCTATGATCCCTAGCTAACAGGACCAGTGGTCAGGGATGATGGGAATTGTAGTCCAAAACATCTGGAGGGCCAAGTTTGCCTATGCCTGGGTTAGAGTTTCAGAGGCTTGGGTTCAAATCTCCTCTCAGGCACAAAGCTCACTGGGTGCCCTTGGGCCATTCACTGCATCTCTCGGCCTAGCCTACCTCACAGGGTTGTTGTGGAGATTAAATGGGGAGGGGGAGAAAACCACGTACGCACCTCGGGCTTCCTCAGAGAAATGAATAGACGAACATTGATAAACAGCAGATTAACTCAGGCAACTTCACGATTCCCCTTTCCTGCGGTCATTTCAAAACCATCCACACCACTCCCTGCATTTCAGGGGGTTGGACTAGATGACCCTTGGTAGTCCCTTTCAACTCTATGATTCTGCTCCAGCCTCCAGCCCCCTCAGCTTGGACCCTCAGAAGCACCTGTTCCCTGATCACTCGTATCCAGAATTAATCCCAGGGAAACCGCTAGAGACCTGCTCCAGATCCCCGCATCTGACACAAACACACCCCTCCTCCTCGCAACCCACCATCCATTCAGCCCCCGAATCTCCCTCTAGACTCCCCCTCTATTCCATTTCAGATCCCAGGCGCCCCTCTCCCCTCCCCAAGGCGCACGACGCACAATCCGCCTCTTTTATAACGGGGGAGAACCATCAAGAACTTTGCCCGTTCGCTCGCAGTTCCCGACAGAAGGAAATAAACAACAGGTTGGTGGTTCGGAGGAGGAGATTTTTGGCAACTCCCTGACGCATCGCAGAAACGGCTTCGGGATGCGCGCAGACCGGCGCAAAATGCAACGAAATAAACGACTGAAGTTTGTTAAAGGCTGGAACGAAAATGGCCAAAAGGCCAGCGCTGTTGCAAGACCACAATTCCTAAGGAAGGATGCGCCGCCTTTGAAGTTTACCTGCTCATTTTCGCTCTCAAATCAAACAGTAATTTTTTCAAAAATTCTTCTTTTAATGTAGACTCACTTTCTTGAGCTTCCCAGCGCCCCCCAGAGCGCAACAGCTCCCCCCTCCCGCCCCCAAATCTTTTTTTACCTGTTTCTCCTCCTGTCCCAGACTCCTGCCTCCCAGTCCTCCCTCATCAGCAACAAGCCCAGCGCTCAGGATGGAGAGGATGGAGCCCCGCCCTCTCCGCCTGGGGCTGCGGACCCCCCCCCCACTGCCCCGCCTCTGGAGCCACCCCATTGGGCGGGGAGCCTTGAAAGGCAGCCGGGGGAGGCCTCTGGTTGGCTGCCGGGCTGGGGAAAGGGACAGGGCGGGGCCGGGAAAGCCTTGGGCTGGTACCCGCCCGCCTCTCCTTCCCCCCAGGGGATGCTGTTGCCAGGGGCAACCTGACGTGAGCCAGGGGAGGATGGAGAGAGCAACTTGGCACAACTCTGCGTCTGGCAGAATGAACTTCCATTCCCAGGGGAGTTTGGCCTCAGGCTGGGCATCTAGGCAACTCTGAGCGGAGTGCAGTGTTAGTCAACGCAGGGCAAGGCTGGCACCGCCGCGTGGTGGGCAGTCGGAGCATCGTGGCAGCCGGGCTGCCTCAGGCAAGGGTGGGTGACATCCTGGGCATCTTTGATAACCTGGCATGGTAACCCAGGCAACTTGGACCTCTCTTTGTAACCTGGGCAACTGGAGCGTCTTGGTAACCCGGCAACTTGGATGTCTTAGTAACCTGGGCAACTGGGGGCAAAATGAAGATTGAAAATCTTAGGGCTTTGGGTCATGCCTTGGGAAGAAGGGGGGGCAATCAAAGGCCTCGCTGTGTACCCAAATGCTCATCCGAGGGAGATCTCAGAAACAGACTTGGAACCTCTTACTCATGGGTAGGCAACCAAAGGCTCAGGGGCCGGATGCAGCCCAATCGCCTTCTCAATCCGGCCCCCGGACGGTCCGGGAATCAGCGTGTTTTTACATGAGCAGAATGTGTCTTTTTATTTAACATGCATCTCTGGGTTATTTGTGGGGCCTGCCTGATGTTTTTACATGAGTAGAAGGTGTGCTTTTATTAAAAATGCATCTCTGGGTTATTTGTGGGGCATAGGAATTAGTTCATTATTTTTCTCCAAAATATAGTCCGGCCCACCACATGGTCTGAGGGACGGTGGACCAGCCCACGGCTGAAAAAGGTTGCTGACGCCTGCTCTTAAGAGTTGTGGGCACTGAGAGAGATCAAAAGGCCATTCATGTTAACCTTTTTGTCTGTCAGGCTAGTCGTACAGCTGCCTTCCCTTCCCGCTTCTGAAATTGTTTCCTTTTGCACAACCTAGACCACACTGTGTTTGCAAGGCAGAGGAAAGCCACGCATGGCAAAACGGTAACATCAGATATATAGCCAACTCAAGGAAGTAAGACCAGCCACACTGGGCAAGATACACCCTCTAGGGATCCCTCCCCTCTCTCCATGGGTCAGTTTTTGATCTTAGGTCTGGCTTGGACGGAAAGGAAAACTCTCATTGTCAAAACCTTGCTATAAAAATATTATTTAATGATTCATTGGCCCATGTAAAGGCTCTTTCATTGGCTCTCTGTTTCTCCTTCCCCCCACCAAATACAGTGGTACCCCGGGTTAAGTACTTAATTTGTTCCGGAGGTCAATTCTTAACCTGAAACTGTTCTTAACCTGAAGCACCAGCCTCCCGCTGCCGCTGCGCCGCCACTGCACAAATTTCTGTTCTCATCCTGAAGCAAAGTTCTTAACCAGAGGTACTATTTCTGGGTTAACAGAGTATGCAACCTGAAGCGTCTGTAACCCGAGGTACTACTGTATATCTATCTCTTGCAGAAGGAGCCTGGTCAATTTCATTGTGTTGTGTTCTAGGGTCACACTAGGCGACAATGTTGACAGATTTAGGCTTGTATCTCCCATCTTTATATATTTCTGTTTACAACAGTTGTGGGGATTCTGAGTCTCTTCCACACAGCTTGTTTATTGCGCATGCATCATGATTTGTTTGTAGGGAAGTCAGAGCATGTTTTACCAAGTATACCTGAAGGAGTGTCTCCACCTCCATCGTCCATCTCGGACACTGAGGTCCAGCGCTGAGGGCCTTCTGGCCCTTCCCTCACTGCAATAAGCAAAGTTACAGGGAACCAGGCAGAGGGCCTTCTCGGTGGTGGCGCCCGCCCTGTGGAACGCCCTCCCATCAGATGTCAAGGAAGTAAACAACTACCTGACATTTAGAAGACATCTGAAGGCAGCCCTGTTCAGGGAAGCTTTTAATGTTTAATGCTATAGAGTCATACCTCAGGTTACAGCCGCTTCAGGTTGCGTATTTTCAGGTTGTGGACCGCCAAAACCCAGAAGTACCGGAACAGGTTACTTCTGGGTTTTGGCAGTCGCGCATGCACAGAAGTGCTAAATTATGCTTTGCGCATGCGCAGAAGCACAGAATTGCAACCTGTTCGTGCGCAGACACGGGTTGCAAACGTGCATCCCGCACGGATCACATTCGCAACCCGAGCGTCTACTGTATTGTGTTTTTAATATCCTGTTGGAAGCCGCCCAGAGTGGCTGGGGAAACCCAGCCAGATGGGCGGGATATAAATAATAAATTGTTGTTGTTGTTGTTGTTGTTGACTTCACCCCCCAAGGCACACCCCTTCCATTGTCTCCCAGGACAGATGGATGCCAGCCAACACAGGTTGTGGCTATTGCCTGTTGCTTAGACACCATGATAAATATTGCTGGGGAGGAGTTGATGGTCGTGGTGCCCATTTCCACCGGTGACTCGGGGAAATATAGCTGTGAGGTCCTGGAAGCCAAATTTAGCTTGCTAGGAAGGATGCACTTATATTTTTAAGTGTTGCTATACATTTTTCAGGGCACTTCCCTGTCATTCTCCTGGTTTGGGCGGCAGGAGTGTAGTGCGTTTGTGACACAGGAGTGCCAAATGAATTTCAATTGCATTGCCTGATTTTGCAGGTATACAATCCCATCCAGAAATAGTGATGGTCTGGTCTGGGAGCGCTCCTGGAACTGAATTGACGCTGCTGTACAAATAACTCCTTCCCTCATACTGTTTCCCAGATATATCCCCCCATCCTTCAAGCGCTGTTCGCCTCATTAGGAAAAAGCAAAAATATTGGTGCGTCTCCATATGGGAAACACCACCGTATAGCCGACCCGAGAGCTGTTTGACAAATTCAGCCTGAGATCTGTTTGACAAACAACCCGCTTAGATCAAATTCCGGAGGTGTCGCTGTGTTGACAGTTGCTGCCGCCGCAGACGAAAAAAGCACACCTTGTGACAGCTTAAAGACTCACCAATTTCTCGAAGCAGAGGCCACAGACTGCTTTGTCAGGCGCATGACAAAGGATTTGTGTCGCCTAGATGAGGACAACAAATTGTGCACCTGTCGGGAGTCGGATCTAATCCGCTGCTGCTTCTGCCACAACAAATCAGTCAAATCACTGAAACGCAGGTGGCCAACCTGGTGCCCTCCAGATGTTTTGGGGCTCCATCCGATGCCTCTCTTGTCCCTTTTTTGGCACCTGCTGAAGACGCTCCTCTTTCAACAACCCTTCTAAAAGTTGACATCTGTCTAGGATTCAAGTTGAATCCTTTTTTTAAGCTATTACCTGTTTTTAACATACATTTTCTACCATTTGTTTTTATTTATTTTTCAGAAAGAAGGAGAATCACAGCATCATAGAATTGTGGAGATAGAAGGGATTCCTGGAGTCATCTTGTCCAGGGGTTTGGCCAACTTCCAAGAGACTGTGATCTACTCACAGAGTAAAAAACTGGCAGTGATCTACCCCCTTTTGGGGGGTTCATGTCATATTAGGGGTGCAGGGCAAAGATGTTGAGTTTTTTTTAGGGGAGCCAAAGTTTTTTAGCTTCTTTTGGGGGAGCCACTGATCTACCAGTGATCTACCACAGACGTTCAGTGATCTACCAGTAGATCACGATCTACCTGTTGGACATGCCTGATAGTCCAACCACCCTGTGAATTCAGGTATCTCCATGCATGACAGGTGGCGATCCATCTGTTTTAAAACATTCAATGACAGACAGTCCACCACCTTCTGAGGGAATCCATTCACCTCAGTCTTCAGAAATATTGCTTCCATGCAAACAAACAGCCCCGCCTCCCCTGCTGGTGAGGTACCGAGTTAATTTTAATTTTTAAAAAATTAAAATAACATTGTTTCTCTCATCAAACAAAGGTTTCGTTCCACAGGTCTCTGTGCCTTGCCAGTGGTCTGTAGCCGCGTTGGCCTGATGTTGCCTAGGCAATAAAATTATACCAAGTCAAATAAAAAGTATTGAGTTCCTTGCCTGTCCTTTTCTTGCCGATACGAGTTATTAGTTCATCCGTCAAGATCAAGTGCCAAAGCTTGCGAAAGCAAGGCCTCAAAGAGGACCAAATTCAGCGTCCTCCAAAAAGCGTAAGTCCAGTCACAGAACGGCAACCCCATTCAAAGATTGAACTGGACGAGATGTTCTTCAGTAGGTCTTGAGTTGGAAACACAAAGCCGTATGCATAGATCAATCACAGGAAGGCAAATCAAAGCCACCACCCTGGTGAGAATAACGCAAGACCTATTGAAGAACATCTCATCCAGTTCAATCTTTGAAAAACAGCTTTGAAAAACTTTTTCATATTCTCCAGTGTGCTAGCCTTGCCGTTGTGGTGGCACGGGTTTGCCGTTCTGTGATAGGAGTTACGCTACTTGTTGAACGGTTCATTTATCCAGTCTGTATAACATTTATTGCACATGTAACTTGTTAAGATACAGTTGTACATTTATCTAGTCCATGTTTACAGTACAGTCGTACCTCAGGTTAAGTACTTAATTCATTCCGGAGGTCCGTTCTTAACCTGAAGCACCACTTTAGCTAATGGGGCCTCCTGCTGCCGCCGTGCCGCCGGAGCACGATTTCTGTTCTCATCCTGAAGCAAAGTTCTTAACCCGAGATACTATTTCTGGGTTAGCGGAGTCTGTAACCTGAAGCGTATGTAACCCAAGGTACCACTGTATCTCCAGGCTTTGTTTTGCACATGGCACCTTAGTATGTTTGTTGCTTGAATGGTTACAAGTCTATCTCTATTCTAGTTATGATTCTAGTAAATTTGGTTTTATACTTATAAGCCAGTTTGTGGTGGTGTTGTTTTGTTGCATTATTATTACTGTCACCACATTTGATACTTGGTGTATATACTATGAATATACATTGCCTTAGGAGATAACAGAAATGTATATTAAGGGGCGCAATCTGTTGGGCGCAGACTTTGGAGTCTATTCCTCTGTGCCTATTTTGCTGGCTTGCAAAATAAAGCCCTTTGTTTTACTCATTTGCTGCGTGAGTTTTTTATCAGCCCCGAACGTTGATTTTTGCAATAAAGTTCAGTAATAAAGCCTGCTTCATGGAACACTTTTAACCAGATGGAGGGCCCCTGAGGGTTAAACCACCTGAGGATGGGTGTTGGGTTTGAATAACAGCAAATTACAAGATTGTTTAGTTGAGATTCCTGCATTGCAGTGGGTTGGACTAGATGACCCTCGGGTCCCTTTCCAGCTCTACGGTTCTGTAACCCTACGAAGCCGTATTGCTACAATTCCTCCAGCAAAGCTTTGTAGTTGGCATTGTTAATTTTATTTAATGTTACCAGGTGCATTTACCAGGGATGTGCGACTTTTCGGTTGTTCTCCCAGATCCTTGCGGATGTGGACTTCAAGGGAGCCTTGACCCAGATTGTGTTCCATTCAGTACCTCCCAAAGACTCACCTAGATCCTTTTTCCTAACGAGTTTTTAGCCTTTCAAAATGAGCTAACGAGATACAATGGTTAAGGCTTTTCAGAGCTAGAAAATGAAGCCTTTGCCCAGCGGGTTGGAGGTTTGCTCCACAGGAGTCAATGGACAGGTTTGCTTGCAACGATGGCTTATAAAATGTACAATTTGGTGCATTGCAAGCCAATTATAATTTAGGTTTCCAAGTTTCCGCCGTATCTCTGGGGTTGCCAGCTGCTATTAAAATCTCAAAACTTGCATAAACCGACTTGTTCCCATTTCCCCCAAAGTCTGAATAGCACCAGCTTTGCAAAAGGAGGGTGAAATATTGAGGGTGCCGTGGATGACATTGCAAAGAATGAGTTTATTTGCCTATATAGGGGTTATGGTATATATGTTATGATCAGTGCCAGATTTACATTTAAGTTAAACAAGCTCTAGCATAGGGCCCCAAGATTGGGGCCCCCCAAAAAAATTAAAGGGGAAAAAACTGGATGCATATTTCCAAAATATAAGATAGAAGACGAATAAAATAAAACCTACATACAGCAACAGTGTTTTGTGTTGTGTAGGCTCCTATTTTGTGATGTGCAAATGGCTTTAGATACCTATGAGGTCCATAAATTACCATCTAGCATATATTCAACACAAAAAACAGCAACCATTTGTTGTTGAGAAAGGACAGCTGGACATAGAAAGGGCTCCATTACCTTCAGGAGCTGAGGGCTGCATCAAACCTTAATCCAGCCCTGGCCCTGAGGCTAAGCAATGAGGAACACTGAAAAACGATACTGCTTCGGCTTGAAGAAAAACGTTGTGGGCAAACATATCAGACGACACAGCGATTCTTCCAAAGCAGCTCTTTATTTGTAAGCTGGAGCAGAACTGAACTGAGGAGCTCAGTCAGCCTGCTTATATAGAGCTCCACTAGAATGCAACAGTAACCATTTTCTGTAACTAGCCAATCACTGAACGTCACTTTCGATCCTTCATTTGCATACAAACTATCCAATCACTGAACGTCACTTTCGATCCTTCATTTGCATAACTATCTACAGTATCCCCCTGCTGGCCCAGGGTGAGAACTTCAGTACATAACAAAAAAGGTATGCAGGTTCTGTTACATATAATGGAACTTTGAGGAAAATGCAACTTAAGAAGATATTGGAGAGCTCTGGGTCATTTGGCCCTGCTGCTGTGTGCACAGAAAATAGTAGAGCCAGCTGAAGGGCAACACATGGAGATCTGTGTTGATCGTTACCATGCCTCTTCAATTAATATCACTGTATAATTATTAAATGGTTGTATAATCTTAGAAGGGGGCCTGGCTGTGAGGGGATGGGGTTGCAACTACCACGAAGAGACCCTAAACTTCTGAATTTGACCAGACACCACCGTATGTCCAGAACCCTCAGAGACCAGGGTTCGAATCGCCACCCAGTCATGAAGTTTGCAGGGTGACCTTGGGGGCCAGTCTCTGCCTCTCACCCTGGCCTACCTCACAGGGTGGTTGTGAGGATGAAATGAGGAGGGGGCAGAACCACATATATGCCGCCACAAGCCCCTTGGAGGAAACGGTGGGATAGAAATGCTATCCCGAAATCAATCAATGTGAAACACACCTTGGCATAATTAATATTAATAATAATAATTTATTATTTATAGCCCGCGGATCTGGCTGGGCTTCCCCAGCCACTCTGGGCGGCTTCCAACAAAATATTAAAATACAGTAATGCATCAAACATTAAAAGCTTCCCTAAACAGGGCTGCCTTCAGATGTCTTCTAAAAGTCTGGTAGTTGTTGTTCTCTTTGACATCTGGTGGGAGGGCGTTCCACAGGGTGGGCACCACCACCGAGAAGGCCCTCTGCCTGGTTCCCTGTAACTTGGCTTCTCGCAGGGAGGGAACCGCCAGAAGGCCCTTGGAGCTGGACCTCAGTGTCCGGGCAGAACGATGGAGGTGGAGACGCTCTTTCAGGTCTACTGGACCGAGGCCGTTTAGGGCTTGAAAGGTCAGCACCAACACTTTGAATTGTGCTTGGAAACGTACTGGGAGCCAATGCAGATCTCTCAGGACCGATATTATGTGGTCTTGGCGGCTGCTCCCAGTCACCAGTTTAGCTGCCACATTCTGGATTAGTTGTAGTTTCTGGGTCACCTTCAAAGGTAGCCCCACATAGAGCGCATTGCAGTAGTCCAAGCAGGAGATAACCAGAGCATGCACCACTCTGGCCAGACAGTCCACGGGCAGGGTGGGTCTCATCCTGCATACCAGATGGAGCTGGTAGACAGCTGCCCTGGACACAGAATGGACCTGTGCCTTCATGGACAGCTGTGAGTCCAGAATGACTCTCAGGCTGCGCACCTGGTCCTTCAGGGGCACAGTTGCCCCATTCAGGACCAGGGAGTGCTCCACACCCGCCCTCCCCCTGTCCCCCCAAAACAGCACTTCTGTCTTGTCAGGATTCAACCTCAATCTGTTAAGAGTGTTATCTGTTAATGTGATCATTTTTGGCATCTCACGATGGGCGTTTGGACAGGACACCTGCTGCTTCTGTGCTTGGGGTGGGGGATATGGCCAGGTGTGAACACGTAACACTCAGGCTTTTAGCTGCAGGTACGATCCACTCTCCTCTGGAGAAAACTCTGCGCCAGGGGATGCTGGCAGCGGAGGCAGAAGGCCCTGGCGGAGAAAAGGATGGTCCCTGTTATGCAACTTTTATCGCTGCTGTTGGAAAACAGAGTGGGTGTCAGGGAGAGACACAGGCAGCTGGCACATTTGGAGACAGAGCCCGACACAGGGTGGCAGCGAAACTGAAAGGCTCCTCTCTCTCTCTGATCCGAAGGAGAGACAACCCTCCCCGCTTTCAGTCTTGGACGTTTTAAAAACACAGCCACCCCAAAAAGCAGGCATTCTCTGCAGATCCATCCCGCAAAATCAGTCACAGGGTGAAGCTGCTGACGGTCTCTTGCTATTTTTTGAGAGATGTAGCAGCAGATTGTGAAGCTGAGGCTCCAAGACTTTGGCCACCTCATGAGAAGAGAAGACTCCCTGGAAAAGACCCTGATGTTGGGAAAGATGGAGGGCACAAGGAGAAGGGGACGACGGAGGACGAGATGTTGGGACAGTGTTCTCGAAGCTACCAGCATGAGTTTGACCAAACTGCGGGAGGCAGTGGAAGACAGGAGTGCCTGGCGTGCTCTGGTCCAGGGGGCACGAAGAGGCGGACACGACTAAATGACTAAACAACAACAACAAAGTGGCACACTGGGAAATCCAGGCTGCGCAGCTAAGAGTTGATGGGGAGATTCTTGCACAACGAACCCCTTTCCCCCCCCCCAAAAAAATAAGATCGGACCTTTTGCAATAAGAAAAAGAATTGGAAAATGCAGTCATGCCCACAAGGAGACCTAGAGGCAGCGTGGGGGGGTTGTGATAATCGAAACCAGCCTTTCTCAACCTGTGGGTCCCCAGATGTTGTTGGACTACAACTCCCATCATCCCTGAGCTCTGGCCTTGCTAGCTAGGGGTGATGGGAGTTGTAGTTCAACAACATCTGGGGACCCACAGTTTGAGAAAGGCTGAATTCTAAACCCTTGCTGGGTTTGATACAGTATTTTGCAGCACTTTTACCTGGGGATTGTGTGTTCACCTTGCTTCAAGGGTCCATGTCCCCACACCAATTTAGCTGCGATTTTTGCATCGCACGGGGTGGGACTAGATTGCGCTTTGTGGCTCCCTTTCCAACTCTACAATTCTGCGATTCTCTCCGTTCCTTGGGCTCTGCCATTTTGTCACGCGCCTTGAGAATATCCCTGGGGAGGGTGGACAGAACCTGCCATAACTCCAGCCCCCACCTCCTCCGTCGGGCGATATGATTCTTCATCAGCATCCCCCAAAGAAGCCGTATAATTATCGCGCTTGAAAAGTGCAGCTGTTTGCTCTTTGGGAGCTGAGAAACAGCCGCCCACCCACCCCCTCTCCCGCCCTCCCCCCGAAGGACTTTCCCGGGCTCCCACCTTCTGCTGCTCGACTCTGCCTGCAAAATTAATGCACATTAAAAATAGACGCTTTGTGTGTGTTTTTAACAAAGCGATGGGGGAAGAGGAGTAGCTGCGGCAGGAACATCCATTCCAATCTGGCAGCAACAACAAAGAGTCTCTTTGCTTTTGGGGGCTTAAGGGTTGCCAATGTTTGCCAAGGGGGCTGCCTCTTTGTTTTTTTGACTGCATCTTATTTGGAGCGTGTGTGTGTTTCACGTGCTGTTTGGGCAATTTTGAGCATCACCAGTTTTGCTTCTGAGTATTAAATGGGTGTTACGTGGTACCCACATGAATCTTTTTTAGATTTCCAAATGTCTCTCTGGATGGCCAACTGTTAGGGATTATTCGCATACCCGCATTGCAGCGGCCAGGCTACCCCTAGGGTCCTTCCACATTTATGGTTCTGCGCTCCTATGACCTTTAAGGCCACATTTGGCACAGCGGCTTATTGCATTTCCCTACTGATTTCTGCATTTTATTTGAGCTTTCACGCAACGGGAAAGCCACTTCTGAGAATCCGCTGGAAGCTGAGCCCTAATGTACGTCTTAATTGCTTCCAGAAATAATCCAGCGTCCGTGGTTGTGCCACGTCACACCCACTGATGTGAATGAACTTTAGCATGGCATGCCGGTCTATCAAGTCAAAATGGCAGAGTTCCCACATCAGACCAGGTTGTTGTTTAGTCGTTGTCGTGTCCGCCTCTTTGTGACCCCCTGGACCAGAGCACGCCAGGCCCTCCTGTCTTCCACTGGCTCCCGCAGTTTGGTCAGACTCATGCTGGTAGCTTTGAGAACACTGTCCCACCATCTCGTCCTCTATTGTCCCCTTCTTCTTGTGCCCTCCATCTTTCCCAACATCAGGGTCTTTTCCAGGGAGTCTTCTCTTCTCCTGAGGTGGCCAAAGTCTTGGAGCCTCAGCTTCAGGATCTGTCCTTCCAGTGAACACTCAGGGCTGATTTCCTTCAGAATGGAGAGGTTTGATCTTCTTGCAGTCCATGGGACTCTCCAGAGTCTCCTCCAGCACCACAATTCAAAAGCGTCCATTCTTCGGCGATCAGCCTTCTTTATGGTCCAGCTCTCACTTCCATACATCACTACTGGGAAAACCAGAGCTTGAACTATACGGACCTTTGTTGGCAAGGTGACGTCTCTGCTTTTTAAGATGCTGTCTAGGTTTGTCATTGTTTTTCTCCCAAGAAGCAGGCGTTTTTTAATTTCCTGGCTGCTGTCACCATCTGCAGTGATCATGGAGCCAGACCAGGACCTGGGTTCAAATCCCTCCCTTGGCAACAAAGCTCACTACAGTAACTTTGGGGGCCAGTTACTGCTTCTTAGCCTAACCTACCCCACAGGGTTGTTGTGAGGATTAAACCATAGCTGTCAACCGTTCCTTATTTGGCGGTAAAGTCCCTTATCCCAGCGCCGTGTCCCGCTGCTGTCCCTTACTGATGATGTCCCTTAAATTTCCCGGGTTTCAAAGGAAGCAGCTCCTCTCCCTCCTTCCCTGCCGGCCAGGGAGGAGGTAGGCTCCAACTGTGTTGCTTGGCTGCGTTGCTCACCCAATAAGGAGTCTAAGAACGACTGGGGGGTGGAGCTTGCATGCCTTGTGCCAATCAAATTGGCTGCGTTGCCTGGGGACTCGCCTTTGCTCAGCGCTTCCCAGCGGAGAGGTGACGGTGGTTTTCCTTGCTGCATCCCCTATGCCGGGTTGCTGCGCTGTGGGAACCACCGCTTGAGGCTTCGTTTGGCTGCTGGCTGGGCTTTCTGCCTTTGGCTCGGAGGGGCTCAGAAGTCGAACATACCTGTGCTCTGAAAATCCCTTATTCTGGCTGCTGATCCCTTATTTTAGAGGCTGCTGGTCCCTTATTTTCAAATCTGTAAGTTAACAGCTATGGATTAAACGAGGAGGTGGTGAGAGCCTTGAGCTATACTTGAAACGCAAGGTAGAATGTAAATGCAATAAATAAACTAACACAATGTTCCCGCAGGTCTGAATTGAACACTTGGTACAGACGGAATCTGTTCACCGAGAAGAGGAGGCATTAAGCCATCAGGTTTGCCAGCAACGGAGACAAAACACTGATGCGCAGAGAGGATTGTTCTCATTGCACAACTTTTATTCTTGCGTTTATAAAACAGAGGGGGTGTTGGGAGAGGGAGAGGCACAGGCAACTGGCAAATTTTCGAGGCAAGGGATTCTCTCTGCAATCCGACAGAAAGGCAACCCTCCCCCCCCCCCGTCTAGGATATCTTTTTTAAAAAAAAATCAAAGGCACACATTCTCTTCATCTAGCTGAAACAGCTCTTTCACCAGGTCCCAGTGGGACAGACAGTGGGTGATCCTTTTCCTACAGCTGCTCGAATTTTCAAAATTAGACAAATTTACAAAAAACAATAATAATCCAATGCAGGACAAAACTCTCCTCGTGATCACCCATTCTGAGCGGGGTACATCAAAACAGGCTGTTGGAGTGAGCAGGCGTAAAAAAAAAAAATTATTTGAAGATTCCTCCAGGCCTGGTATCTGAAAAAGCCGGACATGAGAACTGTTTTATTTCAAAGAACCACATTCCGAAATTCAGCACTAGAGGCAGATACTGGGGAGAAAATTCTCTCCAGATTAAAAAATGGGAAGGCACCAAACAAAACTCTTTCACCAGTTAGTTTTCTGGATTCCCAAGTGGGGGGAAACTCTACTGTAATACCAAGTAGGGCCACTAGAGGGTGATAGAGCCACATGTTCAAGGAAATCTGTTCTAGGAATATTTATCATTCAAGGCACAATATACTGTATACCGGTATATATATAGAGAGAGAACCAGTTGTCTTTCTACTCTTTTATTCCTTCAAAATGCATGCATAGAAATTGCATATGTATTGCAAGTATAGAGCTTGGGGGGGGGAGAGTCTGCATGGCAGTCTAGCCTCCATGCAATCTGCAAAAATAAAATAAAAAGGTACATTGTTTTTAAACTGCCAGGAAGACTGTGGTTGCACAAAGCAAACATTTCACAGTTGCCCTTGGGCAGAACCAGATGTTTCTTGATTTTTTAAAATATTTTTTAATAAACGGCAAGCCTCTATAACTGGCGTTCCTTAAATAGTTTTGGGTGGACTTGGGCTGCTACTGACCTATTGCTTTTGAAATTGCATCCATGCAAAGTGCTACAGGGGCTCACTCCCCGGTTTATAAATGGGGGGGGGCGATTTCCTTCATTTGTGGGGTGCGTGCTGTTGCCTTCACGTCAGTCTAGTCCGACTCCCATCACAACACTCCTGGCCTAACTTGCCCATAACAAATGGAGTTAAAAGGGCAGACAACAGGAAGCGATGGATTTTTTATTCCTGCATGGTTCTCAAGGATTAGTGGGGGCAAACTCCAGTCACAGTGCAGAATTCGCACACGGAACACACGCAGCCGCCGTTGCGATCTTGCCACCAGCCCAGACACAGGTCCCCCAAGGAGAGCTGTGGCTTTGCTAGGGGTACAAATTTCATATTCAGGCCCTCTCAGCTCCCCAGTTCCCAAAATGAAGGCATTTGTTCCGTCGTGAAACTATAGTGAATTATAGAATCTGCACGGGCACCGCAGTAAACCGAGCCGGCCTGGGAAAAGGAAAAGCAAATACTACTGCAAACTGGAGGCTTCTTTTAAAAAGACACCCACCCGCTGTTAGTAAACAAAACAGTTAACGTAAATCTGTACTAGCAGTTGCTTTTCTAATGGAGGTTAAAAATGCAAAATAAAACAAACATAGTAAAAGGGGCCCCCTGTTGTTGGTTTTTTTTGCTTTAGCAAAGGGTGTGGAAGAGAAACTGAAAAAAAGAAAAGAAAGGGATTTATTATAGACTGTCCCGCGTCGCAGGGAGGACTGCTGGGCAGATGTAGCATGGAACTTCTAAAAAACAGTCCAGAATAGGCTCGGTGATGTCGGAGGGTGGGGAGCGCGATCCCACAGGCGGGCCGGCCTTACGAATACATGGTGAGCTGCAGCCACTGGGGAAAAGAAGACGAACGTCACTCTCCACACCCTCTCCAAGTTTCTAGTCCACATCTTCAAAGCATCTCACCAGCCCAACTCCTTCCCCATCTGCATCTCTCGCCCTGACCTAGCCACTGTGATCCACGCGACGGTCACCTCCAGACTCGCTCTACGTAGGGCTGCCCTTGAGACTGACCCAGAAACTCCAGCGGGTGCAGAATGCCGCGGCGAGACTCCTTATGGGGTCCTCGCTGCGAGATCACATTCACCCAGTGCTATACCAGCTGCACTGGTATGACAATATGACAATATTTTGGAGGTCCCAATTTGCAAGGTGGTTAGGTTGGTCTCAACTAGGGCCAGGGCCTTTTCAGTACCGGCCCCGAGTTGGTGGAACGCTTTGTCACAAGAGACCAGGGCCCTGCGGGACTTGACATCTTTCCACAGGGCCTGCAAGATGGAGCTGTTCCACCAGGCCTTTGGTCAGGGCACAGTCTGACTCCCTCCTTTGGCAATCTTCACAGAACTTTAGCCTAATGGTTGCCATCAATTTGAGTTGAATTAATTTTATAACGAAATGATTTTAGAATGTTGTACTATTTTATTGTTGTTAGCCGCCCTGAACCCGGCTTCGGCTGGGGAGGGTGGGATATAAATAAATTATTATTATTATTATTATTATTATTATTATTATTATTATTATCTCTCCGTCTCCTGCAAGCTGGTCTGCTGCTCCCCTATTCGGCCCCATATCTCCCAGTCTCACCCATAGGCTGTTCCCTGTCTGCACCCCAGCATCTCCTCGTTCTTTATTTCCCTCCTCGGAAGCAGAGCTCACGGCAAAAGCTTTTCCTGAGCCGAACTATAGCAAGTTTGCCTCCGGCAAATCAACGGGAGACTCAGTTGCTCCCTTCTCTTTCTGCTGGGCCCAGGAAAATAAGCCCCGTCTGCACCGTGCGTTGAAAACGGTGTCCCATTGCTCTGAAAAGCCATGAATTCCCCCAGGGAATCCTGGGAACTGTAGTTCATTAAGGGTGTTGAGCGTCGTTAGGAAACTCGCAGAGCGACAACCCCCAGAATTCTCTGGGAAGAGGGATTGGCGGTTGGACCGCTCTGGGAACTGTAGCTCTGTGGTGGCATTTATTATTATTATTATTAAAATTTTGTTAGATGTTTTATCTTGCCCAAGGCAACCCAAAGCGACTTACAACCAGCCAGACAATCGGCCCCACATAAATACATTAAAACCAAGAGGAAAGAGAAACCATCCCAGGCCACAGATAGTTTAAGGCCAAAGGCCTGGTTATAAAGGAAAGTTTTCAGCTGACCCTGTAACGAAGGTGCCAAGCGAGCCTTCCTAGGTAGGGCATTCCACAAACAGGGAGCCACCACAGAAAAGGCCTGTTTTTGTGTTGCCACCCTCCAGACTGGAGGGGTCTCCTAAGGACTCTCGGCAGCCATACCAAACCCCGGTTCCCAGAATCCCACAAACGGTGTAAGATTCTGACTGAACATTAGTCAGAACGTCCTGATGGCAAGAGCTGTTTGAGAATGGACCAGACTCTCTCGGGTGGTGATATAACGTATTTTTCGCTATATAAGGTGCACCAGACCATAAGACGCACCTAGTTTTTGGAGGAGGAAAACAAGGAAAAAAATATTCTGAATCCCAGAAGCCAGAACAGCAAGAGCACTGCTTTTGCTGCGCAGTGATCCCTCATGCTGTTCTGGCTTCTGGGATAGCTGCGCAGCCTGCATTCGCTCCGTAAGACGCACAAACATTTCCCCTTACTTTTTAGGAGGGAAAAAGTGCGTCTTATGGAGCGAAAAATACAGTCTTCTCCTTCATTGGAGGTTTCTAAGCAGAGGTTGGATGGCCATTTGTCAGAGATGCTTCCGCTATGATTCCTGCATCCCTTCCAGCTCTACAATTCTGGTTTGTTTTGTATATTTTTTATATTATGCACCACTTTGCGGTGCTTTTTAAAAAGTGTTTTTATAAATGCTTTCAAATAAACAATAAATGCATGCGGTCGTTTTTTGCTTGGCTCATTCCTTAGCAACCCTAACCCTTCTGTCCCCAAGATCTTTGGATCCTTGCTGGGTTTCCGCACTCGGCGGATTCCTCCTGCTCAGCTCCCTTGCCCTGGAGTGGAACAAGAGCCAGACGTTCTCCTCACCTCCTTCAAGGTCACACGGATCTGCCCGCTTCCATCCCTGTCCAGAGATTTGAAGGCACCTGAAAGCAGAACGGATACGATACGTTAATCTTTATTGCCATTGTCCCATACAGAACAACGAAATTGAAAAACTCTACATCAGACATTCAGAAACCAACAAGCCTGCTATCCCAGCTTGGTTGGCCCCCTAAAAACTCTGATACCCCCTAATTAAATACAATATACTCCTACACAGAGTACCTTACACTGCGTTTAGAACCAAAATCGCATTTGGATAGAAACTGTTTCTCAGGCGGCTAGTCCTGGTCTTTATAACCCTGTACCTTCTTCCAGAAGGCAGAAGCTGAAAGAGATCATTTCCAGGGTGCGCACTATCCTGCGCTATCTCTGCAGCTTTCTTATGGCACCTGGAAGCGTAGATTTGATCCAAGGTGGGAAGAGTGCACCCAGTAATTCTCTCTGCAGTCTTTACAACCCTGGATAGCATTGTTTTTCCCCTGACCGTGCAGCTCCCAAACCACACACACCTACCGTAAGTTAATACAGTGGTACCTCTGGATACGAACGGGATCCGTTCCGGATCCCTGTTCGCATCCTGAAGCAAATGCAACCCGTGTCCACGCGTGTTGCGATTCGCCGCTTTTGCACATGCGCGTGACGTCATTCTGAGCATCTGCGCATGCACGAGCAGTGAAGCCCGGAAGTAACGGGTTCCGTTACCTCCGGGTCGCTACGGAGCGCAACCCAAAAGTGCTCAACCTGAAGCACATTTAACCCGAGATATGACTGTATCATCACGGAAGGATGTGGTTCTGCACTCAAGAGCCCCAGCCTTGAAGTGCGGGGATCAGTGATGCCCTCAACCCAGGCAGTGTCAACATTCACACAAGTGGGTGCAAGGACTCCCGTGAAAAGGCAGCCAGCCTGGGGGTGGAGTCACCAGAGGCACCCGACCCAAATCCAGCGGCTGCTTGAGACAGCTCTTTTTGGAAAGGAAACAAGGGACCCGCAAGGGATCCCTCTGGCAGAACGCCCGGCGATGCAGACTTACGAAACATGGCGTCCAGGCGCACCAAACAGCTGATGAAGTTGTCAAAGTCCATGTTCCCGTTCTCATCAGAGTATCTGCGCACGATCATGCTGTATAGCTGCTCGTTGAGCCGGAAGCCTGGCAAGGAAAGGGGGGAAATTGGAGGGCAGGAAAGAGGGAGGAGCTAGTCAGAGAACAGCTCTTCTATTATTATTATTATTATTATTATTATTATTATTATTATTAATTGTTGTTGTTGTTGTTTATACTTTTCAAGTTTATACATTTCATTAGTTTTACAATCAATTTAACATTTCAGGCCCTTCCCCTTTCTGTGGTTCCTTAAATTAATAATAATAATAATAATAATAATAATAATAATAATAATATTTTTTTTTATACCCCACCCATCTGGCTGAGTTTCCCCAGCCACTCTGGGCGGCTCCCAATTGAGTGTTAAAAATAATACAGAATTAAATATTAAAAACTTCCCTAAACAGGGCTGCCTTCAGATATATTCTAAAAGTTGTGTAGTTCTTTATCTCCTTGACATCTGATGGGAGGGAGGGCCACAGGGCGGGCGCCACCACCGAGAAGGCCCTCTACCTGGTTCCCTGTAACCTCACTTCTCGCAGTGAGGGAACCGCCAGAAGGCCCTTGGCGCTGGACCTCGGAGTGGCCAAAGTACTGGAGCCTCAGCTTCACGATCTGTCCTTCCAGTGAGCACTCAGGGCTGATTTCCTTCAGAATGGAGAGGTTGGATCTTCTTGCAGTCCATGGGACTCTCCAGAGTCTCCTCCAGCACCACAATTCAAAAGCATCCATTCTTCCACAATCAGCCTTCTTGATGGTCCAGCTTTCACTTCCATACATCACTACTGGGAAAACCATAGCTTTTACTATACGGACCTTTGTTGGCAAGGTCATGTCTCTGCTTTTTAAGATGCTGTCTAGGTTTGTCATTGCTTTTCTCCCAAGGAGCAGGCGTCTTTTAATTTCCTGGCTGCTGTCACCATCTGCAGTGATCATGGAGCCCAAGAAAGTAAAATCTCTCACTGCCTCCATTTCTTCCCCTTCTATTTGCCAGGAGGTGATGGGCCCAGTGGCCATGATCTTCGTTTTTTTGATGTTGAGCTTCAGACCATATTTTGCACTCTCCTCTTTCACCCTCAGTAAAAGGTTTTTTAATTCCTCCTCACTTTCTGCCATCAAGGTTGTGTCATCTGCATATCTGAGGTTGTTGATATTTCTTCCGGCAATCTTAATTCCGGCAAGGGATTCAACACCCTTTTAACAAACTACAACTCCCAGAATTCTTTGGGGGAAGCCAGGAATGTTTAAAATGATGCCATAGTGCTTTAAATGTATGGTGTGGATGGCGTTTTTTAGGTACCCAATCACGTTTGCCCCTTACCTGCTGCCTCAAAGGCTCCAGGGAGTTCGCTGCTGCCGATGGTTCCAGATCGATCAGTATCAAATTGCTTGTAGATGCACTGATGTCCGGAAAACCCCAAAATTGGGAGTGGAGGTGGGGAGAGGAGAGCAAAAAGACAGGTAAGGCAAATAGGACAGCTAAACGGAATAATGTCCTCACCAACCCAAGACTCCACAACAGCCCAGGGTGAATAAAAATCCATGATTTCTTTAAAATAAAATTTTTAAAAATCATTTTTTTAAAAACTTAAATCAGATTTTTAAAATAAAATGCTTTTGGAGGAAAAATCTTTCTAAAGATAGTTTTCTGTTTAAGTTACATTATAGTCCAAAGGCTATTCATCAGGAAAAAGGAATTTGATTTAAGTTTTTCATGTGTGCTAAAACTCAGTCTAAGCTTTTTTTTTTTTAAAAAAAATTGTTTAACCACATCGGTTAACAAACATGGATACATATGCTATAATGTTATTGTTTTAGTTAAATAAATTGTTTGAATTGTTATGAAGGAAATTATTATTTTTCTCCTTCCAATGAAGTACAGCAGAAAAGTTGTCCAAATTTAAACAATTTCGTAATTACCTGCCTGTGTATTTCCAATAGTATAACCAAATCAGTCATTTTTGACATAATTGTAAAAACCACTCTGAAAATTTATGATTCCAAAAATGAAACCTTCCTCTGGTTGTAAATATTAAGGGGATGCCAGCAAGGCTGAACCTTTCTGTAAAAATGGATTTAAATTAAGTCTTACTGACTAGTGATTTAAATTGTGATTTAAATCAATTTGATTTAAATCAAATCCACCCTGCCACAGCCCCATCCCAAAATAGGAGTGTGCTAGATGCAAACAAAAAAAAATTCATTTTACCTGCCACTTCTTGATGTTGTTCCACAGGTACTTGAATTCCTCAAAGCCCAGTTTTCCGGTTGTGTCGCTCTGCACAGGGCACAGTCAAGGAGCAAAAAGCCACAAGCACCACAAAAATCACACATCCACTGTTTCGTTCAGAATATTTTTTCCTTGTTTTCCTCCTCTAAAAACTAGGTCAGTGGCTTTGTTTCAACACCCACTTCCTTCTTTCAAAAGCACCATCTGCTTTCCCCCCTGGGCAATTCAGCTCCAGGGACCAGGCATTCGCCCCATAAGACAGACAGACATTTCCCCTTACTTTTTAGGAAGAAAAAAGTGAGTCTTACGGAGCAAAAAATACGGTGTGTGTGTGTGTGTGTGTGTGTGTGTGAATGCAGAGGGAGCAAAACCCAACCCCAGATCCCCAGCTGGCAAGAGGATACGTCCATGACGGCCACCATGCTGCGACAAGTGTCAATCCCAAAGCCGTCCGTCTTCAAGTCCGGATCTGGAAAGGAAGAGGCAAAAGGGGGTTGAGACCAATGTCGGAATCAGAAGCCGGGAGCGCCATCCAGCCAGGGCGGACGGGACTTGGCTGTGGGGACCTAATCTTCCACTAGCTCCAGCCAGCATGACCAATGGCTGGGGATGATAAGGGTTAATAGGTACTGAAATAATAAATATGAGACACTCCCATCAGTGCTGGCATCCCACCGGCTCCCAATGCCACCCCTATAGGCCCCAAAGGAAACTAATCTTCCACTTACGCCGGGTCACCACTTTGTTGAGGATGTTCATGAGTTCCGTGGCGCTGACTTCCATGTCCTAGAACAAAAGAAAGGGAATGGTGTCGGCTGCAGTGCAAAAGGGAAAGTTCAGAGCCTAGAGAAAGTTGTTTTGCATTTCCCATGTGTGTTTTACTCAGACGTAAGGCCCACCAAGTTCACAGAGAAAACTGCAGCGGAAATAGCAAGAGATAGCAACAATAGAAGAACGGCAGATGAAGATGTTGGACTTTTTGGAGCTGGCCGACCCGACTGGAAGAATCCGCGGCCAGAAAGGAGTATCAAGAAGATTGGAAGAAATTTAAAGAATATTTAGCTAAATACTGTAATATAAGATAAATAGAAAATTCTTGGAAGAAATTAATAGGCTTAGGGGTAGAATAAGAATATGTTGTTAATAAATATTAAGGATTAGAATATTAATAAAGGAGAAAAGGTTAGTAATTGAAAGGAGTTAATATCATTAGAAATATGAATTTGGAGAAGTGTTAAAAAGGTGATATAATGAAATTCAGTTAGAGGGGATTTCAATGTAATGAAATTAGGGATTTGAAGTAATAATTCCTTTTTGTGTCTTTTTTTTCTCTTTATTTTGTAATGTTTTTCCTTTTTCCTTGTGGTAAATGTGAAAATCAATAAAGAAATTTGAAAAAAACCAACAAAATAAAACCTGTAAAGGACAGGTCGGAGTCCTGACTGGTTACTCACGAGCAAACCACCATTGCCATCTGACACATCAGGCTAGTCCTCAGTGTTTACGGAAAGGCCACCGGCGGGGTGGATAGAGAGACAAAAACACTCACGTCTCCCGCCAGCTGCACAAAGAGCTTCCGGAACTGCCGCTGTTCTTCGCTTTCGTTGGCTTCAATGTTGGAAAAGTGGCTGCGAGGAGGCTGAGAAGAGAGAAACAGAGAAACACGGAATTGGACGAGGGCCGTAGTTTGGAGGGCGAGAACCTGTGCAGGACGTCCAGGGTTCAGCTCCTGGAGGACTTGAGAAAACCCGTGCCTGGAAAGTTTGAGAGCAGTGTAGGCCGGGGGGGACGGACCCAGCCTGCCCAATTCTATTCCATAAAATCCCAGGCAGTGGCCAAAATCAAACTTCTGGCAGCTTCCTGAATCGGCAGCCCAGTATCCTGTCTCCAGCGCAAGCGGCAATGAATGCTGCGCAGCAAGAAAAATGGAAGCGACAAGAAGCCAACTGAAATAAAAAGTCTACATGGATTGGAGAATCTTTAAAGAATGCAGTGGTGCCCCGCAAGACGAATGCCTCGCAAGACGAAAAGCTCGCTAGACGAAAGGGTTTTGCGTTTTTTGAGTCGTTCCGCAAGACGAATTTCCCTAGGGGCTTGCTTCGCAAACGTCTTGCGAGTTCTTGCGAGTTTGTTTCCTTTTTCTTAAAGCCGCTAAGCCGTTAATAGCCGCTAAGCCGCTAAGCCGCTAATAGCCGCTAAGCCGCTAATAGCCGTGCTTCGCAAGACGAAGAGACTCGCAGAACGGATTAATTTCGTCTTGCAAGGCACCACTGTATTTAGAAAACTATGGAATAAAAGGAAACATCTTGGCAGAATTAGACGGATCCCTGTATTGTATAAATATAAGTTCGTAGGGAGGTAAAAAGAAATTATATAAGGAATATGTAACTGTGCGGTATAAAGTAATGGGTAGACAAAATACAGTGAGATTGATTGGAAGTCAGTTTTAAATTTCTTTTCTATAAATGTTATAATTGTGTTCAATACCAGGAGTATATATGATGATAATTCTATTAATCTTCTTATAGTGTGGTGGTTGGTTTGGTTTTTCTGTTATTTGTTTGTTTGGTTGCATGTTTGTTTACTTGTATGTACATCTGTTTTTCATAAATGTATTTATTTTAAATTAATAAAGATATATTTTAAAAAGAAAAAAGGGAAAAAAAGAAAAAAATGGAAATGAAGGACTTACCGGAGGTTCCGGGTTGTACTGAGCGGCTGCTTCACTGAAGGACAGGCAGGCATGGAGGAGAGAAAAGATAAACGTAATCAGCGGTGGGTCTTTCAAAGCATCGCCACGGGAATGGATGGTTCAATACGAGGTGGACTACAATTCCCATCAGCCCCAGCTGAGGTTTCCCTGGGCCTCACCCAAAAGCTATATCCTGCTCTTCGAGAATTCATAGAGGAGTTCATAGAATCAAAGATTCGTAGAGCTGGAAGGGATCCCCAGGGGTCATCTAGTCCAACCCCCCACCCAACCTCTGCTTAAAAACCTCCAAGGAAGAGGAGTCCACCACCTCCCAAGGGAGACTGTTTCACTGTCAAACGACTCTTACTGTCAGAAAGCTCTCCCTGATGTTGAGTCAGAATCTCCTTTCTTGTAACTCGAAGCCATGGGTTCGAGTCCTACCGTCCAGAGCAGGAGAAAACAAGCTTGCTCCATCTTCCATGGAGGTTGGGTGGCCATTTGTCACGTATGATCTAGGGGGTTGGACTAGGTGACCCCCGAGGTCCCATTCAACTCTACAGTTCTATGATACTCTGTGTGTGTCTTTATTTCATAAAGTACCGTATTTTTCGCTCTATAGGACGCACCTGACCATAGGACGCACCTTGTTTTCTCCTGCCACTTCGCTGAAGGGGCGCTGTGCAGAGAGGGGGAGATTTTTTTTTTCTTGTTCTCCCCCTCTAAAACAAGGTGCATTCTGTGCATTCAAGGTGTGTTCACCCAAAGCCTCCAGAGCGCAGCAGGAGTTCCCACTGCACTCTGGAGGCTTCAGGCGGCTACCTGGGAAGCCTGGAGAGCGAGAGGGGTCACTGCGCACTGCCCCTCTCGCTCTCCAGGCTTCAGTCAAGGCAACCTGAAGCCTCTGGAGCATGGCAGGAGTTCCTGCTGGGCTCCGGAGGCTACAGGTTCCTTTCGACCTGCTCTTTGGGGCTGGCGGGGGGAAGCCTCAAAGATCCCTGAAGCCTTCGGAGCGCAGTGCGAGTTCCCGCTGTGCTCCACAGGCTTCGGGTTCCTTTTGCTGAAGCCGGGAGAGCAAGACTTCAGCAAAAAGAACCTGAAGCCTGCGGAGCACAGCGGGAATTCGTGCTGCGCTCCGAAGGCCTTCAGGCGGCTATCCCTGATGCCTGGAGAGCAAGAGGGGTCGGTGCGCACAGACGCCTCTCGCTCTCCAAGCTTCAGCGAAAGCAACGCGTAGCCTCTGGAGCGTGGAGGGAGCGCTCCCACTGCGCTTTGGAGGCTTTGCGTTGCTATCTCTGAAGCCAAGGAGCCTGCATTCGCTCCACAGGACGCACACACATTTCCCCTTCATTTTTGGAGGGGGAAAAGTGCGCCATATAGAGCAAAAAATACGGTATATACACTGCTTAATTGTTTGTTTGTTCTTAATATGGTTTACAAAACAGCAAAACCAAGTAACAATGTAAAGTACAAAGTAACAAGTAACAAAGAAAAGTAAAAATGATACTTTAAAAGAGGCATCCCCAACCTTCGGCCCGCCAGATGTTTTGGACTACAATTCCCATCATCCTTGACCACTGGTCCTGTTGGCCAGGGATTATGGGGGTTGTAGGCCAAAACATCTGGAGGGCCGCAGGTTGGGGATGCCTGCTTTAAAACATACAAAAAGTAGAATATTAAAACAGATTTAAATTACTTCAACTTTCCACACACCTGGGAAGACTGGTCTAAACAAGGTTTTTACCGGGCATCAAAATGCAAGGAAGAAAAGGAAACAACAGTAACATGTCTCTCTGTGTGTGTGTGCGTGTGCATTTGCAAGTTTTAAACCAAGCTTCTAGCCCTCATGGTCTCAGAGAAAAGCTTGGAACGGTGGGAACATTGCTTTCAGAAAGCTCAGAAGCAGGGCTGACTTGGAATCATCGTGCCTCATGCTGTGGCCTTATTTGCATACAGGATAGCTGGAAAATTCCTGGTATGATTCAGCAGGAAAAGGAAGAAATAACTCATTCCCCTCCCAGACCTACAATTCACAGAGAGGTTTAACAGTCAATCCCTCTCAGGGTTAGAAACTCAGATATATAATCTAATCGCCAAATGGCACCTTAGACCTGGGCTACGGGCGCCACAATGGAAAGTCGAGGCTTCTTGCCCCTGAAGATTATTATCATTATAACTATAAATATCACTATCATCATATATTTACCACTTTATATTTTAAATGAGAAATCTCAAAGAAGTTGACAACACCTTAAAACATCAAATCAGGCACTCCAGAATAAAACAAATTCAAGCTCCAAAGAAAATATCTCAGATCCTTCTCTAAGTGCCATTCTGCTTTTCCCAGTCGCCAGCCTGGTATCCAGAGATCTCTGCAATTTGACCCGTGCCAGTCCCAAAACATGCCCGGATGATTTCTGTTTCTTCTTCCCAGGGAACTCTGGGAATTGTAGCTTTGCGAGCCAAACAAGGGTCTCCTTACGACTCTCAGTGCCCTTAATGAACTGTAATTCCCATCATTTTGGGGGGCAGAGGGAAGCCACGACTTTCTAAAGTGGTAGCATGGTTCTTTATATATATCTGAAGGAGCATCTCCACCCCCATCGTTCTGCCCGGACACTGAGGTCCAGCTCCGAGGACCTTCTGGCGGTTCCCTCATTGCGAGAAGCCAAGTTACAGGGAAGCAGGCAGTGGGCCTTCTCGGTGGTGGCACCCGCCCTGTGGAACGCCCTCCCACCAGATGGCAAAGAGAAGAAGAACTACCAGACTTTTAGAAGACATCTGAAGGCAGCCCTGTTTAGGGAAGCTTTTAATGTTTGGTGTATTACTGTATTTTAATACTTTGTTGGAAGCCGCCCAGAGTGGCTGGGGAAGCCCAGCCAGATGGGCGGGGTATAAATAATAAATAATAATAATAATAATAATTCTTCCTCCACTCAAGAACCCTGGACTTCACTCCCGAGAGTCCAAACTTTAGTAGCAAAGCTATAAGTGGTACAATAATAACTGCAATCCTCAGTATGTTTACCCTGAAAGGAGTGTCCCAAAGTTAAGTGGGGCTCACTCCCTAGGTGTTTGGGACAGAAGCCTAACTCTTCTTCTGATAGAGAAAACTTGGGTTTCATCCCAGGTGCTGGTGGCTGTTTTGCTTGTTGACCCAGGTTTCCCTGCATGCTAGCAAACCAGTCCGACGGTAAACACGAACTAGCCGTTCAGCTACCAGCCCATCTCCGCAAACAGTGGAAGGAAAGGTCCTCAAAGGCAAAATACTGTATTTTTCCGTGTATAAGACGCCCTCTATTTTGGGGAACTAAAAATTAAGAAAATGGGGGGAAATTGTCCAGAGTTGTTTTTGGGGGGAGGATTGCCCAGAGTTGTTGAGCAAAAGCCACCAAATGTCTTCCCGCTCGCCACCAGTTGCTGCCAATCACCCACACGAACACCGAAGACAATCTCAGGCTCGCGGCAGAAACCAGTTACTCGCCCCCCCTCTGCACTCCCGGTGTATAAGACGACCCCAATTTTTAAACATTAATTTCACATAGAAATACAGTGGTACCTCTGGTTGCAAACGGGATCCATTCCGGAGGCCCGTTTGCAACATGAGCAGAACGCAACCGCGTCTGTGCGTGCGCGGGTCGCGATTCGCCGCTTCTGCGCATGATGTCATTTTGTGCGTCTGTGCGTGCGCAAGCGGCGAAACCCGGAAGTAACCCTTTCCGGTACTTCCGGGTCGCCGCGGGACGCAACCTGAAAACGCTCAACCTGAAGCAAACGTAACATGAGGTATGAGTGTACTCGTCTTATACACGGAAAAGTACGGTACTTCCCAGTGGAGGAGAACTTTGCTTTTCCTTAGTCCTCAGAACACACATAAACCACTTTGGCTTCCAGGAATGGGTAGAAGGAGAAGACGGAGCTGGGAGCCTGCACAGGTCTTCAGCAACCAGATGTTGCAGTCCACCCGGTTGGTGAAGGATGGCTTAGCCCACCTAACCCCCAACCCAAAGGACAAAGGAGTTTTGCCCAAAGCCCAGCTCCATCAGGAACCTCCTACCCCTGAACTATGCAAGCTGGTCATTGCATGAACAACTGTTGCCCCAGTTTGGTTTTTTCTTTTTCCTCTTCCCTTCCCGTCCTGTTTGCCTTGTGTGCTGCCTATTGTTTTTTTCTAGATTGAAAAATGGCGGGCAGGAACCGTCTTAGAATCATAGAATTGTCGAGTTGGAAGAGACCACAAGAACCATCTAGTCCAACGCCCTGAAAGGCAGGAATCTTTTGCCCAATATGGCGTTCGAATGGATAACCCTGAGATTAAGAGTCTCATGCTCTACTGACTGAGGTATCCAATTGTCTTGTTTTGACCATCTGCATGTAAGGCACTCCCGGAGCCTTTTTGCCTGAGGAGTGGGATTCAAATGCTCTAAATAAGTCAATGGCAAACACCGTATTAAGACACACTTTTTTCTTCCTAAAAAGTAAGGGGAAATGTCTGTGCGTCTTATGGAGCGGATGCGTGGTCCCTGGAGCCCAATTGCCCAGGGGCAAAAAACAGAGCATGCTTTTTTTTTGAAAGAGGGAAGGGGGTGTTGAAACAAAGCCGCTGATCGTTTGCCGATCGAGAGGGAGATAAGGGACACTAGAGATAAAGGAGGCTGCCTGTGAGGGGGTAGGTAAAGAGCAAACTTGCAAGGAGAGGAGACAGGAAGACTAAAGCAATGAGGAGAGAAATTAGAAGAAAAGGAGCAGCAAAAAACTGCTCCAGTTAAGGAAAAGACACTAAGGCAAACAAGAGGGAAAGGAGTGTTGAAAGGAAACAGCTGATCGGTGGGATCGGAAGAGAGATAAGGGAGGCTAGCAGAGGCTGCTTGGGAGGGGGGAGGTAAAAGCCCATGGATCCTCAGGGTTTTTGCATTGGGTCACCCAAAATTCACCATCAGATCACATAATATGTCTATGGCTATAGCCTGCACCAAAAAAAATCACGCACCCACTGTTTCGTGGGGCCGCAATGGCGCAAAAACGTGGTTACAAAGCACGGATCTACATGGATCCTCAGGATTTTTGCATTGGGCTACCCCAAACTCACCGTCACATCACATGTCTGTGGCCACAGCATGAACCACAAAAATCATACATCCACTGTTTCGCTCAGAAATTTTTTTTCTTGCTTTCCTCCTCTAAAAACTAGGTGCGTCTTATGGAGTGAAAAATACGGTAAATAAGGAAGGTGAGTTCTGGGCTTTTGGGACTCAGTCCAGCCTAACCCTGCACACGAAAGTATGCAAAGGTTTGACACTTAGTATAAGCATTTCCCTTGATATTTCTTTCTTTCTTTCTTTCTTTCTTTCTCTCTCTCTCTCTCTCTCTCTTTCACACACACACACACACAGGAAATAAAGCAAGGTGACATCTGAACCACACACCCACCCCAGATCCAGGTTCCTAAGCGATATTTCATTTCAAAATAAGAAAAAGGGGATTGAGCTGATTTGCAAGTTATTATTTCAGTTCTGGAAGACTAATCCAAGATGTGTGCAATGCAGCAGCTCAGGATTATGGAGAAAATAACTTTGCACGTGCTCAGAGTTCCTCTCTTCTTTCATATCACTCCCCATTTTTCAGGCTGGGTCTTGGCACTAAAAGCGGGCTCAGGGTCAGACCTTTGACTCAGAAGAATCCATCTGCTGCCTTAGTAGCCTAAATAGTGAAATCTCCAATCACATTAGGAGGGAACTGACATGTTTTGATTGATGGGATCCAGTGAGCACTGTGGCTGGATGGATCCCAGATCGCTGGGCCATTTTCATGCTACCCTGCAGGAATTTAAATGCATGGGGTTGCAGACAAGGTATAAGGCCATAATAATTTATACCTGCATGCCTCTGCAATAATTTGTGGTGCGTTAAACGCTCAGAATAAAAACTACCACTGTCTTCCCTTTCTGGTTACCTGGTAAGCAGGCAAGTGGCTATTTACAAGCCAGTGACAGAAGCAATACAGTGGTACCTCGGGTTACATACGCTTCAGGTTACATAGGCTTCAGGTTACAGACTCCGCTAAGCCAGAAATAGTGCTTCAGGTTAAGAACTTTGCTTCAAGATGAGAACAGAAATCGTGCTCCGGCGGCGCGGCAGCAGCAGGAGGCCCCATTAGCTAAAGTGGTGCTTCAGGTTAAGAACAGTTACAGGTTAAGTACGGACCTCCAGAATGAATTAAGTACTTAACCCAAGGTACCACTCTATAATAAACTCACTTTTTGCAGGAAAATGGGAAAAAAGAAATAACGACAAAAAAAAAGAATGGCAGGATAAATTATTTGACTACACTGAATTGGCCAGAATGACAGAGGCAATTAGGGGTCAGTCCAAGCAAAAATTTCAAAAAGAATGGGGGAACACCTTAAAAAGCAGTGCCCTCAAATTAATACTTGGATTTGTTTTGATTCACGTCTGCAGGATAATTTATGGTACTTAAGTTAAAAATTGTATTAAAAGGGGGGGGAATAACAAACTATTATGGAGACAGTTTACTAAAAATGAAAAGAGAACCATGTAGAGAGGATGAAGGAAGTCAACTGGAAGAAAAGGAGAACGTAAATATGGTGTGTGTGTGTGTGTGTGTGTGTGTATTGTTCACTATTTGTTTTGTATAAATTTAGGTACATTGTTATGGATTATTTGTACAGTCATACCTCGGGTTACAGCCACTTCAGGTTGCGGGTTTTTTTTATATGGACCACCGAAACCCAGAAGTACGCACAGAAGCACTAAACCGCGCTTTGTGCATGCGCAGAAGTGCCGAATCGCAACCCGCGCGTGCGCAGACACGGGTTGCGAATGCTGCGGGTTGCGAGCGTGCATCCCGCACAGATCACGTTCGCAACCCGAGCGTCCACTGTATACATTTTTTATTGGTTTTTGGTTGTGGTTTTGCTGTTGTTTGTTTTATAAACACTTGTGTACAGTGGTGCCCCGCAAGACGAATGCCTCGCAAGACGAAAAACTCGCTAGACGAAAGGGTTTTGTGTTTTTTGAGTCGTTCCGCAAGACGAATTTCCCTATAGGCTTGCTTCGCAAGACGAAACGTCTTGCAAGTTCTTGCGAGTTTGTTTCCTTTTTCTTAAAGCCGCTAAGCCGTTAATAGCCGCTAAGCCGCTAAGCCATTAATAGCCGCTAAGCCGCTAATAGCCACTAAGCTGCTAATAGCCGTGCTTCGCAAGACGAAAAAACTGCAAGACAAAGAGACTCGCTGAAAGGATTAATTTCGTCTTGCGAGGCACCACTGTATATGTTGTAAATAAACTCTTTTTTTTAACTCACCTGATGGCGCTGATGACTCCTCCCAGGATTCCCATGGCTCCGCCTCCTCCACCGCCACCGCCTCCACCGCCTCCACTCCCCCCTCCACCACCTAAAAACCCTCCGATAACATTGCCAATGTTGATGTTCGCTCCCCCAATCTTGATATTGCCTCCGCCGCCGCCGCCGCCACCTCCTCCTCCACCAAGGAAGTTTTTGACAAGGAACATTTTCAGAAGTGTTTTCTCTGTTTGGAGAGAAAGGAAAGTTTGTTTAAAACACACACAAACACACAACTTCTGCTTATTATTATTGAAGGGTTTATTATTGAAGGGTGTATATAACATCCTGCCAGAACGGGAGACGAAAGATGAAGAGGTGAAATGAGTGATGATTAAATGGGCACAAGATATAGGTCATAATATGATGTTGGAAGACTGGGAAAGGTTGTGGAAAACTGACTTAAAATTTACAGATTGTTCCTTGTTGAAAGAAAATTATATGAAGATGATGTATAGATGGTATATAACACCAGTGCAGCTCAGAAGAATGTATAAAACCAACTCAAATGTGTGCTGGAAGTGTAAGGAAAAGGAAGGGACTTTTTACCATATGTGGTGGGATTGTAATGAAATTAAAAAGTTTTGGGAAATGATATACAATGAAAATGTTCCATCTAACATTTGTTAAAAAGCCTGAAGCATTTTTGTTAGGGATTGTAGGGAAAGATCTGCCAAAAAAGCTGAAAAACATCTTCATGTATGCGACAATGGAGGCGAGAGTTCTGGTAGCACAAGGATGGAAGAACGAGGAAATCCCAAGTAAAGAATTATGGCAAGAAAAATTGATGGACTACGCAGAACTGGCAAAATTTACACACAAACTACGGAAAAAGGATAACTGTGACTTTAAAGATGAGTGGGAACCTTTTACAATTTACCTAAAGAAACAACAAAACGAACTGGACTCCTTGGCAGGTTTTGAATAAACACTCACAAACTTTTTACTGATAACAGTCAGTCAGATAAATTAAGGATCCATACAATTTTGTAACATGTAGAGAATAACACTTGTTGATAAACCAGAGAGAGTAGATGAGGGAAGTCTGGGGAGGGGGGGGGTTATTTTATGGGGAGGGGGAAAATAGGGGGGAATTAGGGATGATATGTTTTTCGATAAAATGTTTTGTTGAAATTCCTAATAAAAATATTTTTTAAAACACACACACACACAACTTCTGCTGCGCAAGATGCACATTGTGGTGTTACGTTGGCCACAAGAGTTGTTACGCGTAAAACACATTTCAGGTAACACCTCGTCACATTTTCTTAATGCTAAGAACCTTAAGATTAGAGAATTAAGCAACAGATCTTTCTTTTCTTTTGTTAAGGGGGGAGAATTACATAGTGGGTTTTTTACCAACGTAACACACCCAGCCAACCTAAGTCCTATTGTGTAACGCCAATCTGATTCTGTTCCCAACTCCTGTCCCTGAACTATTTCCATTCCCATTTGAATAAGAGCTACTATTTAACACTTTGTGCCCAAATTTGTTTCCTCCTCCCCATCCTCATTTACTTTTGCACTGTGTCTGTTATATAGTAATCCTGCAGGGAGAAATTCTGTTGCTTTACTCTGTACAAACTGCTCTGAGAACCCTTTTGGTTGACGGAGGAGTTTAAAAAATCTGAACAAATTAAAAGATAAATTCACACATCTCTGAGTAAGCTTCAAGGAAATAGGAAGAAACCTCCAACGACTGACAATATAATCCTGTGCCTACAGACTGGGAGAAGGTCCCATTGAAGTCAATGGAGCTCTTTCTATCTTTCTTTCTTTCTTTCAGACTCACATTTATAGGATTACACTGTAAAGTACAACACAAAACTGGAATAGATTTCTGGGTGTCTGGAATAGATTATACAGCAGGGTGTCTTGCCTTTATTTATCAATTTACAGGGTGTAACACCCACCCACTCCAAAAAAAGGGGGAGAACCCCCTATGCCTTTACAGTCATACCTCGGGTTGAGCATTTTTGGGTTGTGCTCTGTGGTGACCCGGAAGTAATGGAGTGCATTACTTCCGGGTTTCGCCACTCATGCATGTGCAGACGCTCAAAATGACGTCACGCACATGCGCAGAAGTGGCAAATCACAACCCGCAGATGTGCGGACGTGGGTTGCGTTCGCTTCAGGATGCAAACGGGGCTGCAGAGGTACCACGGCACTTCTTTTTAAAACTAAGCTATGACCCTTAATATTTAATGCACATCACATGGGAAGACAGGCAAACTAATATCAGTGTACTGGAAGAAGCAAAGATCACCAGTGTTGAAGCAATGATTATTCAGCATCAACTTTGTTGGACTGGTCGTGTTGTGCGGATGCCCGATTATCGCCTTCCAAAGCAACTACTCTATTCCATACTTAAGAATGGAAAGTGTAATGCTGGTGGTCAACAAAAGAGGTTTAAAGACACTCTCAAGGCAAATCTTTAAAAATGTAGTATAAACACCAACAATTGGGAAACACTGGCCTGTGAGCGCTCCAATTGGAGAACAGCCTTGACCAAAGGTGTCCTGGGCTTTGAAGACACTCGAACTCAGGACACAAGGGAGAAACATGCTAAGAGGAAGGTACACTTGGCATATCCACACTGGGATCAATTCCCACCTGGGAACCAATGTCCTCACTGTGGAAGGACGTGTGGATCCAGAATTGGCATCCGTGGTCGCTTACAGACTCACTGTTAAAACTGTGTTTATGGAAGACAATCTTCCTCAGCTACGAGGGATCGCAGAAGAAGAAGAAGAAGAAGAAGAAGAAGAAGAAGAAGAAGGGTGCATGTTATTTAAAATGTCTCCATCCTGTTTTCTTTCCCAAAGAATACTCTAAGAGGTTAATAGTAAGAATTCTGCCTGTACCCAAATGCTAGATATCAGCCTTGTAGAAGCTAGTGTACCTGAGAATAGTTTCCGGGGGGGGGGGGAGGTTACATGAAGTGGGACCCCACCCCTTGCAGGGGGGTGGGAGGTGGGGGTCAAAGGCATGGCATGCAAACAAGGAAGCTGCTGGGTTGCAACAATGAACCCCTCCCTCCAAAAACTCTGTATCTATTTTAGACTATTTTATTTTAGACTATTTTAACGTGACACACACCCTCCTGGAGGAACAGGAGGAACGAAAGAGATCAGGGGATTTAGAAAAGCTCAGGGAAAGGTCTTTAGCCACGCTTGGAAAAAACAGGCTTAACTTCATGGTCACTGTTCAAAAAGGTAATCACCACTCCTTGTACTTTTCCTGCATTTAATTTCCTACTGTCCTCAACAGGGCCAGATTGAGGTTTGATGAGGCCCTCAGCTCCTGAAGGTAATGGGGCCCTTTTTATGTCCAGCTGTCCTTTGTCCACAACAAATTGTCGCTGTTTTTCGTGTTGAATATATGCTAGATAATTGAGGGACCTAATAGGTATCTCAAGCCATTTGCACATGTTGCCCTGCAAACAGTCCATGCAGAATGTCGGCACCCTATATATAGAAAGGAGCAAACCAGGGATATTTTAGGGAGCAGGCTAGCAGTCGGGGCCCATGACTTACATCACAGGAGCCGACACAAAACACGGTTGCTGTATGTAGGTTTTCTTTTATTTGTTTTTTATCTTATATTTTGGAAGTGTACATCCAGGTTCTTTTTTCCTTTAAATTTTATGGGGGGCCCAAGAGAGTGGGGCCCTGAGCTATAGCTTGTTTAAAGGTAAAGGGACCCCTGACCATGAGGTCCAGTCGCAGACGACTCTGGGGTTGCGGCACTCATCTCACTTTACTGGCCGAGGGAGCCGGAGTACAGCTTCCGGGTCACGTGGCCAGCAGGACTAAGCCGCTTCTGGCAAACCAGAGCAGCGCACGGAAACGGCGTTTACCTTCCTGCCGGAGTGGTACCTATTTATCTACTTGCACTTTGACGTGCTTTCGAACTGCTAGGTTGGCAGGAGCAGGGACCGAGCAACGGGAGCTCACCCCGTCGCGGGGATTCGAACTGCCGACCTTCTAATCAGCAAGTCCTAGGCTCTGTGGTTTAACCCACAGCGCAACCCGCATCCCTTATAGCTTGTTTAGCTTATGCATCCAGCACTGGTCCTCAATCTTAACCATTCCCAGCCCTTAACCATGTGCGTCTGTTTGTGCGTCTGTGTTTGTGCGTGATGTCATGTGTGCATGTGTGAACCTGCAACTCAGGATAACCCTGCATTCAGGTAGAAATGGACTGGGGTCCAGAAACGTTTCTGCCATATTTGCAGGGGGTTGGACTAGATAACCCTCAGGGACCCCCCTCCCATCTCTACGATTCTATGAAATATGCTGGTCTTACAGGTGCCATGAAACTCTTTGTTGGTTTCTGTTTTGTTTAGTTTTTGCATGTTCAACCTTTCCGGGGAAGGGTTATTTGCAAATCTCGTCACACCCGAACAGAGCTAATTCTGGTTTTAAATGTTGGTGACGAGCAGCAGAGGACACAGAGAGGGACTTTGGGCGATCGGAAATTATTCCGATCCCATATGGACAAGGAAGGGGCAGCAGGGAGAGAATGCAATCGACTTTTCCTGCTCTAAGCACTCCTTGTCCCCACACCCTCCCACAATACTAGATCTATAGTAGATCTAAACAATACTATAGATCTATACTATAGATCTAAACAATATAGATCCGCAGGGCCTGTAAGACAGAGTTGTTCCGCCTGGCCTTTGGCTTGGAGCCAATTTGATTCCCTCCCCCTCTTTCTTTTTTACTTTCTCCTCCTGTGATGAGGCTGCATTTTCATATTTTAATGTTGTATTTTAATCTTGTTTTTAAGTTGTATTCATTCAACTTGTTTTTATTGCTTGTTAGCCGCCCTGAGCCCGGCCTTGGCTGAGGAGGGCGGGGTATAAATAAAAATTATTTTTAAAAATATTATTATTATTATTATTATTATTATTATTATTATTACCTGGGAATCCTGACATCCAGCCTCCCCAAACCTAGTGCTGATGGGAATTGTAGTCAAAAACATACAGAAGACACCATGTTTGGCCAGGTGTGTGTGTGTGTGTGTGTGTGTGTGCGCGCGCGCGCGCATTATAGTTGGATAAAACTGCTCAGACTTTCCTGGTTACTTCCTTCTCCCCAGCTAGTAAAATCCGTATCTTTCTTTCCAAAGCTGCAAAGACGACCCAGATACCCCATGTTTCTTC